ATACCACTATACCACTATACCACTATACCACTATACCACTATACCACTATACTATCTTGGCCCTCAAGGAAGCAAAATGTGATGACCGCATCTCCTTTCCCCTTTCTTTCCCTTGTAGTCGTGAAGTTAAAGCCAGCCATCCTCGCTCGGTACCCCAACAAACCAACTCCTAACCGAGCACAAAACAGGGAAACTCTATCGCTCGCTCGCTTGATACTTACCCTCTGGTCTCGCGTATGTGTCCAGAACTGGAAGACGTCCCGCCCGAGACAGGAAGGCTAGATCCCGCCGTGCCATCACTCCTGGGGCCGGTGCGGTGCGGTGTGGTGCGGTGTGGTGCGGTGCGGTGTCAAAAATAAAACATACGGGACTAAGTACCAGGTACTTCGTATTCCGCACTTAAGATAGTGGAGTGGCACCTCGGAGTATGCACTATGTAGTCGGTAGTCATCTATCCAGCTTGACAAAACAGAGCCCTGGTCGGCAGCCATGCCGTGGAGTGAGCGGGGACCTTTTGTGATTTCAACATGGGTCAGTCGCCGCTGCACCGCGCTGTCCCATGGTAGAAAATGTGGTGCAGAGCCGAGCAGGGCAGTGCTTGGAGCAACCATTTCCTCTGGTCGAGGATAGTACACTGCTTGGAATGGAATAAAAGGAGGTGCCATACCATGGACCTGGTTACAGAGGGGACTAAAAAACCCCTCTGCTGCATTCATTCATAGCAACCACTGCCGGGCCCACAGCTTATTTCAAATGCATGACAATCAGGGAGGAGCCTTGTCCAGCCCAAAGTCCTTAGACGTTGCTTCTACGCTATAGCGGATCTTAGGTCCTAGACCATTGTCACGGTACTTTATTGTACTCGGTATGTATTCCGCAGCAGCTACTGATCATTCCTCCGCCTCCACCAAGTCGACTCTCAAACCCCCCGGAACCGAGCGGGTGAAGTGTATGATAGTATTGAGGTCCCTGTCCAGGACACGGGAAGCCTTGAACCACCGGATCATGGTGGTCAGGCCGATGTATATCTCTGCGGTGGCGAGGTTCAAGCCCAGGCACGCTCTCGAGCCGGTGGAGAAAGGTACGAGGCTCTGCTCCTGTCTCGAGACATCTTTTGCCAACCATCGATCGGGGTTGAACGTGAAAGGCTCGGCGAAGACCTCCTCGTCAAAATGTTGGAGGTAGACCGCTGATGAAATGGTCGTGCCGGCGGGGATGTGATGCCCGGCATAGTCGAGTCCTCCTTGTGGTGTTATTCGGGGGAGTCTTCCACTGATGGGGCTGGAGAAGCGGAGACTTTCGTTGACGCACGCTCGTAGATAGGGAAGTCTTTCCAGGTCTTGCAGCGTGGGGTGGCTGTTCTCTGCCTCCCAGACGGTCTTCAATTCGGCGTGTAGGCGTGAGCGGATACCTTCGTCTAGATATATCGACCAACTGCCAATCGCCAGAGTCAGGCCCGTGGTATCGGTTCCAGCAATAATGCTTCCAATGCCGTTAGCTGCAAGCGCCGGCACCGTTTGCTCGACTCCTAGTCGTTCCCCGTTGTTGACCTGTGCTTCGAGGACAGGTGTAAAGTCATGCTGGTCAGCCTTCATTTCTTGAAGAGCTTTTATCACTCTCTGAAGTGCTTGTCAGTCTAACGAACGAAATCTTGGCGAAGAGGTGCTTGTCTTACGGCAGTCATCTTGGGAACTGCCTGGAACACTGGTACTGGTAGGCGACCCATGACAGGATTCAGCGCCCATCGTACTCGGGGAAACATCACAAACTATATCACAGTCAGACCTATACCGAATTGCTGAAAACAGCTTGCGTCTTCCGGGGGCAGGGCACTCACGAATAAACTCGCTGGACCGAACTTATCAAAAGCATCAAGAAGGGGTTCGTCAAACCCAGGCCTGAGCAATGATTCAAACGATTCGCCGTAGGTATATTCGGTCACCACATCTAGGGCGAGGCAGCGGAAAAGTTTGATCAAATCAAGGGGTGACTTGGTATAGGTGTAGTGAGACCGTAACTGTCTCGACATGATGAAGACTCTTTCCCAGATATGTTTCTCGTAGGCGAGCGTGGCTTTCCTGGAAAATGCGTTGCTGACGACCCGGCGGTACTGGGAGTGCAACTCGGGATCCGAGGTGGAAAACAAGTTGTCGTGCTCGTTGGAGAAGACATGGTAGAATTCTGGCGCCTATGAATCACCAACATTAAGTTAGATAACCATAGAATATCTGAGGAAAGTCGACACGGACCTTTCGATACGGTGACGCCTGTTTGTAGATGACCCCTAGATATACCGATGGGTCCATGATGCTGACTTCGTTGGGCCCAATCCGAATGATTCTTCCTATTTAGAGTTAAACAGGGCACACCCTTAATGCTCCAGTCGCACCCTGAGCATACCATATTTCTGGTGGAGGTTGTAGATATATTCTGTGCTGGTGCCACGCAGATCAAGGAACCATATCCACGCACCGGTTAGTGCTGGACCCAATGGACCTGGGACACTGGTAAGAGGTGCTATGAAGAGCCTTCGTACGATAATCGCTGCGATGGTCAAACTCAGGCAGCATATTGCCGCCAGGTAAGTCTGTGGGGTTACAGAAGACAACGCCATGGTCATGGCTTTGTCGAAGCTGAGAGGACTTCCCTTGTCGCTGTGGTCGAAGGAACACAGCTAATAGACAAAAGGCTGAGTAATATACCCTCGAGCCAACCCGATGCTTCAGCTATCGACAGACTATCCGCTGTGACTGGTCGATTGACGAACATCACCGACGGCGACTGCCGTCGCGTTCTTTCTCAAGCGATCTCATCCCCCGGTGAGATTGCTTCGTAATGTATTCTCTGGCCACCGAATTACATTATCCAGATGTGAGGCAGATATATTGGCGGACAGGGCCATGCTTACAAAACCAATTATCTTTTCGAAAAGGTTAATGCGAGGCCACTGGGGGCAACTGGGTAAAGAACCAACATTTAGTCATTCTCCACTCGCATGCGGCTCATGAAGTCGAATAAATCATTACTCCGCAATGCTCGACCCCGTGGTTTTAAGGCGCCCACGCGGAATCAAATTCACCTGTCGGCCGAAACACGGGATCAGGAGAAGCAAAAGGTGACCGGAAGTGGCTGATTGGAACAAGTTGACGTTCATGGACAGTTGTGGGAGAGTCAAACAAGGTTGAGAGTGTTTTGTAAACTCATCGATGTGATCCTGATCTTTCCAGAAACAGCGGAACCGTCATTGAGCCTTGGACTAGCATGATGTATAGCGCGTACGCTGATACTACATGGCTTAGGGAAGTTATCTATATCCACACACGGCAAGGCTCATCCTCATCCCCTAGCGTATATAATTCACGACCAGAGTTATCGTGCTGTAACCCTCTTCTTCTTGCAAGCTGTCACCTATACCTCGGTATTTGTTTGCCCGAATGTGAAAGATATCGATATCGTCGCCTGCCGTACAGTGCTGGGACGATGTGCATTCAGTGATACCAATCTCACAGGCCAACACCTGCTCCTCAGGAAGGACGTCGTATGGCTCCTCAATGAGGATGCCACCGACCTCCTTGCCATAAACATATGCTATTCCGTTGCTTGAAACATGGATCAAATTGCAATCGTTGTTGAAAGTGAGAATTCGCGGAGCAATACCATTGAACGGGATCACGCTATAGGCTGGACTCATGCTGGCCCATCTCCCCAGGTGCGAGGATCAAATGAGGTTTCTCCCTTGAGTTGCCATCTCCATACAATAATAGAAGGCTCACTCGCAGATAGGACAATCATTCCTGCGTGGCTGAGAGCCAGGCTTCGAGCTCAAGGCGCTGCCGATTTCAAGGATCATGTGTCCCTTCAAGTACTGGGTACACAAAGTCCTCGGAAGGGCTTTTGTACGATAATCTGTCGTAGAAAGTGGGAATGGACCAGAGTGTGGGGTTAAGGGTGAACTTCTCCTTCTCGAGAGGGTAAGTAACCCAAGATTGTGGTAGATCCATGATTCGGTGCAGACCTCCACTCGGCACTGGGCCAGAGCGTGTATGGTCGACTGAGGTGGGATCAGGATTCCCAAGTCCTTTGGCGTGTGATCCCAAGATGAAGGCTTTTCACACAAAGTTTGGGCCATAGCATAACTTCTATCCACCTCTTGTTCTAGCCTTTTGTTTCACGCTCAATGGTTTGGATTTGGAACAGCTTCTGCTGCTGTTCGACGTTGGATTTCAATCCTAAAGCCTCTTCAATCTGGTCGGAGAATAATAACATGGCGGAGGCATTGAGCATAAGAGCAGCGCCGATCATGCCACGGGTCTTAGGAGGTAATGATTTGTAGGAGCTGCTTAATGTTAGGGGGAGAAGGAAGCAGATACGAATAGTCGATCGCATAGACTTACGACCACAGCGACATCTTGAAGGAAATCCGGAAAGCTAGTACGGCAGAAGACAAGGAGATAGTATTTTAGAGAAGGTGGAGCCTGGGCTGAGTAGGGATGAGAGAGTACCTCCAAGCTTTATGCGCTTGAGAGGCCAGATGCTGCAGGTAGGCAAGTCGTGAGCAATGGTTCCATGATTCTGGATACATTACGAGACATGATATATCCACGTGGAGATTCCAACGACCGGGTATCAAGCATTCTGAGTAGGTTTGCCGAGCTCAATTACAGTGGAGTATGGAACTCAAATTGTACCTCAACGAGCCTGTGTCGCTGCTACGGTTGATCTTGAATACATCCAGGTGCAAAATCACGCCATTAACTTTAACCAATTATCGTTCACCATCAACACTCTGGTGGCTGGATTGGATCAATATCTGGTGTCGCAGTGGAGAAGGATCCTGAAATGCTCAGCCTTGTCGAGAATAGGGGCATTGTCTTTCAATAGTGATAGAAAACGTCTGACAAGGTGCGAAAACTTCATATACAAGGTCAAGAGCAACGATGAGGACAAAGAGACGGTGCCCCGCACTTTCCAATCCTGCTCACCGTATCGGGTCAGGCGTTCTCGCAGAAGCCCGTCGGTACCCGTACTAACTGGTAGATGCTGGGCGAAATGTGCTGTACAACCCCTCCTCACTCACTTCATCTTCCTGGTCTACAAATGTCGGGATATCATTTGCCTTGTTAGTAGTTCGTTCAATAGTACAACCGCTTGGAAGGGGTTTCCCTGGCTCAAACAGAACTCGATCAAGATGCCAATCGTAAGTAAACGAGCGGTTTATGCAATACATTCATCGCTGATGGCCGGTTCAAGGCGAAAGTCTGCCCTTTCGACGATGGAACCGTCGAAAAGCCGATCAACCGTGAGCCGTACATGATCGATTTAGTCTCAAGGTGAAAGAAATTTATGCTGTATGACTGCTACCATCATCTCACCGGAGGATAGTTTCATTACCAAAAGTGACAATTACGACCGCAACCATGGTCCAATCCAGCATAAAGTGGGGTGTGACCACACAGTCAGAGTAGACGGTCTCGTCTCCAAGCCGCTCAATCTTACAGTCGCCCAACTCGCGAATGACTTTCCTCAGCATCGAGTCACGTGCACTTTGCAGTGCGCCGGGAACCGAAGGCACACCATGCGAACACGCATCAAGGAGGTTCTGGGGGTCGATTGGTTCGATGGTGCTGTAATGAATTGCACCTGGGAAGGCCCCCGAGTTCGAGACATCTTGCTCGCTGCAGGAGTTGAAGAAGACCAGGTAGTGCATGATGGTGTATCACCAATGCATGTACATTTCGCCAATTATGGTGGGAAGACTCAACAGGACGAGTGGTACGGCGGCAGCATACCGTTTGATCGAGCCATGGATCCCGATATGGATGTCATCCTGGCTGTCAAGGTAGGGGATTGGCACAAACACAGCCAGCCTCGGTGTCCGTTGTGGGTTTCATGCTGCTGACGAGGAGGTAGATGAACGGACAGCCCTTGCCTGCTCGACATGGCTTCCCGGTTCGGTCGGTGGTTCCAGGCGTGCTTGGGGCTCGTTCTGTCAAATGGCTCGACCGAATTTCCCTGTCCGACAAGGAATCGCCCTGTTTTTATCAGCAGCGTGACTACAAAGTCCTACCGCCAGAAGCAGTCGACACGGCCACTGCGGAGAAATATTGGAGCCTCTGTCCTTCAATGCTGGATATGCCCATTAATTCTTGTGTTGCCCATCCAACTTCCGAATCGACCATTGCGCTTCCCTCCAGTGGAATGATTGAGGTTCTTGGATATGCGGTGCCACAGGGTCATCATGGTCCAGTGATAAGAGTTCAGGTTTCGGGTGATGAGGGCAAGACGTGGGTGGACGCACAACTTGAAGATGGTGGCGAGGCTAGGAGCCGATGGACCTGGGTTCTGTGGAACGCAAAAATCAAGATGGAGAGAGGTAAAGGAAAGAAGATTTTTGTGAAGGCGACTGACGCTGGAGGGAATTCACAGACACAGGAGAGATCGACCTGGAATCTTCGTGGAGTTGGGTATAACGGGTACGAGGCTGCATTTGATCTCACGGTGATCTAGCATGGCGATGATCAGTGATTGACGGCCAGGGTTTAGCAGAGGAAGAGGAAGCACAAGTCAATGACAGTACTGTAGGTGCTGTTGGATATTGAAGTTGGTGTTATTTTTCCATTGTCGTTGTCATTAGTGCTTAGCATTGGCATCTTGACGCGTAGAGGACTAGTCCCTAAGGCGAAATAACAGTGAAGTCAGTATGCTACAGCCCACCGTTAGGACTTGGTATGTAGCAAGGTAAAGGAGGCTCGGGATGGGCATTGAGATTGGCGGTTACACAGATGTTGCAGATCGATCATATGAGGAAACTGTGGGTTGGATAGTATGTTGATCTCTCAGTATCTCGGTCTCCTTTTAGAGGGTCGGGCATCAACAGCCTCAACCGATCTATGACTCTCATGCCCGAAGATGAGATCGACGAACTGGAGTGGTCAGCAAGATGCTCTCTCTGCCCACGTCCGAGGCATGGAGTAGGTTTGAGCATTCGGTAGGTTACTATTCTTTTTTTTTGGCAGGATGCAGGGAACGCAGCGTGGTTTGACACTGGCTGTTTGGATTGGCAGGTACCGATTGGGTGGTCGCTTGGCTGTATCCGTCTGGATAATGTGCGAGTGCTCCGTACGGAGTCCCTGTAGTTGGGGAGGCTTGGATTTGCTACCGAACGGATATCCGGGAGCAAGCGTGGCAGCGACTCGACTCAGAGAGTCAGAGTGGGATCATGCTCAGGGAGCAAGAGTGGGGAGGATAGGAACCACAGATTGCAGGTGCAGGGTGCAGGGTACAGGGTGCACACTAGCAAGTAAACTCCAAGTTAGAGCAGGCCGGCATTGTGCTTAAGGGCGGGTCGGCATGTTGATGTATGGGGCCTCGAGCATGGGTACGGAGGACGGAGTACAGGCATGGGTAGAGGCATTGGCGTACGGAGTGCTCCAGGGCCAACTTGATACGGTTGTATCAGAATTCATGGGTGTGGTCATGGTACGCGGTAAAGAGTCAGGAATCAGCATAAGAGCAATGGCGTGACAATGCCAGTAGGTGTCAATCCTGGTTGTCACTCTCTGTGATGCCACAACACACCACGAGGGAGGGGAACTGTGACACGTCGAACCCTGAGATCCATGCATGTCTCGACCGCATGATGGTTCTGACTCTCCGAGGCATCACAAAGACAATCACAGTTACGTGTTCTGGGGCCGTGAATCTCCTCGTTAAGATGGCGGAACACGCCGTTGCCTCTACCTGTGCTTGTGCTCATGCTTGGACATAACAATAGAGAGCCTAGGTACGGATACGGAGTACGGAGTACGTAGGACGCAGTGCTCGGTATCTTACTCGTAGGTTAGGTAAGGTGGCCGCCTGGAGACCACCAGAACACCGAGAAGTTCCACGTTCCCGGAACTCCCTGGAAGCTGTGTATAACTGGGCCCGAGCAGCCGTTCTGGTGTTTTTAAGGGTGTGCGGTGCGTAGTTCGTGGTGCTGGGCGGCTTGAAGGGTAGCCTCTTGGGGTAGGCTGAAGCCTGAAACAAGCCTTCCCTCTTCGGCATTCTGCTGTTGGTACCTAAATAGCCTTGGGGGGAGTACTCGGTGCGCCCACGGATAGCTGCACGAGTCAATGGCTGTCAGGCTGCAGATATCCAGACAGAAAGGTAAAAAGAGACATCGTCCGAACTTAAACTACCAGTAGTACCTCCTGTGATCGAGTACCGGAGTGCTTGAGAGTAGCAAGTACATATTCATGATTCGGTTTCTACGTGATATCTACGTTGAGTGTGCGACTCGAGGAACTCTCAGCATTGAAGGCCTCGGAGTCCTGTTAGGAGCGAAAGTCCAAGGTAACTCGCTCCCCTTTGTACTCTGGCCACCATCCTCAGGGCCCTGAATCCTTCTCCAACAGCAGCCTTCTGGGCTGGGGGAGCTGTAATCTACTAGAGCAAATGAGCAGCACCAGCCCCGAAGCACAACAGCAATAGGACATTTCAGAAGCGTACATCAGTGCCTGGGCGCAATGCATCCAGAGGTGTTAAGAGGGGTGCCAGGACCCCTCGGACCTATGTTACTAGCTACTGTTACGCGATACTGTACCTAAGCCGTACCAGTACTGGTAGTTCGTGGTGTCGTAGTGTCTTGTGCCTTGTTAGGCTGCTGCCCTGTTCATTTCCGCCATCCGTCGTTTTTTTGGGTCTCCATTTTTTTTATTCGGCCCATTCCACTCCCACGTCCACTTCCACGTCCACGAGTTCATGACCAGCACTGGCATTTCTCTCGCTGCTCCTCAGGCTGTTCCCGAAACTGCAACGTTCAGACCTTAGACGCTTGACAATTCGAATCTTCGATTTTCTGTGCCAGTCTTGGTCTTGGTCTTGGTCTTTTGGTCGTCCGCAGTCATCCATCACTCTCCCATCTTCCATCTCGCATCTCCCACATCTCATCGACCTCCTCTCTTTCATCCGTATCATATATTTGTCTTTTCCGGGATCTGGAAGACGTTCATTGCTATATCTTGGGGGTTCTTATTTTGCACATTTGCACGCCATCCCCCCGATCTGCTGGAGTTGGTCGGGCCTCTGCTATTTTCTGACCTCGAGTTTGTCCGTTGTCCCTCTCCTCTCTCTCATCCTCCTGCATCGCTTGCTGCTCCATTCTCGCCCTTTTCGCCCATCTCTGCCATCTGGATGAGAAGCCTGACTGACGCATCTGCTCCTCGATAGGAACAGTCCATCTAGGCTTCGCCGTATAATCTCTCCAGCCCTTGCTTCATATTCGTAGGCGAACCCTCCGAGCCAACCTTGCAATTTTATCCAACATGGCCACTGCTGCTCCTCCCGTCCCCAAGCTCGACCGCTATGTCATCATCCATGTGGCCACCACCTGCGATGAGCACGGCGTCTATGTCACAAAAGATTCTGCTGAAGTCATTGAGCTTGGATGGATTTTGCTCGACGCAAAGACCTGTGATGAGGTATGTCTTGATTCACGGAGTTCAAAACCTGCTAGAACACCATATTGACATTTGTTGGATTCAGATATACCGGGAAAGCGTACTCGTCAAGCCCATCAATACCCCCATCACCCCACTGTGCAGTGAGTCGGGAACTTGACAGTCCACGAGACAATGTATACTAACTTTGGAATCACAGCCAGCCTCACTACTCTGACATGGGAGCACGTCCGTAACGCCGGCTCCTTCCGCGATGCAGTGGCTCGATTCGACCATTTTGCTCAAGAGCACCTTATATCCAAGAATCTCGAGTTCTCCTTTGTCACACTGGATGCCTGGGACTTGCGGGTCCAGTTGCCCCGAGAAGCTCGAGACAAGTCGGTCGTCCTACCAGCTTACCTGCAACATTCCCGGACCTTCGACCTGCGCTCAGAATACGCCCGTTGGCAACAGCACCATCCAGAGTCCCTGCCGTTCGGCCCCAGCTCGCTAGCAAACATTTGTGCTGCTCTGGAAGTGGAACCTGTGCAATCGTCCGCCCCAATCAAGCACAATCTACCCTTTCACCTCCAGGCCCTGGCTCCTGCCTCTCCCCGCCGTGCCATGGAAGAGGCCGTCACTCTTGCAAGGGTTCTCAGAGGCCTCATTCGGAAGTCACAACCCGCCCATGACCACCCAGAAATCCTGACCCGCCCCATGGACGCAAGGGCCGACGTCAATGCCTTCTTGAAGGAACGTAGTAAAGTCCTGCACATGAACGGCCTGCCGCACGACACAACCCAGTCAGAACTCGAAAGCTGGTTTACGCAGTTCGGTGGTAGACCAATCGCCTTCTGGACCCTTCGCACTCCTGATCAGCACAAGCCTACCGGCTCAGGTTTCGCCGTCTTTTCTTCACATGAAGAGGTATTTCCCACCCCATTCTGTTCCTCCCTGTCTCCCTCCTGACCATCATCTACACCGTCCACTTTGATCTCAGCCTTCCTCCTACAACTTCTGTTCGCTAACATGACTCCATTACAGGCAGCTGAGAGTCTCTGCATGAACGGTCGCGCCCTCAACGAGAAGGCCATTGAGGTCTCGCCTTCCTCTAGCCGAGTCCTTGATCGTGCCGCCGAGATCCTGACTCCATTCCCTCCAAGTAAAAATCGACCAAGGCCTGGTGACTGGAACTGCCCATCATGCGGCTTCTCAAACTTCCAACGCCGCACTGCTTGCTTCAGATGTTCATTCCCAGCTGCGGGCTCAGGTGCTGGCGACCCCTACAATGCTAATGCCTTCCCTTACCATCACGGCTATCCTCCATATGGAGGTCAACCTCCACACATGGGACACCACCATCACGGCCATCATCCCAGGGGTGGAGCAGGCGTTGTCCCATTCCGTGCTGGTGACTGGCGTTGTGGTGCTGAGGGATGTCAATACCATAATTTTGCAAAGAATATTAATTGCCTTCGTTGCGGTGCACCACGTTCGGGTGCTGCTGTGGTGGTCGACTCTTCTTTCCCCTCGCCCATGGGCCCTCCCTCAGGATTTGGAATGGAACCTGGATCAATGGGAGGCACCCCAGGACCAGCGCCATATGGAGCAGGTGCTGCTGCATTCGGCTCTGGCACCGCATTTGGTCAGCCACCAACTCAATACGGAATGCCTTCGGCGATGGGTGCCCCTGGAGGTGCTTTCCCTCAGATGGGTGGCATGACTCCTGGCTATGCATCAAGCACCATGTCTCACTCTTCATTTGGTCCTGCGGCTCAGGCTGCTTTCAGTGGAGCAGCTGACACCACCGCTCATACTATGCCCGGAAACGGTCCTCAAAATGGCTTCTATGGCAACGAGCCTAACGCCGATCCTTTCGCATTCCTCTCTGCTGGTCTCGGCAACCTCAGTGTGGGCGACGAGAACCAACCTCCGCGACGTAACGGCGGGCCACAAAGCGCCAAAAGCCCTGCTTAAGTGTTGACTCCCCAAAATGGGCTCGTCGTGTTGCCTCTCGACATCACTGAAGTTTTAATCCACAGTAACGACTTCCGACGACATATTTCATGTTGAGCAAAGGTGTTTGCTTGCCTTTTCAACTTCATGTATTTGGTCATTGCGGGTTCATGCACATTTGTTTCCCTACTTTGTATCGTGGATATTGGCGGGTGGTGCTGGAGGTTAGCTGGCTGGGGCTCCTTGTTGATCGATAACCATGGGACAATCTTTGCATATGATTGATGGATGACCTAGACCTTTGGCTTGTGTTTTTCGTTCCTCGTCTGGTCTGCGTGAGCTTGGTTTGTCAACAACAAAAAGGGCTCATTGTGAAATTCTCAGTAACAAAAATTGAGAAACTGGGAGCAAAGGATAGAGGGGAATGAAATGGAGCATGCAGGGTCTAGAGAAAAGAAAAGTATTGATACAGGAATCAGGATGAATCTGGAGGACTGTGGCCCTTTGGTACGTACCTATGTGTTCGTGTCTCTGAACAGCTATTGCCAGCATAGCGAAGGAGTGGCAAGCGGGGGGGGGGGGGTGAACAATAACTCGAAAACTATGGACAAATCGCAAACAATCATTATTCGTTCAATATGACGGAACAGAAAACCCAAATACTCAACCACTACCAGCTATCCGAGGCTACGAAAATTGTCTATTACTATTTCTCTCTATCGCGCTGCTATACTTTGTCTAATCAACCCAAGGGGAAAAGGCCGAACAGATTGTAAAAGGCTTTTTATGGCAAAATAATGTACGAATCCCATCTCATTTGGAAGAAACCACAACACACCCAGCAACTGGGGCAATTGACAGGAAAGGACAGGAACTCACTCCCTTTAAAAAAGGGGGGGATTGCCTGCAAGGATTATATGATTAGCATTAGTATCAGGACTACTTATACTTATGTCAGGACTGAAGGAGAATTTGAAAATCGAAAATGCGAATCGAAATCCAAACCCAAACTCTTGTGATTCCTTAGATACACGGTCATACTGCACGCAGGCACTGTTGGCTATACTCGTACATAATACATACGAAGTGTCAATGGGCTTTGGGTCCATACCCTATGTACGCGTACCCTGTACAGTAAGTAGTAGTATCCTCATGTCCTCTCCCCCTCCCCTCTGTCAATGATAATACCGTCATACATTACTACTGGGATATAGCTCCCGTAGGTATATATGGACATCTTGTAGACCATTTGTCAAGGCTGCATTCCTGATGAGATTGGCAGAATCAATCTATCTATACAGGAGGGCGTAGATTTTGTTAATCAGGGATTCGCGTATTTAGCAATCTATCAGGGTGGCTGCGTGGTTAATTTGGATGTAAGCGGGCTACTTTAACTGTCTCCTCAACTGACCTGGCTTCTTACTACCTACCTAGCTAGGTGGATGACAGAATCGCTCACTGCACTCGCTGCTCAATGCTTCTCTATCCTCATCTTGGTGCCGCAAACCCCCTTCCTTCATATGTACGGGTCTATCACGCATTCTCTTCCGTGCTGCCTAACGAACGTAAGACCTAACAATGGGAGCTGTCCCCAGCCTGAACCCAAAGCCAGGTAAGAGCTCCAAGGTTACCAATACTCCCGCCTTTGATATAGCTCGATCTCATATCAGCCGGCCAGTTCTTCTTTCCAGCCTCTGTGGTTTCCGTCTCTTCTGCTTGAGTGAATGCTTGTCCTGCCATCTTGGGGCCTACCAGAACAAATGGGTCACTGGATCGAGTGACGAAGCCCTTTTCACCCAACCTGCCACCCTGACTTGCTTCGCCCCAGCATGTTCCATTGTCTAAGTGAGCTAGCTATTTTGGCAATACAGCTTCAAGGTCGAATCGACGAACCGAAAAGCCTGGTCAGTATCAGGAACTCCATTGATAAGGGTACTGGGTTCCAGGAGGATATCTCGTTCAAGCATGGGTGTTGCCAGATTGTAAGATCCGCTACCGTCACGCAGGTCTATACCGTTCGTTAGACAGGATCCTGACTGGATAGAAAGCCATAAGCGGTCGCTAGCAATGCTACTGCTGCGGCTGCTGTTGAGCAGCATGCGTGACGACACTCTGCAAAACATCCCTGTCGCCTGGCTCCAAGATTGACGTCAAATTAGTGTAAAGTTGTGGCTGCTCTGCTTGAAGTTTGCCCAGGCTCTCTCGGAACACGGTATAGGGGTCGAACTTATCTAATGGGCTCTCAAGCAAGCTGTCCTCGTCGAGGATACTATCGTCGTCGTCATCGGCAAGAGCGCCAAACTTCTTGGCTTCTTCGCTTAGGAAGTCCAGATAAGCTTGAGACTCATCTTTGATGTCCCCTTTGGTGTCAGGAATGGTGGCAGCGTTGACATTACCCCATTCATGTGCTTGTTGCCCTTCAGAAGGTTCATCTGCCCAGTCCTCCGCATCATCGTCAGACGCATATTCCGAGAGGGTGTCGCTAACACCATCAGACGCTTTTACGGCATCCTCACGCAGCTTCATGGCGGCAGGAAGAGTGCGGAAAAGATAGGTTGCGCCGGTGAGTAAGCGAGGCCAGCCAGTTTGCACCGATTGGGGGACGCGGTCTCCCGGAATCGTGAGAAGTGATGATATCGCCGCGATGCACAGTTTCTTGTCATGGACCCGGCGGAATGAGTCGATGCTGCCAAACCATATGGAGAAGAACTTGTTGGTCCAGCCATGTGACTCAAGGACCTGTAGAGCAAGGATGGGGTTGTAGTAGATGGCGTTGATGACCATCTCCACCAGGTGAATCTTGTAGCTCTTCATAATTGACTTGGCTTGTGGACCGGTAAGGACTTCCATCGGCAGCGTAATGAAGGTAGGAATGTAACTGTCGATTGGACCACCCCGCAAATTCAACATGATCGCTTCCGCTAGTTTACAGCCGCAAATACGATCCACGCCACCAACCTTGGGGTCCGCAAAGATGTCTCTAACCATGCCTGAAACAGCGGCCAGGTATGGGGGATGCTCAATCAATCTTTGAGTGCCGTAGGTGACAAAGTTATCAAGAGCCGGTAGCATGTCTTCCAGGTACAATTCTGCACCATCCTTAAATGTCTTATGCATGAGCTCGAATGCCTGCCACATGGTTGGTGATATGGACTTGGACGCAAAAGTGCAAGAGTCAATGATTTCAAAAACCTCGTTGTAAAGGTCGTAAAGTTTGTTGTCAAGGGTGATTGTTATCACGGGCATAAGAATTGTCTCGAGCAGCAGGAGAACGTCAGGCGTTGCCTCGAGGGTGAGGATAAGCGTTCCTATAGTCTGTAGAACGCCTAAGGCCGCGATCGATTTGTCGTCGAGATAGTCGCCATAAGCAGGGCCATCGTCGCTTGCCCTTGCCTCATTTCGATCGACGATGTCTTTGACGATGCGGAGGTATGTATCCCGAAGATTCTCGCTCAAAGCCACCGCGAAAGGTGTGAGTTGTTCTGCAAACACCTCGACGAAGTCCTCCATGACGTTGGACAGAGCATCGACATCAACCTCGTTCATCAACTTCAAAAGCTGGTGCATGATTTGTGGAATATTTGATTGCATGGCCAAGCGGATGGCATCGTGCCTGATGAGGGGTTGTAACGATAAGGAGGCCATCACCCTCACCGGTAATTCAGGATCTGCCATGGACTCCAGAATATTCCTGTAGATGATCATGAGGTTGTTCTGGTCTTTGAATTCCAGTTGCTCGAATTTCTCCATAGTTTCGCAGGCTCGTGCTCGCAGGAAACCATGTTGAGACCTAAACTCTGGGAAGACATGGCGGACAAAGAAGTATTCGACCTGGTCAGCGATTGGACTTTTCTTTCCTAGGATTACACTGGCAAGGGAGCCGATCATACGAAGTGCGCCTTCTTTTTCCCTCGGATTCTTCTGATCATCAGGAGCGGCCTCGTATCGAGTGACAACCTCATTCACATAGGATAGAATGCCGTAGGTCTGTTGTTTGCGTGACTTGGTCAAGGCAATCAAGAAATTGGTGGCGGCCATGTCAGGAGCGGAGACCTCTTCGAAGAAATTCAATTTGCGATGCAGATAATCGGGGGGGTTGTCGGTGAAGAGCTCTAGGTCGTCATCGGATTGACACAGGACGGGGAAGATGAGATGCTTGATCAGGATATCCATGTGCGGCTTGAGCTTGTCCCACATGACTTTTGGTTTGACGCATTCTTCCAGGAAGATCAAGGTATATGATAGTGAAGGCTTGCTGAGCCAATGGTTACCACCCACCCACTTCTCGATCTCCTGGAGATAGCCTTTAAGGATTTCGGGGGCGAAGTTTGTGATAAAGCTCTTGGAAAAGTCACCATATTCCTTTTCTTGTTGGGAAGAGAGTCCGGAGGGATTTCCATATCTCACGAAGAGCCTATTCAGATTGGCATAGGACCATTTCCGGGCTTTCCACCAGTGGTTTCGTTCTCGCTCATCTGTATCATCATCCATGGCGCAATCGGGTGCTTGTTTGGAGATGACTGTTAGGAACAAAGTGCACCAATCAACGGTGGCCTGGTGGGATTGAAGTGGCTGAGGCAGAGCATAGTAGATGGCATGTTTGTAGCATTTCACGACCAGTCTCAACATCTCACCGGCCTCGATGCTGGTATCATTGACCAACTTATTGCCGATGCCCAGAACAGTTTGGAAAGAGACAACGACGACCTTGTCAAGGTTGGCCCTCTCTTCGCCTGCACGATAACGATATGTGCGACAGACAGCCAGAAGACACTGCAGACCAGCATAGACGGAGTTCGCATCTTGAGTATTCAACAATTGCATGGCGATATCGATGAGTTCGGGCCATTTTGCAGGAAAGTCGTACTGGAGGATGGTCTGGAGGATGGGAATGAGTTGGGCTCGAATGAGAGGAGGAGAGGTCGACAGCGCAGGCAGGAGGCGGTCTCTGAAGGGTTTTCGCTCAGGATCGGAGATGGGTTGATGAGGAGTGTTCTCAGTGGCCCAGCCCCGCGAGATGCGATTTTTGAGATAGACGGCAGTGGAGAGTCGGACAGCAGAATCCTGCTCAGACTGGATAATGTCCAAGAGGACGGTGATAAAGCCAGGATGCTGTTCAGCAGCCCTGAGGGTAGCCTCAGCCTGGGAACGGACTGTGGCATCTGCTGACAGCGTGGACTGAATGGTATTGCGCAGATCCATGGTGACCAAGTTTGCCCTTGGAAGGGCCAATACCTAAACTCAACAAAACAGCGCAGAGCGAGTTCGAGGGCAATAGGACATGGGTGGACGTTATCTCAATGTTGCGGAGAATTTAAAAAAGATGTGAGGCAGATGGGAAAGTTGGTATAATTGGGGGGGCAGAATTCAGGATAGGAAGGGCAGCGCAGCGCAGGGATGTTGTGGTGGACGTGGTGGACGGAGGCTGTGGTTGTGGGTGTGGTTGTGCTGTCGCAGCAGCGCAGGCTCTCAGCAAGTGCGGTGCAGTCGCCCATAGTAATCCTGCCTCCAAGATAGGGCAGGAACTGGCAAGGGGGCAGGTAGGGCGTGGCTTCCATGCGGTGCCAGTTTCTAACTAGCGGGCAAGACTCCCTCACCGCAGCGCCAAGACCACGCACACAGATTGACAACGGCGAACTGCCAGCTGTATATCTACCTAGGTACTTAGCACTATATTTCTGTTGTAATATTGCATTGCGCTTTGATGCGGTGTGTGGGTTGGTTACTGACTTAGGGCTAGAGTGTGCCTGTAGAAGTAACAATGACGAATCAGTCCCAGTCTCAAGTCCTTGCCCTCCCCCCTCTCAATATTGCCAGATGCACAGCATAGCCTGAATTTGCGCCTAGGTCTGCGGGAATCCGGCCTTCGGGCACCCGCCAGACCTCGAACTCCTCAATCATGGTTTCCAGAAACAGCTCAAAGATGGTATCTGACCGGAGTTGTTGTGCCACCAGAACCACTGTGGGACTTCGATTCACGTCCCCATCCTCATGCTCATTGCCGTGTCCCAGGCGACAGGCGTCCACACATGTCTGGACAAGTGGCTTGACCAAATACTCATTGTAGACACAATCACACAATATCAAGAGGTCAATCTGTGCATTGCCTGGGAGGGCAGCTCTCAGATTCATTGCGTCATCCTTCTCCCAGTCCAGAGCCATGACTTGGAGCACATCCTGCCTCCCAGGAGTGCTGCTCTTCTTGTTTTTGCTGCCCCTGGTCTTTGCACGTGGTGGCCCGTCCAACATTCCGAGGGCAGCTCGGAGATGTCTCACAATAGACGGCTGATCGGTCAGGATGTAGCGCTGGACAGATTGAGACAATACTTGTCCTATCAACCCTGCCAAGCCGCATCCGAGTTCAGCCACCACGGAGTCTGGATGAAGGGCATGAAGATCAGCAAGAATTGTAGGGCAGGAGGCCAACCAAGTCGCTAGAAGAGGAGAAACCTTCCATAAGACCGCCCCTGTCGTGCCTCTGGCGTGGTTAGAATTGAGAAGGCCGGGAGACTGTTGAATAGTATATTCATGCCCGGCTATCTCGATGTCGATGTTATCCGCAGTGGCATCGACAAAGCCCAGGTTATTGGTAGGGATGTCCTGGCTGAACAACAGAAATGTTTCTGGTCCAAGCGGTCAGATGAAAGACAACACACGACCAATACTCCTACCTTCTTCAGCATCTTGTAGCGGGGGCCCAAGCAGGGCATGCAGTGTCTCTGATTTTGAGACGGCAGATCGAGCCATGTCAGGCTCTTAATTCACCAGGAGTCACTATGCAATAGTATAATCCAGGCTTTCTTTCGAGGCGTTCAGGGATGAATCTCAACAGAATTGCATCATGGCATTCTTGCCTACCCGACCTTGGTGCCTTGTCACGGGACTCGCATGATGATTGTGTCCAAGGATGATACCGCACAGTGATGATAGTAGATCAACCTGGTTCTTATATGATGCGAGGTCTTGTCCAAGCAGGGCTGAGGGTTGGTGCTGCACAAGGATGGACACCGGGAACATACGGTACGGCGTACAGGGTGCCAAATATCTCGTCCTGTCTTACCGATTACGAGGGACGTGTTTGTGGCACGAAGGTCCCAAGAACCAGACCAAGACAGCTGAATCTGGAGGCTTGAGGTTGGCGTGGTGACCGCCCAGAGATTCCTTGGACCGTAACTGAAAACACTTGGCTTGGGAAGGACGGGGGTGAATTCCCCCTTCACTTCATCTTACACGACAGGTTGTCTCGTACCCAAGAAACAGTGGACGGAATCGAGGTACCGTGTACCTCGTAATCTGATCTGCACAGGCTGAAATGAAATGAAATGTGTACCTAACATCTAAGGTATTACCATTCGCGTCATTATCAATGCATCCGAGTTCTCGGTGCCCGGGCTTGAACAGACCCCTCTTCTTACATTCTCAGTGCCTCGCGAGTTGTGCCTAGCTGTGACATGCCTAGGGGCCAAGGGGGCGTCCTCTTAGGCTAAGGCTCAGGCTCTATGTTAGCTCCTCCCGCATCTCCACCTCCCACTGGCCACCCCCCGTCAATCCGTGCGAGCCGACTCCGTTGGCCCCCCTCGGCGTCTCCCTCATGCTTTCTAGGCTCTCATCAACACCGCCCCATCTCTGACGTAAACAGCTAGTCTCATAACTCTCCATCCATCACCATTCAATTCGTGCCTCACACCAGACAGGTTGGGGTTGAGTCCAAGTCCGATCCAAGACTCGACAAGAGAACAGCATTGCCTGGCAAAACAGGTCACAACTCACAATCCTCACATCACTGGCGCCAGGCACATCTTCCACTCCTTTTTGCATTCTAACTTCCTCCCTCTCTTCTGCACCCCCTTTCATCTTTCCCACTTTCTCCATCTACCCCAGGTCGCTGCCCTCTAGCTGAATTCACCTTGCCAATCCAACCAAATATGGCGTCCCTGGACAATGACACCCGAACAAGGGTCGATGGCAGTGTCTTCCCACAGATGACCAAGAAGCCTCCCTTTTCAGTCGAGGCATCAGGCTATCAGAAGGTCGAGGGCGAGACCATTCCCCGACGTAATCCACTGGCGAAGGATCAGCTCATTGTTAGACCCTCCGATGAGGTCAAGACCATCTATGACAATCTCAAACGCGCCGCTGCAAAGTTCGGCAATGCCAAAGCAATGGGCTCTAGGAAGATCATCAAGACCCACGTCGAAAATAAAAAGGTCAAGAAAATGGTCGATGGTGTTGAACAAGAGGTGGACAAGAAATGGACCTACTACGAGCTGAGCGGCTACACATATATGTCTTTTGTCGAGTACGAGAAGCTAGCTCTGGACTATGGCTCTGGTCTGCGCAATCTTGAGATTGCCAAAGACGACAAAATGCATCTTTATGGTGCCACCAGGTAAGCATCCAATACCTACCCACCCGCCGTACCATTCTCTAAAGCTCCTAGTGCCCACTGGCTTGCCATGTCACATGCTGCTGCTTCTCAATCAATACCAGTGGTTACCGCCTACGATTCTCTAGGTGAGGAGGGTCTAAGGCACTCCCTGGTCCAAACTAGTTCCAAGGCCATCTTCCTCGATCCCAACCTGATCCCTACCTTCCTCAAAGTCGTCGAGGACGCAAAGGCACTGCAGGCGGTCATCTACAACGACGAACCCGAAATCAAGCAGGCGGATCTTGAGAAGTTGAAGTCCTCACATCCCCAACTCAAGGTCCTCAGTGTAGACGAGTTGAGGAAATTAGGCTCTGATAAGCCCTTTGAACCGGTCCCACCCGATGCAGAAGACCTCGCGTGTATCATGTACACCTCCGGCTCCACGGGTCCACCAAAAGGTGTAACAATCAAGCACAAAGCCGTTGTAGCTGCAATGGCTGGTGTGCAAAGCGTGGTGGCTCCCTACATCTCCCCAGCCGATGCACTACTCACATACTTGCCACAATCCCACATTTTCGAATACATGTTCGAGAATGTCACTCTCTTCTGGGGAGGTACCATGGGCTATGGGAACCCCAAGACCTTGTCGGACTCGTCCGTGCGCAACTGTAAAGGAGACATCAGGGAGTTCAAACCGACCATCTTGATCGGAGTCCCTGCTGTTTGGGAAAGCGTCAAGAAAGGAATCATTGCCAAGGTCAACAGTGGCTCGTTCATCACCAAAAATCTATTCTGGGGAGCCCTGTCCCTCAAACAAACTCTGCTGTCGTCTGGTCTTCCTGGTACTGGAATTCTCGATGCTGTCGTCTTCAAGAAACTAAAGGACGCGACTGGAGGCAGGCTCCGTATCGCTTTCAATGGAGGGGGTCCAATTTCTCAAGAAACCATCAAATTTATCAGCTATGCAATTACCCCAATGATTTCCGGCTACGGGCTGACCGAGACATCAGCAATGGGTTGCATTCAAGATCCACTAGCTTGGGATCCAACTGCTTTGGGTGATATCCCTGGTTGCGTCGAGATCAAGCTCGTCGACTTTCCAGATGCTGGATACTACTCTACAAATAAACCTCCTCAAGGCGAAATCTGGATCCGGGGTCCTTCAGTGACTGAGGGCTACTGGGACAACGACAAGGAAACGAAGGAGGCCATCACAGAAGACAAGTGGTTCAAGACCGGTGATATCGGTGAGTTTAACGCCAATGGACATCTCCGGATCATCGACCGCAAGAAGAACCTGGTCAAGACACTGAATGGCGAATACATTGCCATTGAGAAACTTGAATCATCCTATCGCACGGCCCCTGTCGTGGGAAATATTTGCGTGTTCGCCCAAGAGGACAAGGCTAAGCCAATTGCCATCATCGTACCCGTTGAACCGGTTTTGCAGAAGCTTGCTGCTGCAAATGGTATCAAGGGCGAGTCTGTAGAAGAAATGGCTCACGACAAGAAAGTTAACGCGCTGGTGCTGAAGGAGCTGCAGAAGGCAGGGCGTGGTGTTGGCCTGTCAGGAATCGAACTGATCGAAGGTCTTGTGATCGCTGACGAGGAATGGACACCGCAGAATGTGAGTACAATAATAATATATCACTGTCCCAGTCAACGCTAACTGTTGTGATAGGGCTTCATCTCTCCTGCCCAGAAGCTTCAACGCAAGAAGATACAGGCCAGATTCGAAAAGGAGATCAAGCAAGCATACGGTGGTAATTGAGATTGCCACGATACTAAATTGACGACTGCTGGCAATGGCATCCGGCACAAGCTGTGCAGCCTTGTCATTGTGAGGCAAACATGAGGGAGGCAATGTACGAATCCCAGGCAGTCAGGAAGGGAGCTGGGTTTTTGAGCGATCTTTCACGGTTGATATCCCCCAACATAGCTTAATATTATATGTGTGTTACATGTAACTGGTTTAGTTTCCCTATGGCAATCCGAGGCTCTCCTAGTCGGCATGCTTGTGGCAGAAGTATTGAGTTTCTCATATATATCTCCCACGTATGCTGCTTGGGAAGCAAAGAAGTACGCTGTGATCGCTAACAAGGTTGGGCATATCTGACACTTTGCTTGATTCTTGTGCTGACTTTGGGAGTGAAACAGCTTTGAGGAGGCGAGTCAATGTCTGCGGGACCCCATTTACCAAAAGTTGCTCAAAATATAGCATCATCCCCGCGTTTCCTGGCTATATCTTCACCACCAATCCTCATACCAATATTCTCCTTAATGAACGAGGGACAATACCCATCGCTTTGGCAGTGAGTCCAACAGCAAATTGCTGGCTCGTGTTCACACTTCGTGCATGGGAGTTGCGAAAATTCAGAAGTCTCCATGGTTACATCCTCCCTACGGCATCGCGTCAATGAATATTCAGTCAACTTCTGTTCAATTCGCTCACCTGATACCCCTTCTGTCGATCCCAAGCCCATGCGTGCCTAGGACAAAGAAGTTGACCGTCAGCATAATGAGCATTGAGGCCTTCATACCTGCGAGTCGAAGCGTGTTCAGTATGATGGTATATGGTGAGAGAGTGCACATGTGGCGAAAGGTGGAATTGCATGGCTAACGAAGGCCTTTTCAGGGTTATCCTCACAAGAATTTTGGTTTGGTACGGACACACATTCCAGCCAAGCATACATTCCTCGATGTTTGAATACTCCAAGGGGGTGAGAAGCTCAGGCGCGTCCTCCAGCCATCGTGACGCGTCTCAAAATGGGATTCTCCTTTGGTTACATCTTGTTCAAAGCAGGACATGGGTCCCAGTCAACGTCACAATATCCTCACCGACCATTTTTTGATTGCAGTGTTCTGGCAAGATGTGGTCGACACTGGTGCTGACCTTACTATATTTTTTCTATGTCATACCTTCATCAGTACAGCAATCTACCTACTGGCTGGCGAACAAGCCGCATGTTGGCAAAGTTGCGTTTCAAGACCCTAGTTATCCTGTCTTCCGCAACGTGAAAGACTATGGTGCCACAGGTAGGTCTCAAAGGCAGCTCTTTGACTAGTTGAAACTGAAAGTTGACTTTGGCATTAGGTGGGGGTATTATGGATGACAGCGATGCCATAAATCGTGCGATCCAAGCACCTGGAAATCGATGTGGTGGTGGCAACGTAACCTTTGGTAGATTCTGCGAGTCTTCTACCGTTACTCCAGCACTTGTATACTTCCCGCCCGGCACATACCTAGTCTCAAAACCTTTGATCATGTACTATGCCTCCCAGATCGTGGGAGACGCTGTCACTCCGCCCACTATCAAGGTGCAAGCTAATTATACCAATGGCCAAATTGGTCTGGCCGTGTTCGATTCGCTTCCCTATATTCCCAGCGGCAGTGGGAACCAGTGGCATGCAAATCAGAATAATTTCTTTCGCCAGTTACGAAATTTCATTATCGATATGACCGGCGCGCCTTTGACCTGCGCCGGTATTCACTGGCAGGTGGCTCAAGCAACCAGCATGCAGAACATTGTAATCAACATGGTACCGAAGGATGTCGTGAACAATCAGCAGCAAGGTATCTACATGGAGAATGGCTCAGGAAGCTTTTTTTCTGACATGGTCATCACTGGTGGCGCAATTGGAGCATACCTAGGAAACCAGCAGTTCACCACGCGATCGATCAGATTTGACGGTTGTTCGACAGCCATCAAAATGAATTTCGACTGGTTGTGGCTGTTCACACAAATTACGATCGTCAACTGCGACGTCGGTATTGACATGAGCAATGGAGGTACAGCAAATCAAGCAGTCGGCTCGCTGGTACTCATCGACAGCAACATAGCTGCGACGCAGGGCATTATCACTGCATACATACCTGGCTTTAGCTCTCCACAGGCGGCCGGTACCTTGGTGATAGAAAGAGTTGACTTCACAGCTAGCATAAGTGCGATCTCAGCAGGCGGTGGCACAGCGGCACGCACTATCCTGGCCGGTGGCCAGTTCGTCGAGCTCTTCGCGCAAGGTAATGCCTGGACAACAGCTGGACAGGCTCTGAATGGCCAGGTCTTTAATGGCACCAGCTGTGTCTACGAGAACGCTAGCCAAACGGTATACTCCGCCCAAGAAACCACGATCCAAAGAAAGCTCGCACCTATCCCTCGGCCATCGAATCTGGTTGACAGCTCTGGCGCCTATGTATACCGGGTCAAGCCGCAGTACGAACAACTGAATTGGGCAACTGACTTCATCAGTGCGAAGGCCTTCGGCCTGGTCGGAGATGGCGCGGCTGATGAGTCGGTAGCCATGCAGAATTTATTCAACACGGCCGCACAGCAGGGGAAAATTGTCTATTTCGACAAAGGTGCCTACGTGGTGACGACGACAATCTTGGTGCCCAAGGATCTCAAAATCACGGGCGAGTTGCTCAGCATCATCATGTGCCGGGGTCCATATTTCCAGGACGAATTCAATCCCAAGGTGATGTGGAAAATCGGGAACCCGGGCGAGGTCGGCACGGTAGAGCTGTCCGACCTGATATTTGAGACTCAAGGCCCGTGTGCTGGTGCGATCATGATCGAATGGAATATCAAGGCCGCCGGACCTGCTTTAGCAGGCATGTGGGATGCGCACTGGCGTATAGGTGGGACCGCTGGTACGCAGCTACAGCAGAATACCTGCATCAAGACACCTGCAATTCCCATAGCGCCTGGCCACCCGAAGTTGTCGGCTTGCATCGGCGCGTTCCTTCTGCTGCACATTACGAAAGAAGCCGACGGGTACTTTGAAAACACGTGGGGCTGGGTCGCGGATCACGAGCTGGACATGGACGACAGAGAACAGATATACATCTTCAACAAAGCGTGAGTACCAAATCTCCCATAGGCTATGTATAGGGCCGTATGGCGTAAATCTTTGAAAAAAGACACACAAGGCTGACAACCTCTCAGGGGCTTCTTGATAGAAAGCGAGAACGGCCCGGTATGGATGTACGGGACGGCATCTGAACACTCAGTATTCTACGACTATCAGTTCACCAACGCGAGGAACATCTTCATAGGCCACGTCCAGCACGAGACGGCGTACTTCCAGGGTAACCCCAATGCACTACTCCCCTTCACGCCGCAGGCCAGTTGGCACGACCCGACATACGAGGACTGCGTTCAGGCCAACTGCGCGCGGACGTGGGCGCTGCGCTTCGTCAACTCCAGCCAGATCTTCTTGTACGGCGGCGGCGCGTACAACTTCTTCGAGAACTGGAACACCCAGGCATGTTTGGGGACCGAAAGCTGTCAGGAACGCATGGTCGATATCCGCAACTCGTCGGATATCTACCTCTGGGCACTGAGCACCAAGGGCTCGCAGTTTATGATCAGTTATGAGGGCACGAGTATCGTGCCTTATTCGGTGAATAGGGCGAATTTCTGCGAGACTATTGCGCTATTTGAGTTGGCTAAAGATCAGTGAAGGAGGAGAGAAATCCCAAGTTTGCGTTTGATGGGTCATCGTAATAAAAACGTGGTGGTTGATTTACCTGTATTTCAGGCACTAACATCTAGGGGGCCCAGATCGATCTATCTATCCATCTCATGAGGAACTAAAATTTTGATGCTGAATATCAAATATTAATGTGTTCTTTTCGTGATGTTGCTGGTCTCACAAATAGATCGTTGTGTTTTTCGAGTGCAAGTGACTTCGAAGAAAAGAACCCCCCATTTGTCGGACATGCCCACTTCAATCCTCATTCCTACCTGCCCACATACCAATAGACTGATACTCCACTGCCAACGCCTTATGATCCAAGAAGGGTTTCCCAGACGAGATGTGAAGTGAATGAGTTCGCCAGAACTCGAAACACGCATGCAGTTCGAAGGACTTCTGGCCGATGCTCACGTATAATCAGAAAGGGCAGCGAGCGATCGAAGCAGCTTGCGAACCGACTCAGTGTCTCCTTTTCTGGATCTGACAGATCACAATATATCGGCGTAAATATCGCGTTGAGGAATCGCCGGATTCATTCCTACTTCCCGGGAGCTTTCACAGCTAAACGTCGGCATGTCGTTTACAGTACTCGCAAATACGGTCCTGAAGCGGGCGTCACGCTCGTTGTTTTCCGCGAGGCCACCCATGGCAATAACAGTCCATGGCTCCAGCATCAGACGAGGCTTTACAAAATCAGCACCTACATTATTACGAACGACCGAGCTGGACGGACCCGCTTTATCCGGCCTCCAAGTCGACCGTGACCGGCTGTGGGACACAATCCACTCCACAGCACGCTGGACCGAACCCACAGGCGTTGACCCAAGCGACATCAAACGGGTCGGGCTCAAGCGCCTCACACTCAGCAAAGAAGACAAAGAGGCGCGCGACTGGTTCGTGAGCACGACCGAGTCACTGGGCTGCAGGACGCACGTCGACCAGATCGGGAACATCTTCGCGGTGCGCCCTGGTCTGACCAACGAAGCTCCTGCAACGTTCGCAGGAAGCCATTTGGATTCGCAGCCTTCTGGGGGCAGGTTCGATGGGATTCTGGGCGTCGCTGCGGGGGTGGAGATGTTGAGGACGTTGAATGAAAATTGGATCGAGACGGAAGGGCCGGTGGGCGTCGTTAATTGGACTAACGAGGAGGGCGCGAAGTATCCCGTCAGCATGATGGGGAGTGGTGTCTGGTCTGGACGAGTCGGGCTTCAGAATGCGTGGGATCTGAAGAGTGTGAGTCCCACTGGACTGGTCACGACCGTGAAGGAGGAGTTGGAAAAGATCGGGTATCTGGGCAGTCTACCGGTTGGTCCTAAGGGCATGCCCATCGGGGCGCATTTTGAACTCCATATCGAGCAGGGTCCGAAGTTGGAAGCTGCCCACCAAGCCATCGGCGTTGTGGAGGGAGTCCAGGCGTACAAATGGTTCACGGCCACCATCACGGGACGAGAATCCCACGCTGGGACGACGGATTTCGATCACCGCGCCGACGCCCTCTACTCAGCGTCTCTCTTCATCGCCACTGTACGAGAAGTCGCGAAGAGCGTCGGTGGTCTGTCCACGGTGGGAATGCTCAGTCTGTCACCAGGCAGCGTCAACACGGTCCCGGGAGAGGTGAAGCTCAGCCTCGACATCCGGCACCCTTCGGATTCCGGACTGGCGCAGATGCTACATATGATCAACGCCTCGTGCCACCAGATCGCCAGCCTGACCACCGGTGACGGCAGGAAGAGCCATCTGACCGAGATCGGCTTCGAGATGAAGGAGGATTTCTCCAGTGCTGGTGTCAAATTCCACCCCGATGCCATCCAGTGTGTGGAGCAGGCTGCTGCGGGCGTACTTGGGGGCAATCATGATTTGGTCGAGCGTAAAGTCCGACGTATGACCAGTGGTGCCGGCCATGATAGTGTTGGCACCAATATGCATTGTCCTACCGCGATGGTCTTCGTGCCGTGTAAAGATGGTGTTAGTCACAATCCTGTGGAGTGGTGTGAGCAGGAGGATTGTGCTGTGGGTGCGAATGTGTTGATGCATTCGGTGCTGAGGATGGATAGGCTGAGGAAGGAAAGGGGAGATTTTGACTAGGTAGTTAATGAGAGGTAGGAAACGAAAATTACGAGCTGGCTACTTGGACCGAGCGGTTTGAAATATGGCCGCATCATTGTGTTTCTTGTTTCATTGGTATCTGAAAAATGTCCTTAAGATAGGACATGATAGTACCTGCCAGCCTCCAATATTGATTCGGTTGGAGCCCGAGCCTTGTAGGCCTTGCTAGAGACGTCCATAGCCGTATCCATATCAATCCGTCATTTGCAGACTCCTTGGTCCGTCGTTCCATGGCCGACCATTTAACTGGCCGCAGGGGGAGCAGCACCACGACCACGGCCGAAGCCTCCACGGAATTGAGGAGTGTACTCGCCAGGAGCACCGCCTTCCTTGCCCTCACCAGCATCACGGCGACGATAACCACCCTCACGGTCACCGTCACGTCGAGGACCACCACGGCCTCCACCACGGCGCTCACGGTCTTCACCACCCATCATACCACGAGGAGGAGCGTGCGAGCGTTGCTGCTTGATGTGAGTTGCGGGAACAATCTCAGCCGGCAGATGGAGCCATTCGCGCAGGTAGTCGAGTCCCTCGGGAGTCAGGGTGTAGTAGTAGTACTGCCAGGAGAACTGAGTCTTCACATAGCCGCGAGAGGTGAGGGACTGCAGAGCCTTGATGACCTATAGTTCAGACCCGGTCAGTTACGCAGGTCCAACGCAATTGTCTCGACGGGTTAATCGTACAAAGAGGTTTTTGGTGTCGATGTCACCGTGCTTAGGGAGGTTGTAGTCCTTCTTGGCCACGAGCACACCCTCCTTGAAGAGGTACTCGTGGATCTTCTTGCGATCGGCCTTAGGGATAAGCCTGCGGCGTGAGTTAGTCTTCTGGCCATGCGGTAATGATAATCGAAGGGGTGACCGTACATTGTTGCGAGTTCCTTGCGCTCTTCGTGGAATCGCACACGATGCTGAGTGTCAGAGGAGAGAAATGTGGTGGTTTGAGTGAGGTCTGAATTCAGTCGATCGATCAATTCGGCCACAAGTCGAAGGGGAAACTTTTAGTGGGTGAGCAAACTTGGCAAGTGCGGATTTTCTTGGCGCTCGCACATCGAAGTTGCCCTCACTCTACCACAGCGCTTTGAACTACACCTGGATTTTTTGTTGGCCAAGTTTAAACCACCTCACAAACCCACAACTCTCGAACTGCATACTCTTATTGCTCGCTGAAGAGCCGGTACTTCGTCAGGTTAGTCTCAAGAAACCTCACACGGATTTTGCTTTGTCGCGGAATCGTCGCAGGGCGCAGGCAAACCCCCATCGAGAATTTATTGCTTCAACCAGCAAGAATTAACGCACACGACACCCGCATTCGAATGAACATCGTCTGAAAATCCATAGCTGACATCTCACTCGTTTTACAGTCCTCTTCAGTTTCGCAATCATGGGTATCTCACGAGACAGCCGCCACAAGCGGTCCGCAACCGGTGCAAAGCGCGCATACTACCGAAAGAAGAGGTAAATCACACTTTCGATGGTTAACTTGTATTGCGAAAAGAGAGCAAAAAATACTGATACCCAATTTTTCCGTGCAGAGCTTTTGAAAAAGGCCGTCAACCAGCCAACACTCGTATCGGCAACAAGAGAATCCATCTTGTACGCACCCGAGGTGGAAACACCAAGTACCGAGCCTTGAGAATCGAGAGCGGTAACTTCTCCTGGGGATCTGAGGGCATCGCCCGCAAGGTCCGCGTGATTGTCGTCGCCTTCCACCCCTCCAACAACGAACTCGTCCGCACAAACACCCTCACCCGCTCCGCCGTTGTCCAGGTCGACGCTGCACCTTTCCGTACCTGGTACGAGGCTCACTACGGCATCACCATTGGCCGAAAGCGACAAGGTCAGAAGGGCGAGGCCGTAGAGGACAAGAAAGTCAGCAAGTCCGTCACAGCCAAGCGTGAAGAGCGATTGAAGAAGAGTGGAAAGATCGAGCCCGCTTTGGAGAGACAGTTCGAGGCCGGTAGACTGTTTGCCGTTATCAGCTCGAGACCGGGCCAGAGTGGACGAGTTGACGGGTACATCCTCGAGGGTGATGAGTTGGCCTTCTACCAGAGAGCCATTAGGAAGTAAGGGTGAGGTCAAGGTGCGAGACAGAGAACCCAGAGGGTTAGGCGTGATTCAACGGTCCAGAGGAGTTCTTGTCATGGGGAACTGGGGCAAGCAAAACTCAATGTGTGTGGGGGAACGTTATGACAGCCATGCTGAAACATGAAAACCATGTACAAATCATGAGAGCTGTGGAAGGATGTGAAAGTACTGAGCTGGTCATTGTGCCCCTACCAACTATGACTACCTTTCTTTCTTTTCTAGCTCACGGCTCCCTGTCATGACATGATCATGGTCATGAATCACGGAGAATTACCCATCCCAAGCTAGAAAGAATTGACTAAAAAAAGATCAGATTCCAATCCAATTCATTAGTTCCTTCGATCCAACCTGATTAATCTTTGGTCCTGTTCGACCCGTTCATTCGTCCCGCTGCATGATAATTTTTCCGCCCAATGATTTTCTGATATACATGCGTATTTCGCAAGAACAGCATGCAAGCCAGCACATACACCTCTAATGATTGCGTCGACAGGGACTTGGGACCACGGGGCAAGGCATACTCTGTGTAACAATGTCTTGGTTACCGACTGCTTGGAATGTGGCCAACACGACCATCCTTTTCATATTTTGGTGGTCGCCCGGGTCGGTCGATGACGTGTCTGTGAACATCACTCGCTATCCACTGTTTGTTTGTCTGTGTTTTGTTCCAATTGAAAATACTAAGAAGCAGAAGGTGTTGTTAGATACGGGCAGTGGAAATCGGAGTGGGAAAGGGAAAGGAGTGAGAAATAGGTAACACTTACATACAAATGAGACGAGGCTCGAAATTCTGTTTCCCCCTATCTCAAGCAGCCGCACTGACGACGGTCTCGTTGAAGTTGAAGTAGCTTGCCTTCTCCTCCTTGGTGAAGTCTCTGATGGACTCTTCGACATGGGGTGGGTGAGGGATGGTGCCGCTCGTGCCCAGCTGACGGACGGTGACGCGGTCGTTGCGCCGGCGGGCAGAGCCCAGGTGTGAGGTGTGTCCGGCGTTCGCGGCACGCAGGTTGCGGAGTTTCTTCTCCGAGAGTTCGATGGCTGCCAGGAGCCGGCCGTGCTGGGTCCAGAAGGTGTCGGACGTTTTCAGGGCGTGGAGGCGCTCGGCGAAGGAGAAGGCTTTCGACTTGAGCTTGTCCTGAGTGGTTTTGACGGAGGCGTCCCATCCGGCGCGGTTGGTGATTGGGCTGGGCGTTGTGGCCAGCTTGCTGGCGAGCTGGGGGATGTGTTTCTTGAGGTGGGCCATGAGTGTCTCGTCGCCTCTGTGGAGGTGAAGGGCGTGCATGAGCTGGGTGTGGATTTCAAAGCCTGCCAGCTCGGCCGCTGCGACGACCCATTGGCCGTGGAGCTGGAGGAAGTCCTTGTAGAAGGTCAGGAGCTTGCTGCCGTTGGCGGAGACTCGCAACCATGGACGCAAGGCAGTAAGAGCTGGTCGGAGGTTTTCATACTGGACGCTCGGTCCTGGCTCCTTGGTGATGACATAGGCCATGAACTCATTGTTGGTGAAGAGATTCTTGAGTGGGAGAGGAGTCTTTTTCTCGAGGAGATGAGCCAGTGCTTCTGGTTTGTCTTCGTAGCAAAGGGTGAACGCAGGAAGGAGAGTGACGCTGTTGCTGGGAGACTTGAGGCTGGTTCTCATTGGGAGGGTGAAAGTCATCGAGGAAGACATTTTGAATGGCGAGGATGAAGATGGACGATGATACTGTTGTACAGGGTCTTGAAGAATGATAGCAATGGGCTTGTATTGATGCTGTGAGAGAGATGAATAGGAATACTTGAGAAGGTATGAATGGAAGTAGAGTCAACAATGCCTTTGGAACAAGAGGATTCAGGATGAACTGAAAGTACTCTCACTTGTATTCAGTTCTGCGCAGAACCGTTTATCGGGAGGCTGGGATTGAGTGCTGATGGTGAGGCAGTAGACACTCTGATATTCACTTTATCTGATCATGTGTTTGTTCTCGCAGTCCTGCACTTTTTGAATGCTGAACTGAGTTCTCCGGAAAACGCCGTCCTATTGCGCGTAACTTTTCTGCTCTGCCCGTAGGTTTCGAATCCAAACAACATCAGCAAAGAGAGTACGCAGGTACTAAACATGTGGCCACCTCTTCATCAGCGCATCCGTTCCACGGTGTTTCGTCGTCTGGGCGCAAGGCTGGGCAAACATGATTGGATAGGGGGGAATAGAAACGGGAACGGAGTAGATGGGGGAAAGGGGCTGAGATCAATCTGAATCATAAACCATAGTCGGAAAGAGAAAGGTACTCTGGAAGCAATAATACTTCTGTGCGTTCTCCTCCCACTCGATCACTTTTGTACGAAAAATCGCTGTTAACACCCAGATACACTTCGTACGCTTGGTGGTGACAAGGGCGCGCGATGGGCTCGGCTTCGAGATTAACCATGGCTGAGATTGAGCCACCAAGGAACAGATGTCCATGATCTCATCGTGTCTCTCAGGCGCTATTTCGTACCATTCGAAGATGGTAGCAGGAATCTCTCGGCCTTACAGTGCGCACATCATGATGACGCTGACCAGATGAGGCCTCTATACATGACTGCAAAACGCTACTTTTTGGCCGTTTAGTGCCACAGAAAGTGGACCTTCCGAAAATTTCGATAATTGACATGACCTGTACGTGGAAAGATGCTGAGCTGTTTGATGCGAATCCTCGAGCCCCAGCGCCCAATGAAACACTTGCCAACGCCCGAGGAGCAGCAAGATGGTTCTGTACGCGAAGATGGGCAAGTGAAAATCAATTCCACGCTTCAGGTTACAGAAGCATCATCGTAGGCGACAGAAAGCTGGCGATGAATCCACTGAAAAGCGGACTTATCTTCGTGCCACTGCTCCCAGCTGGAGTTGCAGTTGCAGCAGCCGCTAGTATTTCTTGTCCACCAGTGATCGTGACGGAAAGGCTGACCATGTCTGTCGGCCTAACCGTTGCCGTAACGACTTTACTCGAGAGCGGTACACCCGTGGCAGTTATCAGTGCGCTGACGTCTGCATTTGTGTTGGTGAAAACCTCTTTGGGCGCAGCCAGCGTCATGCTACAGACCACACTGCTTGTGCTTTGTGCAAGAGAGCATTTTGCTGTCAAGGCGATATTCCCGTTGGAGTCGTCGTAAACCCATGTTCTGGGACCGTATGTGACTATCCAGAGATGATTACCACAGAGGCCTGTGTCAATGTTCGAGCCCACACATTCCATGAGCACAACTGTAGACGATGGATTCTGGAATTGACATTATGGGTCTGATTGTGGCCACAAAATCAAGGTTTGGAACTCACTGCAGTCACAACTAACCCAGCCAGTTGCTGCGAGTCGAGGCTGGCCCCCCAACATTGGAATCTTGGATGAAGAATGCATCAAGCACTGGATCACCACCATCTCCTGTAGAATTCGTAGAATTCTGAGCCTGGATCGGCTGGAAGAGTGCAAGCAAGGCGATGCTGGCTGCAAAGAGGGTTGAGCGTAAAGGCGCCATTTTAGGAGTTAGCATTAAGAAAGGACAATGGGCAGTCAATCAGATATTTGAGGTTGTTTCTTTTTAGAACTGAATGGGGAATTTGAGATGTGAGTGCTTGAGGGCGACGGCAATATGAACGAAATGGTAGAACGAAAGGGTCACAATCCAAGGGAAGGACACTCGCTCCGTATTAATACTACCTGGTCAACCTATAGAGACCATAGTAACAGGGAACCAAAAGGCGTTTCGAGAAGGGGATAGTGTTCCGTCAATATAGACATCATTTCAGACCTTGTCTAAGACTGCGATTAGCGGAGGCGAAACATAGCCTGGTGTGGGACTCTCGCGGTGAAACTAGTACACTAAGTCTTGTTATCTTCTGCTCCATTTTGTTCGTCGGTGGTCAGGTAGGATGAGGGGAGGTTTTATGACAATTGGGTTGCCTGAATGCATTGGCAGGAGTTAGGACAAGCACTATCACCAGTTCATAGGAAGGAGAAGTGCGGAGGAAGTCCAAATCGAGCGGCGGCATGGTGCAGAAGTACAAGAGGCGGCACCGTACATGTCGCACCATCAGACGAATAGAACCGGGGGGTCAAACCATGACTAGGATATGCATGATATAGATGGAAGCTGTCCGAGGTCGACCCCGGCTGAGATCGTACATAGGACTCATGGATTCCTTCCTACATGATCTAGAAGTCATCACTGATCCGAGACTGGAGACTCGAAGGCTGCCAAAGATGAAAGAGCCGTAAACGCTTGGCACCGGTCACGAGTCACGAGTCACGTGGGTTGGTCGATGGAGAGTGGTGACATGCGGGGAGCTCGTCACGGACTCAGGGCATGATCAAATCGAGGCAACAGACACTTATGAACATGACAAAGTAATTTCGATCTTCCCAATTTCCCTTCTTCCCTTATGCGTCATTGTATACACGTTCTGTCTGTCATTTTCATGCTACATATAATATCTTCAAGACTAGTGCTTCCACAGCCTTCTCAGAGAGTTGAAATGCTCTAGTCGAACACAATTGCCGCCTTGATGGCGCTCTTGTTCTTCATTGCCTCGAGACACTCCTTCCACTCCTCCAGCTTAAAGGTCTTGTTGACAATGCCGGCGACCTTAACCTTGCCCTTGTCTGTATGTGGCTATGGTTAGCCAGTCGGGTCATTGCACATAAGAGCTTGGGGAAAATACATACCAAGATAGTCGATGGCTGCTGGGAACTTGTATGTCTCACTGAAGGAACCCAGAATGGTGATCTCATCTCCGAAGATCTTGCTTGGTGGCCAGGAGACGCGATCCTTGTTGGCATACACTCCGTAAACCACAAGTTTGCCGCCTCTCCGCACATAGTTGATCGAGTCTTCCAAGATCTTGACGCTACCAGTGGCCTCGACGACAATGTCGAAACCGTATGGGTTCTCCTTCTTGATCTTCTCGAATTGCGCTGAGGGATCCTTACGGGAAAGCGCAACATATTCATCTGCAGCGTCCAGAGATTTGGCCAAGTCCATCTTCAAGCCTTCCGGGGCTGCAACGACGACATGACACCCGCCGTTTTGCCGAAGCATCTGCGTCAGGACCAATCCCGTAGGTCCCGCTCCAAACATCAACACACTGGACCCCATCTTTGGTGCGATCTTGTCGAGACCGTGGGCTGCACAGGAGGCAGGTTCAAGGAGAGTGGCATCTACATCGGAGAGGTTCTTGATCGGGAAGACTCTCTTTGCTGGGTATGCACAGTACTCGGCAAAACCTCCGTCCATGGTGACACCGTGGGCTTGGAAGTCCTCACAGAGGAGTTCCTCACCACGACGGCAGTAGAAGCATTCACCGCAGAGCTCGGAGTTGTCTGCAACCACTCGATCTCCGATGCTGAAGCCCTTGACCTTGGGGCCAATAGCAGCGACAACACCGACCGTCTCGTGGCCTGGAATCAAGGGGAACTGCCAGTGATCATGAGCAATGGACATTGGTGGGATAGATTCGACTCATACCTTGGCCAGAAACTCTCCCTCGTGGATGTGCAGGTCGGTACCACATACACCGCAAGCCTTAACCTTGAGCTATTCGCGGGTGTCAGCCACCTCTTCAACTTAGCTATTCTAGGTTCACATACCAGGACATCATTTTCACGCAGTTTTGGGAGAGGGACTTCGACGACGCTGAACTCCTCGGGCTTGGAGTATTCTGGACTTGAGATCAGTCTGGATTCCTGTTCTAGCAAGACGCTCCAAGCCAGGAGTCTGAGGGGGGGTACATACGCAGCGCCTTCATCTTGGTGGGAAGGTCTGATGGAGCCATGTTGCGGGCGGTTTATGTTCAAGATTCTGGTTAGAGGAATAGACAGAGGGAAGCAATTCTAGACGATTGGGAGAAAGTGCAGCAGGAGCAGCAGGAGCAGCAGGAGCGGGATGCTTTTATTTTCTGATGGAGGGAATATGTTGAGGGGTGTTTCCAAGCTACTGACCATCTCTTCAGCAACAGATGACCGTGGGCTGCAGCGCGTGGGCAAAGGCACCCGAGTGCCAAAGCGAGTGCGGGGCGTCCTTCGTGCAGCAATCCTCGTTACGAAGATTGACTTTTTGATTGTTCAGGATTCAGAGCTTCCGGTGCCCCTCTGCCGCGCTGCTCGTCCAAACAGCATCAGCCAAGCGCCCGTTCAACTGCAATGCCATCCCTCCGATATTTCATCGTGCAACTTACGGAAGGAGAACACACAGCAATCCGAATCCACCTGGGTAGAAAGCCTCTGTCTACGAGAATGTACTCATGGTTAGGCTTGTTGCGCCGGCATTCTACTATATCGAGCTATCCTTCCGCATAGCTTCATCCATATGTCCAAGTACTCAACATCTTGAGTCGGCGAGTCTAGGATTGCACATCTCAGCTCCAGCTTCAACTTCCACGCCCTCGGGCCCAGACCGATCATTCGTCGCTCAACCATCTGTGTAAACACACCGTCACAAGAGGTGTTTGAGGAAATGTCTCGCAAATAGGTCCACAGCGCTAGAGGAGGTACTTTGTTTACTTCTGCTTCCACTGCCCCATGCCCCATGTCCCATGCCCGCCTTCGTACTGGAGCGATGCTTTCTTTTTGTCTGGTCTGAATTTATCTCTCATTGCCTCGATTCTTTTTATCTTGAGTCTCGTGGGCCGCAGAAAGGCTTTTCTTATCTATTCGCGGGACACATTCCAATATCAAGTGGAAAGCTTCCCGCGGAACGAACTAGTCACACGATAAGATATACGGCTTTCTTTGTTTATGCGGTTTCTATCCACCTGAGTTCTGCGAGGCGAGGGAAACATACGTACGGGCTGGAAACTGTAGGCACTCTCCCACTGTATGTAGGTTACCCGTACTCCTACGCAAAGAGAAATATTATTATCTAGGTACGACAGGGTAGGGTAGGTCTATCAAGGTGACGGATGTTTCGAGTTCCAAAGAACAAAACATGAATTATCAATTGCTCTTTTCCATCCCACTCGTTCCCTCGCTCCCTCGCTCCCGTACCCCTACTGCACAGCGCATCCATCGAACAGCCAACCCCAATGCCAACTCTCCGCACTCAGAACGCCGCATGAACCTTCTCCCGCCCTCACTCTCATCACTCTCAACCATCCCTTCTTACACACACAGGCAGTGTTGATGCTTCGGCACCCTGCCCTCATCAACTATTTTTCTATCCACGTGGCCCCTCATTCCCCCAGCCGCGCAGTGCTTAGCATGCATGAGCCCGGGGGCCTGTGTCAGGAACAAATGCACCGACATGCTGTGCTACCACTAAAGGACCACCTGGAGTCGAGCTCATTCGTTTCCCAGTGGACGATTTTCGAAACTCCACACCTCACACCTCACACCTCGCACGCGAGCTCTAGATGGCCGACTTCTTACCAAGGAAAGCAACATGAAGCTTACTCAATCTCGCGGTAGAATCACGTCGCCGAGGCATAGTCTTAGTGAATTGCACTAGCCTACTCCCCTGGACGTTCATGCCAGCGAGCTGCAGATGGAATGCATCGTAGGATAGAATCGTCGTTTTCTTTATCCTATACTAGTAAACCAGCACAGCTGAGATGCCAAACGTAACACACAGCAAGTGATATTATACAAGCGGTGGATTCTCCCCTCCTACATGCAGGCATGTATAGTCACCAGTCCGCTAACTAGATCATTGGCGCGGAATTTTGTCCAATACCTCAATCCTCCCTCCATTTGCTGGTACCAGCGAAATCAGGCAAACAAACAGCTTCGCTACCCTCCCAACACCGCAGCTCAATGCAACACCAACAAGGCCCTTGGCTCGCTGTCCTGCTCGGAAACGCACCTTCAACGATCAAAGTGTGTTTCGCTATCGTGAATGTATCATGTCCATTTCCCCGTCCCGCCAGACCAAAGTTCAAACCAATGCATCGATGCGGTCATCAGTCATTCTTCGCTTTTATTTCAAACCAAATCCTTCGCTGTTAGTAACAGCCATCCAAAGCTTATACTCCAGCTTTTGGCGACTCTCATATTTGAACAAGCTTATTGTATTAAAACACGTTCTCGCAATTGGAAATTTCTCAATGGGTAGGTTCGTCGGCCGACCCTGTGCATCGAACTCATCTTTGCCCCGAATCAATTGGATGCGGATGACAAGATTGGTTGCTCCCATTGCCGGTATCCTGTCACTGCCCGTAATGAAACTCAAAATCCTTCGCTGATCACTGGGGCTGACTTTGCACACGAAGTCCCAGAACCACACCACCTGAGGTTGTTGCTCAGCCGGCCCTTCTTGTTTGGGCCAGCCTTCATAGGTTGCAACCGCACGAAGGCTGGCAACATCGAGTGACTCGTCGGATCCGCGGACGAGTAACTCAATCTCCTCAGGCCGAAAGAGGGAGAGGGCGTTGCCTCCGCAGACTGTAAAGAAACCTCGCTTGAATGGTTCATATTGCCGCGTAACTGCTGTATCCAGGAGATAATGAACGTACAAATCAACAAACTCTTTTCGGTTGCTGTTGGTGACCGCACGCTTCTCACCTCCTGGGAAAAGTGGCACCTGGACGACTTCGCCATAACGGTCCATCTCTGCCACAAAATCTCGACAAAAGGTCTCTTGCACATCGCCCTCAAATTCGAGGAGTTGTCGGAAGCCCCGTGCAAGAGCAGGTCGATATTCAGCTAGATCGTCAAGCGAGTACCCATGGCCGATCCTCGGTGTCGAGGTCAATTTGTCCCCGATCAAAGGCGCCGAGGCCAACATCTTTCTAAAGACGAAAGGTGGAAATGCAATATCTAGAATTGTCGAGTTATAAATCGCTAGACCCAATAGCACGCCGACCAAGAAGAATTGCTCAGAGGATTCAAAGCAGAACGGGTTGAAATAACAGTATTGTGAATCGTCATCGTAAACGAACAATCCGTGGTTGGGGTCGAAGATCTCCCGTACGAGGAGCAAGAACCACTCTTTGCGGAGGCCACCTGCATCGATCCCTTCCTCTCCCTGGAAGTCAATTCTAAGGCCTTTCTTCAGATCGTTTCCCCCTGATCCAACGGCTTCCGAAACGCTTCGGAGGCTGTCTTCCACCAGGCAATCTCTTCGGACCCTCAGCACAAGATACTGGCTCACGGCTTTCCTGCTGAGAATGCTGTCGAAAAATGCCTCCCTGGCTTTGACCTCCATCTGCCTTCGCGCATCGTGCTCGAGGATATGTATCTTGGCATATATGCTGAGGAAGAAGGGATACTGACAAAACGTAAACCTGCTTTTCGTCGTTTCCCATGTTTCGAAATCAGCGACGAGATCAGCATAATCCAACATGGTGCTATAAAAGTTGCTGACGGGAATGATTTGACCATGAGAATTCGCGTTATACTTTGCGTTCATCCCAGGGCTGTGATGCCGCTGTTCATGCCCTATGACAGCATCCCTTTTCCGGGCGGCATGGCCAACGTTCGCTTGGAAAAATAGCGACATGACTCGTGCTGCGACCCGGATCTGCCAGTCCTCGCCATAGGAGGCCAGCTTTGGCATACCGTCTGATTGACCGGCGGATGTTGAGGAGTGTCTGCCCTCCAAAGCTGCATGAATCTGCGATGCGTGGCGCAGACCTGAATCTGAGAAGCTTGGAACGAGCCCATCAGTCGGATTGACTGGTTCAGCCACGGCTGGTTTTCTTTGCTGTCTGGACAATCTGTACGTAACAAAGCTCCCAATCAGTTCCACAGTGCGCTGAAAATGTCCATCTGAATACTTTGAGAACCATGAAACCAAATGCTGGTGGATTTCGTTGGAAAGATTGGCTATCAAGCCCAAGATCCGTTTGATTATCCCGGAGTGATGCCCTAAGCTGCCGGGTCTCCTAGCGGAGGGTTGAATCCGCTTCGAAGGCGAACCACGTAATCTTTCGTCATGGCCTCTTGCTGTTAAGGGATTCTTCAGCATTGATGGGTTGGAGGGCTTCCCGACGTCTAGTCTCGTTGGTGTAAGCAGTGGATTGGCAAGAAGTATCAGAAGGAATCGGCAATCCTCAGAGTGCTTGAGAGGCTGTCGGGGGCGCTTGAGGAGATTCTCAGTCACCTTGAGCAAACTTCTATGCAGGTGTGTACGAGAATCGATAATGTCATGATGAATGTTGCTCATGGATATAGAATTCCAACGTTGCAATTGGTCCTGGTCCGCAATCCTGGATTTCATTGCTTGCCATCTCGACTCCCACGCATCACCTGCATAGATAACTATCCGATACCATTCAGCAAGCTCAATCCAATTGATCCTCGCATACTTTGCTCCCGGGTTGCGCCCTTTGTCTGGTGACCTGTCCCGTTGGTGTTGATTGTCCTGTCCAGTACTGGAGGATCTTCCCCCGGGCGTGCCTAGCCACCAGGAGCCATTTTCGGCGATATCTCCGAGCAATAGCGTTTTGGCATCAAATTCTGACAAAAACACATCAGTCTCGAATAGTGGTGACGGTACAGGCTCGGACGGTTGTCGACGAGGTTGTGGTCCCGAGCCCGTCCTTGGTTTGAAACTTGGCGGAGGCCGCGAGAGGAAGGAGTTGTTTAACGTGGCACAACCAATAAAACAGCGAGCAATATAGTCTTCGACTTGACGAAAGATGGCAGAATGAGATATTTGTCGACTAACGGTACGAAGTTTTGGTTCCTTCGGATCTTGGGGTCTCGCTTTATTTGGTCGTGCTTTGATTGGTAACGAAGAAGAGAAAGGATCGACAGACGAGCCCTGAACAAATGAGCCTTCAGGGAGTTGGGAAGTGTTGAGAGTGGTCAAGGTGGATTCGGAGGGACTTCGGGGCTTAATGGCGGCCCGCGGTGATGGGGGTGGTGAATCCTGATCATCTTGATTTTGACTGTATAACAAGCCTTCTGGGGGACTCCCATCTAGTAGGAAAGATTCCTCGGTGTTGAACTGGCTATCCAATGGCTCAGGGCTATCCATTTCCCGAACATCCTCTAGTAAAGAACCAAGGTATTGTTCAAGGCATCGGTCAAGAAGTGCTCGTGTTCTGTCCAAGGACAACGGAGTTATTCTTCGTTGAGGCTGTGAACCTTGAGAGGAAGTAGAGGGTTCTTGTGGCAGCTCGTGATTGGGTTCCAGATCATTGATGGTCAAACAAGTCGTACATCTGAAAACCTTGAGTCCCTGAGGCCACCTAACGGTCGAATCGCAAGTCATACACCTCCCCGTGACTGGCTGCCGATCAGCTCGGTGAGAAGCACTTTCCTGTCCCAATGTCTTAGCTCGTACATCGTCCATGCGCCCCTCACGCGGAGCGCTGGAGGTGCCGTCATGTTCTCCTTTGGTCTGATGCTTTCGTTCGGATTTCTTAGATCCAAACAGATGGGGAAAGGGGTGACTGAACGAGCGATGGTGGGCGGGTTTCGTCGTGTTTAAGTCGGGTTCATCGGGAGCAGGCCGTCGACGAAGGGTGGGAATCTCATAGGGCTCGGTGGCAGAGGCCGGAGGGGGTGGCAAGGGACGATTGAGGTCGGGTAGGTTTAGGTCAACAGGAGGCGGTCGATTGTGCCATGTAGTCTGGGGGTTCCGGGGAAGAGTGCTGCCAGAGGGCTGCTCATATGAGGGTGACGGGCCGGGAGCCATGATAACTCGCACGCGTCTGCGTCTGCGATCAGCGTCGACAAATCTCAGGCGGATAGTTCCGCGTCGTCAATACATGAGATGGCAGTAGAACTAGGTGACGATCGATGGTACACACTGCGGTAGGTGACAAAAGACGGTGTTGGATTGAGGGCCAAAGGCAAGGCAGGGACGGGAGTGAGGATCAGGATCAGGATCGAAGTGGACGTGGATGCAAATGGACAGTCGCAACTGCTGGAGAGTCAATCCCCCGGGATAGTGTCACAACTCTTATGGTCAAAACAGTGAGCCAGCATATTGTCCGCCACAGACTGCGACAACGTGTTGCTGCTGCTGCTGCTGTTGCTGGCCGGCAGAGAGCGTGGAAAAAGACACGGAATCGTCAAGGCGGTAAGGTCCACTGAGGGGTGTTCCTCGCCGCTCTTCCATTCCTAGGGCGGACGACAAGCCGTAATCTGAGACCCGATGGACTAGTCGGTCCTACAAGAGCGACGTGGTGAGTAGTGGTCCGTAGTGAGGTGGGAGTTGAGACAAAGTCGATGTCACCACTGGCCAGGAGTGGATATGCCAGATGTCCAGCATACAAAGACAAGATAGGCGATGCGTGCAGTGCAGAGTACAGAGTAGTACGAAGTAGTCAGGACGAGTAGTCGAATAGCCAAGACCGGAGAATTCAAGGGACAAAATTGAACACCGACAAGGGACACCCAGGGACACCGAGGGCCAGTTTCACTTTGACCTTTCCCTCTACGTACTTTGTGTGCCAGTGGCCGGTCAGGGAGAGACATAAGCACTTCGCTAAGCCCAAACAATGCCGTCACTGCCGCGAATGGGAGGATTGTTTGACCATTTGAGCCAATGCAGCCAATGCAGCCAAAGCATCCCGTGGGCGGTGGCTTTAGGCACAGGCTGCTCCGTACTCCGTACAGTACAGTAGTACCGTGTACGGGATACCCCCTCGACCTGGTAGGTCCCCCTAAGCACGGCTACCGGAGGGTGAGATGAACGGGGGCCAGGGCCCAGGAGTCGAGGGGCGGATCTCTCCACACTCTCTGCACCACACACCTAGACAGGGTAGGTCTGGCTTCCTCATCTACGAGTAAAAGCGACGAGCGCGAGCTATAAGGTCCTCCTTGTGGTACTTGCACAACCTAGCCTGTATTTGCTTCTATTTTCGGAGTCTGCTAACTGATACCAAACCCAGCTCTGTTGACATCACCTGCACACAAGGGACCAGGTTGGTGCCAGGTGCCAGGTGCGAGGTATGGAGTACCTCGCATGAACCCTCCCACCTCCCCCTGATAGCGAACCCACCAGCACCATCAGAGCCTGCACCATTGGAGCATTTCTGAATGACAATAATATTCATGTCACCGAGGAGGTCTTCATTATTCGTACCAGCAGTGCACATCAATTTCTTCCTCCACACTCCACCCTGGAGATTGCCAGGAGGGCTCGCGTTGCTACCACTAGCCGAACCAGGGCAACGCCTCTTTTATAATCATATCATTCCTCAATCATCCAGTTGATATTCGGCAGCAAGCTTGTCCCCGGCCATCAGCCCCGTGAGATATGCTGTCGTTTGTGTGTGATTACTAGCAACAATAATTAGCCAAGATTCAGATCTCAAAAATCACGCCACGGTTGCTCGATCACTCGGTCACTCGGTACTTACTTCGCGATAATGGGAATCACGCTCATATCGGCCACTCTGAGATTTTCAACCCCAAACACTTTGAAGTCTCGGTCGACCACTCCTTCGCTTTCATCTTTGCCTATCTTGGCCGTACCTGTCATGTGCCAAGTACTGCCCGACTTGTTTTTCCAGAAGTGCAAGATGTCTTCGTCCGAATCGCTTTTGGGCGCATCTTGAACCGCGACTGTGTCTTTCTGGAACTCCGGACTTCTGACCACTTTGAGCACTGCTCGGGTGGCTTCGATTGCAGCCCTCTTGTCGAAAGGGTGGGAGAAGAAGTTGGGATTGAATAAGAGAGGCACTTTGGGGTCCGATGACTGGAGTGTCACTTCGCCTGTCGACTGTTCGTTCAGGTTGAATACGAAAATCGTAGTTCCTGCCGGTGAGTTTGGATCAATGAAATGTGGAATATGCGCTGCATTTAGAATGATTTCATAGTGTGGCACTGTTGGTTTGCGGAGGAATTCTTGCTCCGTTGCAGGCAAGTCTTTGAATTCGGTAGATTCCAAGAGCGAGTCCAGCTTGAGATATCCGATTCCCAAGGCGGTAGCTATTTCTGACAGAGGGCCACTGCCATCCTTCCTCCATTGCTGTCGTGCAGCTGCTTGAGCTTCTTGGCTGCTGTAGTACGCACGTCTTGTGCTAGTATGGTCAGCTCTTTCATATCCCATCATGATATGATGATGATCCCTGAGGTGCTGGCCCACATTCTCGTTGGCTTTCAGGATAGGAATGTTGAATTTGTTGAGTTGATCTGCAGGTCCAATGCCAGAGTGCATCAGTAAGCGAGGAGTATCGAGGCTACCACCCGAGAGGATGATTTCATTCTCTGCGTATATTTCTCTGCCATCAGCAGTTTCAATCGCGACAGCTTGTTTGCCGTCAAATTTGACGCGAATTACTTCAGTATTGATCAATATATGCAGATTGGAGGGTGCGTCAGCCAAGGCATCTGCTGAGGTCGACCGGACGCCTTTGCTTGCCGTCGAAAAAGACATCGCTAGGCCGACTGGATTGCCGTTGTTGTGGTCAGGGTTGAATTTAGTGCCGTTTGCATACCAGATATCCATCAACGTCTTTGCAGATGCTTCCCAGACGAGCGGGAAGCCCACTTTCACCGGCCCTTCATGCCCGTGGTCCTCGACACGAGGTTTCAAATACTTCTCATATTGTTTCGGCACCTCGTACTGGAAACTTTCAATCCTTTTGTATCGCTCATGTGCATTCTCCCACTTCCATTCATCGTCGCCGACAAGGTGGGCAAGCTTGTCGTGATCGTCTTTGGGCCCAACCGTCCAAACTGAAAAATTAATCGCAGTGCTTCCTCCTAGACCTTTGCCGCGATCGTAATCAATGACATTATCGTCGAATCCTCTGATCGGTGTAGTTTTGTAACCCCAGTTAGCTGATGGGTTCATGCGATGTAACCATCTCTCAGCATCTGCTCGCACATCCTTCGACGAGTTGTCACCACCAGCCTCTACCAGGAGCACTGAGGGGCGTTTCTTGCTTCTGGCAATGCGGCTGGCAAGGATTGCGCCAGCAGCGCCAGCCCCGACGATGATAAAATCAAACCGATCCGGGCTTGTTGAAGTCATGTTGTTAGTATTCTGAAATTAGGAGGAACAACAAAGAGGAAAGGAAAGTGAAATGATTGTAATGGTAGAGATATGCTCTGAAAATACTACCAGGAGCAACTTAAATAGAAGCCCAGAAAGGAGGAGATCAAAGACGATTGTACAACCTGCACGTGGCGACAATCATGCGTGACAAATTCTGAGTGCCCCAGTCGTTGAGGTCGAGCCTCTTCAGGTATCGGCAGAGGATTCTCTCGGCAACTACCTAGGTAGACAGACAAGGATGAGGTTTTCCGTCAAACCGGGTATTGTGCTGTGTCCCTTCAAGCTCAGGATGACGGCGTATCAAGCAATCGGTGATAATGCAAGGCAAAAGCTAAACAAGGGATCAAATTCTTGCTTACGCCCATTCACCATTTTCTTTGAAGGGATATTCTCGATCGAGAGCGGTTAGTCTTTTGGTTTCACGAGTCTCCATCAATGATGCGACGGCCAATCGAAGAGGAACAATCGTCTGGAAAGCTAACCTTGTGTTGGATTGATGACTATTTGTTAATTGTCACTCAGGACATGGTCCGTTGTCTAGTCATTGCTTGATCATGGAAACAGTATTTGTCCTTCTGTCGGCGACGTGACACAAGTTCTCTGGTTACCTAATCTGCATGAATGTCGACAGGTGGTGGACCACGCTGTGAGAGACAATGCTAGACTCGTGGCTGACGCCGCTGACAACAACCAGGGATTTGTCCCTTGGCATCGAGATGAAGAGGAACGCTTGGGAGCCATCTTGAATTCCTACCTATATTAAGTAGGAGGCATCTTTGCTCATTGGTTGGCTAGTTCTTCAAGCCATAGCATCCGACTGTTCTGGGATTCGGCGTTCAGGTGTAGAGGTTTCTTACACATCTCTGCTTTATAGCACTAGTATACCACCAGGGTAGCATGGGGCTATGGCGGTGCGTCATGCACGTTTGTTCCTTTCGTCTCCCGGTCGGGAAGCTTACGTTATTACTGCTCCTACGAGTGAATATCGGTGGGTCAAGGAGAGGTGTATAGGGGCTTGGCATCATCAATTGGCGCTATTAGCAAACTTTCCTGGCACTCATCACCAATTGACTACTCTACATGCCGACGGGCCAACCTCCACCACCTTCGATCCCGTGTTGGAAGTTGAGGGTTGTCGGGAATTCCCTGCAACCATCGGTTCGAAGGTCTTTACGAGGTAGACACCCTGCCAGCCCTACCTACCAGCAGGAAATTAATGGTGCTGGTGTCGGGGAGGTAAATACTGAGTCAGCACGCGTGGCCCGTCGTTCACGCTTCTGCGGTCGGTAATCGTGTATTCCTCTCCGGGTCCGGAGAAAAGAAATCGCGCTCCGCGGGCAAGAGCCAGCCAACAATTTATCTTGCAGCTTTTCTGTGCTCGTTCTCGAATACTACGTCTGGACCGGCACTGTCATAATTTTAATTGCGGTCGTTTCTGAATCCTTGTTAGCCAGTATAGACTTACTGCTACATGGACTTTGCCATTCGGTTTCCTCGAGTATTCCCCCAGGGTAGACTCATTGGGCGCAACTTCACCCGTTTTCACCTACGGGGAAGTCGGGCAGGATTGCTCCTTAGACAACGCTCACTTTCCACCCAGCGCCCTTTGGATAATCTACCTGCAGGCTCTCCCTATCCTCCCATAAATGTTGAGAATGTGCTTGCGAAAGTGTCACCACCGCAAGTTCCAGTGACCGAGCGCCCGCTCCGTACCCTGCAATCGTTGCCAGTCTCGTGTCCGGGATGCGGTGCCTTGACGCAAGATGTGGACCAAGGCACCGCCGGCTACTACACACGATCACGGAAGGCAGTAAAAAACTACTTGAAAGAGCTGCGTCAGTTGGATCATGCAGCTGACACAGACGATACCCATGTTGAGGAGTCTGTAACAGTTCCCCAGACAAGTGATGTAGACTGTCCTTCACCAGAGGAGGCGACTGCGCAGGCCGATCCTCCCGCGAGCCCAGTCCTCCCAATCTGCGACCGGTGTCATGACTTGATCCACGAATCGAAGGGCGTCCCTATAGCACATCCGTCGATCGAGAATATCGCAGACTCCATTGCCGAATCTCCATTCTCAAGAAATCATGTTTACCATGTAATAGATGCAGCTGACTTCCCGATGTCTCTCATTCCGTTGATTCACAAGCATCTTGATACCGCAAGACCGCGAACACAAAATCGCCGCTCTCCGCATCTTCGACATTCCACAAAGCCTGGACTGTCGTTCATCATCACCAGGTCTGATCTACTCGGGCCAAGCAAGGAAATGGTCGACAGGATGATGCCCAAGATCTCCACAATTCTTCGAACTGCCTTAGGCTATTGGGGAGAGAAGCTGCGCCTTGGAAACGTGCACTTGGTCTCTTCCAAACGAGGTTGGTGGACCCCGGGGCTGAAAGATAACATATGGGAACGAGGTGGAGGTAACTGGCTTGTGGGCAAATTCAATGTCGGGAAGTCAAATCTTTTCGAGGTCATATTTCCCAAGGGCTCTGGGCACAGAGCAATCTCGTATGCGGACCTAGAGGAGGAGCAACGCCAACTGTCCATAGACGGCCCACGCCACGTTGATATTCTCCCAGAGGATTCCCTACTTCCTCCAGCTCAACCCGAACTACGCTTTCCTTCCATGCCACTAGTTTCTAATCTTCCTGGAACGACTGCTGCACCCATCCGCCTCCCATTCGGTAACCATAGAGGCGAGCTTATTGACCTGCCAGGTTTGGAACGATCTGGTCTTGATTATTTTGTTGATAAAGCACACAAGAGTGACCTGGTTATGACAAGCCGCCCCAATGTGAAGGTGTTCAAAGTCAAAGTCGGCCAGTCTCTTTTGCTAGGTGGGGGTTTGGTGAGAATCACACCAATGTTAGATGAAAACGACCCTAGCACAATTTTACTGGCCTATCCTTTTGTGCCTCTGAAAGCCCACGTAACATCTACCGACAAGGCTATCGGGACGCAAGAGCAAAGACGGGAAAGCGGCATTGAGACTATCTTGGCCGAGGATGTTGGAACATCCATGTCTTCGGCCGGTATCTTCAATCTGGAAACAGATGTGACACGATCAAGAGCTGGCTCCATGGTCAGGGCTGGCGTCGATCCGTCCAAACTTCCATTTGAAGTCTTCGCTACAGACATCCTCATAGAAGGAGTGGGCTGGATTGAACTAGTTTGCCAGGTGAGGAAGAGCCGGAGAAGGTCGTCTCTTACATCACAATCACAGCCTTTGATCAATTACGAAGCGGGATCGATTGTTCGGGAGGGTTCTCAGGATCTTTTGACCACCGCGACGACCTTTCAACCATTCGGTGGAGTGGACTTTCACGAGTCGAACTTTTCAGCCAAAGATCCGAGCTCAAATTATTTCCCGAAAGTCGAAATCTTTACACCGAATGGGAAATCTGTTGGTCAGCGTCCTTGTCTGGGCATCTGGCAATTATGGAATCAGGGCTTGAGGCGTACGCATGAACGCTCCGCTCGCCCCCGGAAACCGATGAGCGGCGCGAAGAAACGCGACAAGCTTGCAAAGCGTGCAGCATTGGCAGTACAGACGCGGAGCTAGCTATAAGTGGGCATCCATCAAAGAGCTGCCTCAGCATGCTAAGGCTTCGACTACGTCATCAACAGAGGGATCCTCAAAGTCGATGGCATTTGAGAACACACATGGGTCCAGGTCAGAGGTATGGAGAGGGCATTTTCTCTGCTCCTGGGAGTGGACCGGTGTAAACATCTGTTCTCAAACCAATTGATACAAGTGTTTCGATCATGTCATGACAACAATCTTGCCACGTGCCAGATTTTGGTCCATCGTCTCATGAGCCCTCATGATCTCATCGATCGGGAACACCCTTCCGACTTCTACATGTAGGGTTCCAGCCGCTACCTGTTTCAGCAGGTCGTCGAATGGCATTTCTTGGAACTCCTTTGGCCCACCGCCGTATCTTGTCAAGTAAACACGGCCCGGAATTGCTTCCATCGGGCTGAAATCTTCAAGATGCCATTTGTTCCCTTTTCACCCTGTTAGGGTTCTGGCTGGGACCGGTATACAACTGGGTCAGTACTCACCGAGGATCCCCGTCATGCAGACTATTCCATCTGCAGCCGCACACAGCAATGAGTCCTTCAGCGTCGTCGTTCCTATTAGTTCCAGGACCTTATCAAACTTGTTACTCTGGACCTGTGTCGCCAAGTTACCATCGTCAATAAGAATCTGGTCGACGCCATTCTTCTGCAATACTTGGGCGCTTTCCTTGCCCGTATTGCGAGTAGTTGCAGCCACATAACAACCATGATTTTTAGCGACCGCGGCGGCGACCAGGCCGACGGATGATGTACCACCACGGATCAGTACGCGGTCAGACGCTTTTAGTTTCAGACCAGTGAACAAGGATCCCCAGGCAGTTTGCAGCATCTCAGGAAGTGCACCTAGAGTTGACCAATCAAGGTCGTGATTGATGAGTTGAACGTTGTCGGCCTTGACACATGTGTATTCAGCATACCCGCCGTCAAAATCTCGGCCCATACCTCCCATACAGGTTGCAACCTTATCACCAATGTTCAATCGGCCGCCGGGACACTTCTCAACGACTCCGACAGCCTCGATGCCCAAGACGCGTGGAAATTTGACCCCGGGACTGTGACCTTGCCGGGTGAATAATTCCGACCGGTTGAGGCCAAAGGCTTTGACTTTGATGAGGACCTCATCATGGTTTGGTGAGGGGATGGGAAGGGTCTCTATTTTGAGCACCTCGGGCCCGCCAGCCTTGCGAATGACAACAGCTTTCATTGTTGCCATCTTGGGTAATTCTGATCAACTGTTTGGCGCGCGCCAGCTGTGGATTTACTGAATTATTACTAGAGTAAGCAATATAACAGAGAATGGGTAGCATTGCCTGCTCGCTTTCACCACCCACCACGTTAGAACACACTAGCCTTCCTCTCCGTTCTTTTGTATGGATCACTGGCAAAGCCCGATTGTGGTCTCGGATGGCAAAACCTTGTATCGAATATCTCGAGGCGTGTCTCTCTATACAGCCTTCTGAGAGCCGAGCGTTTGACGAAGTGACGTTGACAAATATGGAGCGTATGTGTATGTAGTGGTAAAGGACATAAGGGGTCGGAGATAACATATGGCTGCAAAGGGTAGCTGTGCCGACAGTTTGTGTAGATGGTTCGTGCCGCCCCCCTTCGAAGCAATCAAGGGAAGCGGATTCCCTTAACATGTATCCAAGCAATGGTCTCGTTGATCTCAAGATGAACTGGTATAAATGAGATAGGTTCAAGTATATTACTGCCCCGACAATCTATGGGATGCTATTGATATTCCGCCACAGTGTAACGTGTGGCTTTGATTGGGACACACTCCAAGCATAAGATATTCTCCAAAAAGTTCATCCAATTACAAGGGTTCGTTTGGAACGAGGGTATAAAATCGATACTGATGGTGATGCCAAACATACATAACTCCTGAGTCCGGTCATGGGAAAGGTGAAAGGGGCCATTCCGTATAGTATGCGAAAAAGAAAACAAGTGACGATTCGGGGACGTGACCAGGATCAGGACCAAGACCGGAGAATTTGTCCAACGCCATGCTTAGTTTTATTTATTTTCTCAATCTCGTCTCTACGTTGGGACATGGTCGCCCTGTGGAGAGAGACGGCCCTGGGCATCGCTGTCGCCGGAGCTGTCGTCCTCGCCTTCGTTGTCGGCGGGGTACTGTGACGATATGGGAGATCGTTGTTGGTGCTGGTCCAGCATCAGGCTCTGTTGGCGGTGGTGCTTGGTTTCGAGTCGTCGGAGCCGCTCGCTGGTCTCGCGCAGTTTCGCATCGAGATCTTCTAGCTGGTAGCGTTGTGTCTGGACAATGTCTTTCCTGTGAAGAGAGACGGAGAAAGGCGTCCGTGAGTCAAACGGTCCAACTTTCGGAGTAGGCGGGTGATGGCTGAAGGGGGGGGGGGGGGGGGCACGTATAGTAGTAGGAGACGGGCTTACTTTTGGACCACGGATTCCTCGAGCTCTCCTATTCCGTTCAACTTGAACAAGTCGTCGAGCGCCGCGGAGAACTCTTGGGCCAGAACGCTGTACGAGTGGTTTGTTAGTGTTGGGGACAGGGACATGTGGAGGTGAACAGAGGTTCTCACGATTGTGGTCTGGCCTTCTTGGAGCTTTCAGAGGTTGCGGTCTGGGTGTCGTTGGGGGCGCTCATGGTTGATTGATCTCCGCAGTGAAAGACGATTATGGTGCTGAGTCGCGGGTATGGAAGCGAATCGTGAGAGGCCGAGCAAGATGGAAGTGAAGGTGGCAGGCAATATAGATCCAAGTCCGAGCGGGCAGACAGCACGCAACAGAGTCAAGTGATCGAAATGGTCAGTCAGTCAAGCAGGCGTGCGAAAGGCAAACGCAGAAACAGAGAAACGCAGTGGTGTACGGAGTGCGTCTGAGTAAGGAGCATTGGCAGACTGGGGATTTGGGCTAAGAATGGAGTCTGGGTCAACCTTGCAGACTTGCAGTGGTTAAGGATGATGGTCAGCCTATATGGACGAGACTGCCTAAGTCTAGGAGCAGTAGAAGCCAACACCGCCATGATGCCTGACCAGCCTGAGGCATTGCTAGGCACTGGCAGGCCGGCAGCTCAAGCTCAAGATCAGCTGGAAAAGGGGCACGCTTTCGTGTACCAAACCGAGCAGAGTGGTTCATGGTTCATTGAGGAGGCTAAGGGACTAACACGAATTCGAACCATTTAGATCTGTGGGCTTGTCGATCGTCATTTCAGTGGACGCCAGCATTAATTAGAGCGCTGGCGGCTCAACAAGAGGCTAAGTTGATGGAGCATTGGAGCACTGGAGATGGAGGCATGGAAGGGGATTGGGATTTCGGTTGTTTGAAGTTTAGTGACTTCTGACTCGCTGCTAACGTGTGCCTTTGATTGCCTGATGCTGGTCACTGGTATGGAGGGAGTAGCATGCTGGTCATAGAGTCAGAGAGTCAGAGCCATGTAAATTGCTGGTTGTGCGCTCAACCGAGCCCCGATGCCCCCCGTACGAGTAGATCTAGGACGGAGTACTCGTAGATTGTCAAGGAGCCACGGCCCACGTGAGTCCACCTCCATTTCCGTCTCCTGCTAAGGGCTGGGGGCTACCCAGGGGGGTCAGTCTCAGAACCTCAGGCACCCCCTCGGCCCCCAGGGTGCACGTATTGCGCCAAAACCTTCCCATGTGAGGACACCCGGGTATACGAGGGTCACCCAGCACCAGCACCAAGACTCCATCAAGTTGTTATTTTGGAGAAGCAAACTTGAAACAGCAAGACTTTCTGACCAGATTGTCGCAGAGGCCCGTCACTGTCAAACAGTCCCTGGCACGGCCATCGCTCCTCGCTGCAACTGCACTGGCACTGCAATTCTCATCCGCATCCCAACTCAAAAAATTCCCAAACGCCATCTCAGTCCTTTCATCAATCTCAATTTTTTGCAACCACCTATCCACCCATCGATCCCTCCTCGCGTGCAACCCGTCCCTTACGCGCAGGCACCTTTCATCCTCGAAACCATCCCAAATTTCACACCGAGAGGTCTTGTCGCGACCTTGCACTCGCACTTGCGCCTGCACCTTTGCACCCTTCCCCGAATCCCTGCGATGATGGGATGCCTTCATTAAAAGCCTATACACCTTATGAAACTCTTGCCTTTTGCCAGTCCATCGCTCGCCATGGCCTCGATCCTGCCGCCTTCGAGGATATCTCCCTGGCTCTGAATGCCAACCAGCTGATTCGCGACGGCCAGACCTACGATGAAAGTCGACTTACTGCCGTCGCCCTTCAAGGCCTCTGCAATGACCTACTTCTGGCAGAGAAACAGGCCGAGATCCCAGTAGTCAACGGCGACAATGGCACCAGTGCTGTCAATCCGAAAAAGCGGAAATTGTCAACATCACCACCCCCCGCGGAAAATGATGGCCTCTCCGACGAGAAACTTTTCCAGACTCTGGTCGAGAAGCTCTATGCACAGTTTAGAGAGAGGGTCATCAAGGAGATTCGGCTGGATGAAGCGACATATGAAAGTCTCCAGGCTGACATAGTTGACCTGGAAAAACGAGTCAAGGATGAAGAACGGCAGCAACAACAGGCTCGTGCCTTAGTCGACAAGGCTCAAGCCGACTACGATCAACAAAAGCGTCTTGAGAGAGAAGCCTCCAAGGCGGTACAGGCTCAAGCAAGTCCCGATCCTGCTGCAGCACAGCTCCAAGCTGACCTGGCTGCTTCTCGACCGGATCAGACCACCCCAAAGCCTCTCGCACCCATTCCCACTCCACCCGAATCGAAAGCCTCGCCTTCCTCTGCCCAAAGCGCCCAGCAGCAACCTATTGTGGCATCCAGGTCGCCGGCTCCGCCAGCTTCGCCGGCACCTAATGTGCTGGCTGCTAAATCGTCTGCCGAGCCTGCTTCAAATCGACCGCCACAACCGCATTCAGCTGGTGCTGCTGGTCAGCATCATTCGCCTGGAGCATATCCACGAGCTCTTCCAATACCATCGCCCCAGCGTCCTAACTATGTACCAATTAATCAACAACACTTTCAGCCTGGACCTCAAGGACATCCAGTGCCAGTTTTATCTCCTCACCCTGGAATTCCTCACATGCCTCCACCCACAGAGTTTCCAAACCAGAAACGATCCGGTTCAGGTTCTGGTCAGGGCAGAGGGTCACCCCTTCCGATGCCCCCTCAGCAACAATATCCTGCATATCCTGGCTATCCTCAGCCCCCGTGGCCTCCACAGATAGCTCCACAACATCAATACCAGCAATCACCACCATATCCAAACCAGCCATATTACCCGCCTCCGCCTAATGCCCGACCAGGAGCTCCGTATCAAACGCCTCATCATCCACAGTATCAACAGTACCCTCAAAGTGCGCCCATTCATTATCAAGGCCAACCAAATCCACATAAGTGGCCTCCACCACCACCCAACCAGCCGTACTATCCCTATCCAAATTCTGCCAATGTCACACCAGTTCCGCGTTCTGATTCCCGGCGTTTGCAGTCACGTGGACGCTCTTCCACCCCCTGGAAGAAACGTACGGAACAACAGCATCACATCCGAACATCATCGCCGATTCGCCCAGAGAGAGAAGTTAGTCCACTCACAGATACAGAATCACCCACACGACCTAGTAAGCCGAGAAGGAAATCTCCTGTCAAGAAGGAGCAGAAGGGAGATGAAACCTCGCACGTGGGTCAGGAAGGCTTGGCTCCTAGAGGAAGACAAGCTACAAGTACAACCCCATCTGCCTTTGCAGCCTCGAGGTCTCAATCGATTGCGTCGAGAACTTCTGAAACACAGACGGAGCAGCGGAGAAGAGGCCGGTCAACCCAGAAGATCAAGGCGGAACCACCAAGCACACCTGCACCCATAGCTTCTGACTCGGAACAGCAGCAAAGGTCATCTGGTCGACGAGGCCGGCCCAGGACCACCACTGCTTCATCCAAGCCAGAAGCGCAACAACCAACTACGACGAATAAACGGAAGAGGTCTCCAACGCATGATTCTGTAACGCCTGTACTCCCTTCACCAGAACGTGATCTGGTCGCGCACCAAGCAGCGCATGATTCATCTCTTGTGCTCGTATCGAAAAACTTCACCAAAACGTCATTGCTACTCTTGAACGATATCGTTTCCCATAAACTTGCAGGGATTTTTGCCAAACCTTTGTCGGAGCGAGATGCACCAGGGTATAAAGACCTTGTATTACGGCCCCAAGACCTCAAAAGTATAAAAGCAGCGATTAGCAAGGGTGGAAAAGCTGTGCATGCCGCCATTGAGGCATTCGAAGACGGAGAAGGGAGTGGTGAAGACACACCCACTGCAAGCACACCTGGAGCAGGGCTGGGGACCCGAGTTGGACCTATGGGCAATGGAATGTATTCGGTCCAAACCTCAGAAGACCTCGTGCCACCCAAAGGCATCGTCAACTCCTCACAACTCAAAATGGAACTGACACGGATGTTCGCCAATGCAGTAATGTTCAACCCACTTTCTAGCTCAGAAAGAGGCTTTGGTCGATCGCTCCGCTTGAGGAAAAATGGAGGTGACGTGATTTTGAAACTCGAGGACAGCGTCGAGACTGACTCGGAGTCATCAAGCGAAGACTCGGATGAATCTCCCAATACTGAAGGTGGAATCATTGCAGATGCACGCGAGATGTTTGAAGATATGCTTGGCCGCGTTAGCAAATGGCGAGAGTTGGAAGCGGAGAGAATAGGCAATGACGAGTCAAGCGCAACGAAAGGAGCGCATCCTTCACTGGCGACTCATGGGAGTGCATCTGCTAGCGCCAGACATTCTAGTGTGAGTTCGGCGGTCAATGAAGACGAAGCAGGTGGTGAGGCAGTTTCGACTCCTGTGGCGACCTCATTGACAGGCACGGCGAGGAAGAGGCGGCGAATTGCCGAGACATGAAGACAGGCCAAGATATGATTGGGTTCACCTTCTCGTATATGAGATGCATTTGTAGGCAAGAGATATATGTTCGGAAGGTCACTGTTCAGTGTTGACCGGACCACACAATAATCATTTCTCCCTTCAGCTTTCTGAGATGGAAACTCTGTCGGACATGCGCCTTGAGGTTATACTTTCTATCAGATGGCAACACTAGGTAGAGGACGGAGGAGCCTATGTCGAACTGCTTAGGAATTTTGACACGTGCCCGCATAAGCCTTGCTGCACTTCTCAGCCTCGTCCCTGCGGGCGAGGGTGGACCCTGGTCCGTCGCATTTTCAGGCAAAAGAGAACAGATCTGGCCTAAGGGCGCAACGGCTCACCAGCCCACTCCCATTCAACATCCCTCGTACTCCTCGTCAGTCCGGCGCACCGTAACCTAGGTGCGACTGTTATCGCACCCAGGTGTATCATCTTCTCACATCTTCGAATATATGTCGCGGACATCCAGATCGGAGCTTTCGTGGCTCTCGTGAGATCACCCTTTTCTACAATCAATTATCTTGTGTTTTACTAAGACACCCACCCTCGACCTCACGACACACATATCGAACCACATCGCTATGGACTCGTTCCAGAAGCAAGGCCTCGATGAGGATGCCTTTGGAGACAACGGTCTTTCCAGTCTCAGGACGTTTGATGCGTTTCGTAAGTGATGTTTACACTTGGAACATGGGAGATCCTCCCGCCCCTCCACCTGCAAGACCAGATACAGCCCTGTCTTCATTCGACAATTGGAGTTCATGAACACTGCGCTGACATACTCTATCCTCGCGCTCCAGCGAAAACCAAACCTACCTACCAGTCGGCGACGGCACGCGGTGGACAATGGACACTGGCAATCATCATCCTCTGTTCATGCCTAACATTCACAGAACTGCGGACGTGGTGGTCGGGGACAGAGACACACCACTTCAGTGTGGAAGGCGGTGTTGGACACGAGCTACAGCTCAACCTCGACATCGTGGTAGCAATGCAATGCCGAGACCTGCACGTCAACGTCCAGGACGCAGCGATGGACCGCATTATGGCAGGCGACCTACTCACCAAGGAAGACACCAACTTCGAGTTGTGGATGGACCCGCGCAAATCCCGCCTCATCCCGCGCAAGCAGAAAGGCCAGAAGGGCATCTACCACAACCTGCACTCGTCGGACCGGGCGCGCAAGAAGGCAGAAGAAGAAGACTCGCACGTCGGACACGTGCTGGGCCACTTGCGCGAGAACAAGGGCAAGAAGTTCCCTAAATCACCGCGGATCGCGCGCCAGATGGCCATCGACGCGTGCCGGATCTACGGCTCGCTCGAAGGCAACAAGGTTCAGGGCGACTTCCACATCACGGCACGCGGGCACGGCTACATGGAACTCGGGCTGCAGACGCACCTGGACCACGCCGTCTTCAACTTCAGCCACCACGTCAACGAGCTCAGCTTTGGCCCGCACTATCCAGGCATCCTCAACCCGCTCGACAAGACCAGCGACAGCACCCGCCACAACTTCATGCGCTACCAGTACTACCTGTCGGTCGTGCCGACCATCTTCACCAAGCGCCGCGTCACCACGCGCGACGGCTCCCTCGACCCGGCGGCCGTACCGCAGCCGCCGACGCTCGACATGGCGCCCGACATGCTCAGGACCGACAAGGACGGCGTAGTACACCACGTCCCGCAGCCCCAGAGCCGCGCCGACTCCAAATCCATCTTCACCAACCAGTACGCCGCAACGAGCCAGAGCCGTGAGGTTCCCGCCAACGTCGTCCCGGGCATCTTTTTCAAGTACGACATCGAACCCATCCTGCTGATCGTCAGCGAGTCACGCAACGGCTTCCTGGGCCTGTTGATCCGGCTGGTCAATGTCATCAGCGGCGTCATGGTCGGCGGCGGCTGGCTGTTCCAGCTGACCGAGTGGGCGAGCGATGTGATGGGGAGAAGGCTGACCCGCAGGCGCAACACCGGCGTCTTGGGCGTGAGTAATGGCGATTTACATGTGCACCATGGCGATATGCATTTGAAGAGGTGAAGGGGAGCTCTCTTCGGAGAGCAGCCAAAAAAGAAAGAAAATGGAATTTCAAATGGAAACACACGACGACCTTTTTACTCGGCACGGGATGGATGGAATGAAGGACGAGCGGGGCATGAATAAAATGAATCCAGAGAGGTGCGGGCGGTCTCGTGAATGGGATGTCAAGTACTATGTGGATGGAAATCAAAAGGTCATTTTCGACATCCGCTGCGAGCGAGGAGAAGCCGCACCTAAGGACAAGACACAACCTTTCATGACCTACCTATGTTAGGTCGGTAGACGTTGCTGGATTCGGCTCAGCGAGGCTATTGAGAATACTACGACAAGTTCGAGAACGAAGCACCGAGGAGACGAGGAACGCGTGAAACTTGTTCGTCATCTACGTCTGCGAAAGTGTGGAAAGAGTGCTTCGCGCCGGCATGTATATGTACACATACATATATGTATATTGCTTTCGTGGATCATCGATTGATATGAGTGGACGCACCTCCCCCAAAGGAGCATCATCAAATCAACTCTTGAAAGGAGTGTCCACGTGTGACTTGACGATGTTCAGGCTGCTGCTGGCGGTTTGGCTTTCTCGAGGCCTGCAAATGCCACGCTTGTTTGGTCTGGCGAAACGGGCGTTGATTTCGGAAATTTCCGGGGTGGGGATTATGATATACACTCTACTAGACCGACGGGAGACTTGTGTTCTTCTTTCAAAAAGATCTCATCGAGGCGTCATCATTGCTCGAAATTTCTTATTGAATGTGTAGTACGGACTTTAGATTCCGGGATGTAACTCATTCACGCAGGCTCGCTCTTGACCGCCACAGTCTCAGTCTTGGGCGTGGTGGGTCTGCTTTCGCCTTCGTCACTTTTGTCCCTGTCCTTTTCTCGTTCGCGTGCCTCTTTGGCCGCTTCGCGTTCTTTCCTCCGCCGCCTCCTCTCCTGTCGTTCGTCCTCGGCATTCAACACGCTGGATGTGCTGGTCAGAGGACTCAATGCAGACCCTGAAGTGAGAGAGTCTCGTTTGTCGTGGTCTCGAGGTTTGCGCCTTACACTAGCAGTACTGCTGACGCTGCTACCCCGTCTGACGCGGTCTGAGAGGGGCCTTTCCAAGCCCCCGTTCTCCAGATGAGGTGTAGACGACCGCGAGGATTGTCGGCTATGAGTAGAATCAGAGCGCATTCCGTTGCGGCGGCCTTTGATGATTACAGATGACGGGCGAGATTGAGAATCCTTCTCAGAGGTGGAGACATGGCGGGAGGAGGAGTGGTGACCATGTGGATGTTTCTCCAGATCATGAGGCCTCCTATGGTGGCTCCGGGCAGCAAGGCGCCATAGGCCCGTCCACCATTTCCAACCGCCAGCTTCTTTGGCTTTTGCGCGACGCTGAATGTTCATCTTGCGTCTGAGGCCCCTGCGTCGTTCGTTTTCCTTGTCCCAGTACTCCGTCCTGTAGCCTTCCCAGTTCTCCCGGAATTCCGGGCTAAAGGATTTAGGGAGGAGCAGCAGCATAATGTGGTCCCCGCCCCTGGCTAGATCTTCTTCAACCACTGGCCCGTTCTCGTGTTCGACGAAATGCCAATCTGAGCCACCAGCTTCGCGCCACATGCCGAGCGGAAGGAGGAAAGACAAGTGGCCTAGAGTTTCGCGCCACAGCTTGCCTCTGGTAACGACCACACGTAGATTGAATGGGCGGAGGCCACGATTTGTGGTTCCCAACCATTTCCGGGGCCAGCGGATAGCTCGCTCCCATTGACCGGTGCCCCAGACTAGAAGAACAGTCATGGCACCACCCATCAGAGCCAGCTTCTCAGAGGTTTCAATGACCCAGTAGACCGAACCACCGCGACCAGTGCCATCTTCTCGTTCTTTGATGAAGAGGGCGTAGAAGAAAAAGATGTTCCAACAGAACAGCAGCAGGAGGAAGAACGAATTAAGGCGGCGGCGAGAGACGAGGTGGAGGTATTGGGCTCGGAGAGAGGACTCAAGGATTAGGAGGTTTAGGTAGATTTGCGGCGGCGAGGATGGAAGAGTTGAGAGGTGGGGGTCAGAGTAGTATTTTTCGGATTGAGAGGACTTGCCGAGGGAATGCAGAGGTGCGGTTGTGGGAGGAGTGAGGTCGACAGTCGGAACCCCTTTGACAATCTGATTCAGTCGAGTCTCGCTGGCCATGTTTTGTGCCAGGGAGTGCGCATGGAGCGGAGCGGAGGGCCTGGGAGGAGAGTGGTTGAGGTTCAATGTTGCTCCGACGGGCTGAGGACAACAGAACAAGGCTGGGAAATGACATCGTCGGATGCACGTGTAACGCAAATTAGTGGCTGTATTAGGACGCGACTAATTCAATTAAAGTGTAGACTAGCATCGCTAAGGCAGCGCTAGAATTGTTAAAACGTCCTCATAAGCAAGAGACCAGGCACCATCCAAAAGGCGGCACCCTATAGGCTGCCAGAACAGGAGTTAAGCGTCCGCAAGGCTGGAGCGATGCCTCTAAACTCCGATCGGGGCTGGTTCTTCCGAATCCGGGCGAACAAAGCTGAGGTTGAGATGGGGATATTCTCTCAACCCTCATCCCTCACCCACGTCAAGCGAGGTCTTGATGCTACATGCATAAAACGGTGCTGTGCTGGTGCTGGTTCTGCCTCTAGGACTCAAATGATTATATACCTTCCTTGACTCTGTCGGTTCTACTTGTTCTCACTATCTCCTTTTCCCTTTCTTCCTTCTTTTACATCCCACCGCTCCCCTCCCCCTACTCCCTTTGCCACTGGTGAGTCGGTGACCTTTGTGTATGCAACGAGGAGTGCCCTCGGCTCTCCTAGAGGCAGCTCCTAGATACACCAGCACCAGCACCATCCACCGTCCTCCCTCCCCTTTTCCTACTCCTATTCGCTCTCAGTCCACCGCCACTTTTCCTCGCCAGGTGCCCGCCCCGGACAACGAGGGCGAGAATCTCCCTCCCTCTTTTGGCCACCCTCCCACCATGTCTACAGACGCTGCCGAAAGCGACAGCGAAATCCAATCCCGCACTCAACAAAGCCCCCTGGCCTCTCAGCGCGCAAAGGCAGAGAATCCGAGGCGGAGTCGATTCGAGAACCTTTTCCCTCTGGGTTACAAACAAGGTTTCACTCAGTGGTGGTCTGCCCTCCCCGCTGCTCAGGCTGAACATAAAGTCCTCTCCTTCATTCCATACCTTCAGTCGCCCCCTACACACACTCAGACCGGTTCAGAACCTCCGTCAGTCAATCCGTCTTCCCTGTCCCTCTCCGCCGACGGTGCGAGAGCCTCTCCAGTCACGACAAATTCCATCACCGACCCTTATGGCCCTAGGACTTGGTATTCTCGTATGGTTGCTTTGCCAGGAAAGAGTCGCGCATTGAATGAGTTCTCTGTGAAACGAATTGGCGAGACCGCCAAACATAATCTTGTCATCATCCACGGCTATGGTGCTGGTCTAGGCTTCTTTTACAAGAATTTTGAACCACTCTCCCGAGCCCATGGGTGGCAGCTCTATGCGCTCGATCTGCTAGGGATGGGTCGCTCTTCACGCCCCCCTTTCAAGATCCATGGTAAAACCAGAGAAGAACAGATTTCTGAGGCCGAGGACTGGTTCATTGATGCACTTGAGGAGTGGCGCGTCAAGCGAAACATCGACAAAATGACCCTTGTCGGCCACAGTATGGGTGGCTACATGGCCGTATGCTATGCTTTGAAATATCCTGGCAGACTCAATAAGCTTATCCTTGCTTCTCCCGTCGGCATACCCGAGGATCCTTATGCCACCCAAGCGGCGATGCCAGAGCCACCGGACTCCTCTCTACAGAACGAATTCACCCAAGATCAAGAAACCGAAAGCGTCAAGGCTCGCCCCGACAACAACAATTTTCTCAATGCCCGCAAAAAGGCGGAGAAAGAACAACAGCAAAAGGCAACCCCTAATCGCCTTCCCGTAGCGGGCGACAGCGATGATGAACAACCTACCCCTCGCCGCCCTCTGCCGAAATGGCTGACCTATCTATGGGATGCAAACATCAGCCCCTTTAGCTTCGTTCGCTGGTCTGGCCCCCTCGGTCCTAGACTGGTATCTGGATGGACGAGTCGACGCTTCAGCCACTTACCACCCGAAGAAGCTCTCGCCTTGCATGACTACAGTTACAGCCTCTTTCGCCTCCGCGGCAGCGGTGAGTATGCACTGGCATATATCCTCGCCCCGGGCGCTTTCGCGCGAAGCCCTCTGATCCGGCGCGTGCATGGCGTCGGACGACAAGCCTTGACCCACGATAATACATCTTCCACATCATCACTCCCCGCAACTTCTCCCGCCACCACTACTACCCACGAGACTGGCGTCCCCGTTGTGCTCATGTATGGTGAGAATGATTGGATGGACGTGAAGGGCGGGTACGCGGCGAAGAAGCGCATCGACGCCGAACGCACACGTATTCTGAAGGGCAAGTCCCAGCAGGAAATCGATGAGGATCAAGGCGGCGCCAAGGTGGTCATTATCAAGCGGGCGGGCCATCATGTTTATCTCGACTCGGCGCAGGAGTTTAACGACGTTATGCTAGATGAAATGAAGGACGTTGAGAGGCGGAGTTTGGGAAGGAAGAAGGGCGCTGCTAGTGGTGTGCAGATCGTGGATAGGGAAACGACAGTCGATGCTGCTTGAGTCGACATACGAATTCTGGTATGGGTACGCATCGAGACACGAGACGGTAGGGAAGCAGTGGAGGGACAGGGCTATCCGACTCTGGCGTTCTCATATCAGCAAGGCCGCAGCTTTACTTCCCCCCAGTTTAGTTACGACAACCTCAAGGTCTGGATTTCAGGTCCGACAAGCAACTCGACAATAAGCTTGTCTGTGGCTTGACACAGCCCATGTTCTGCAAGGATGTGTACTGGTGGCCTCCACCATCCGAACAATAGCTCGCCTGGCAGATGAAATGAAGATAGCATGTGTCAACATGGCCCTGGGCCCTTCGAATATTTCCATGAAATGCAGTGGTCGGTAACCACTGCGCAGCTAGCCAGAAACCGTCCTTCCTCCATCGACTTCGAACCGAGACAGGAGAAGTCAATCTCCACAATACTTCGTACAGCGATCAAACCAGCGTCAACTGGATCGCTTGTATGTATTGTACAGTGCAACTTGAGAGTCAGAGTCCCTCGCTGTAGTGGAAAGGAATGAGTCGGATTTGGCCAGGACCCGAGCCCTCTCAAACGAATTTCGAGTACATAAAAATCAATGATAGACAGTATGTATATACTGCACCTAAGTATAGTTAGGTACATAGATAGACCGCGATTGATTGAAACCATCCGCGAATGATAACCAGACTACTAGTATGACGTATAGCAAGGCTTTGGGAACCGTCGTTGGGAGAACTTGAATTCCTGGCACTCGGTCTAGTCCTACTTTCAAACACGCACCTTGAATTCATGGATAAGAGAATACTTACCAAAGGTAACTAACTAGGTAGTACATGTTACGGATATGTCAGCACACAAATATACACACATCTAGCCAGTGTTTCCGTAGAAGATCGAGAAATCTATCATCACACAGCCGGCGCGTCAGCTAGCCAGCCATCCAATATTAGTATACAGAGCAGAGTCATTCGTTGTCTCAGACATCATCAAATTTTCTCCAACTTGCTTTCCCTACTCGCCACAACAACTCCCTTTGATGGTTGCCGTTCTATCCCGAACGCTTCTTGTTCTTCTTCTTCTTCTCGTCGTCGTCATCGACTTCTTCTTTAGCAAGCAGATCAGCCTCCGCCTGCTTCCTTTCGCGCTCAGGCGCGTATGCCTTCAGAATTCTCCGGCTTTCGGCCTTATGCGCCTCAAGTTTTTGGGCCTGAAGCCTCTCCTTTTCGTTCACTCTGGCTGCCGCTGCCTTCGCCCGGTTCATCTCCACCGTCTCGTCAAGTGCATTATAAACCTGAGACTGGTCGCCTAGGAACACAGCTTCCTCACTCTGCGCCCGCCGTTCCCATGATTTGCTCCTCTCTTCTTCTTTCCACTTTCTCAGGAAGACCTGTCTCTGCCTTGCCATTCGATTGAACGTGAATCCTCTCAACAATGATCGAGGTAAAGGCCCCATTTTGTCGACTTTGGCGGCCAATTTGACGTCCAGTGGTGCTCCTGTGTCCTCAGCCCGGTAGAGCGACCTCCTGGTATAAGGTCCCGCTGGAGCATTAACTCGTTCAAGACGTTGAGGTGGTCCGCGGTTGATCTCCCGAATCAGTTTATATTTCCCAGTGCGGCCATAGTTCGCCTGACACCTGATTGCTTCCATTTGGTCCTCTCGCATGCTCTTCGCAGAGAGTGCTATACTCTCTAGTGGGTGGCTTGTCGGATTATAAAGAGATCTGCCCCAGTTTGTGCGATCGCCTATAGTTGGTACTTTTCGTGCAGGAGCCTTCAGAGACGGACGACCAAACCGCATATGGCTCATGAGTCTTGGATGTTTGACATCTGAACGCATTGTGTGAACGACAGCCATGAGTTTTTCTTCTTCGTTCTTAATCCTCTCACTCCTCTCCACTGAGCTCTCAAATCGATGTTTGTGGTCCAGGTAGATATATGATCTATTGATCTGGCCTTCGTATCGCTCACCCTGTGCCACAGTTTGAGCCGAGGTATTAATAAGACTATCCTCGCTTGGGGGGGGTTTGATAGGCTTGGCTGCTACATCCGAGTCTTCGAAACTCTCAATCTGGGCAACCACTGTTAGATCTTTATCAGTACCTCGAGCTGAATGGTCTTCTTCCCAACCAATAAAATCACTAGAGGATATACCGTTAATGTCGTTATTTAGTTCAGATGAGAATCCCCCGAGGTCTTCGTTAAGACTCAAGATTTTCTCGACAGGAACATGGTCTATGGGGGATTGGCTTTCTAATACGCCAGAGCGATCGGCTTTGAATTGATGTCCGAAGTGCCGGAGACTATCCCCTCTGATTATTTTGGTATTACGCAGAAGTATGCCTTGGACCCGATCAGGGACGTGAGGGATTTTTCGTATGAAATGGAACGTGCCTGGAGCCACTTGTGAAAGGGCAATGAGAGGTGCAGTATCGCCTTTTCCTAGTTCAGCTAAACGTTGAGATTGTTGTAGAATCCTGGCGAGATGAACGCAGGTAAGGTATGTGGGCAAGAGCAGGTCTGGTCTCCTTTTCTCAACGTCTTTCCTCTTTTCTAAACCAGAGGCGGAGACAAAGGTGTGACGTTCCGAAGCATCTGTAGCTTTCCACTTTCCACGGGCAAGCACACTCCAAGGGGGGGTGTTTGGCAGCAATTTTTCTTCAAATAGCCGAAAAGCCAAAGTGGTGTGCTCCAAATTTGGAGAATATAACAGTATCTGGATGTAGAAGTTCAGATTTTTGCTTGTCAACGCGAATCCCATAGTTTGAAGCCGCTCAACCGTTTCAACAGCCTTATCAAATAGCTTTTGCTCAGCCATTGCACTGAGATATCTTGTGATAGCCGCCGATAAAATAAACCGACGAGGGAATATTATCTTAGACTCCCAAACGTTAGGGGATGAATTGTGAAGCAACCATGGCTCAGCGAAGGAGGGGATTGACATTGTTTCAGGCTCAGGAAGAATGGTGGTGGGATTGACGGCGAGTTGACTGGCCGTAGTAGTAGGCGACTCCGCTGCGAGATTGGGAGACTTCGTCCCCGAAAGGGTTGAAACATCAATTGACTGGCCAAACTTGACACCAAGTCTGAGGATCTGCGTCCATGTGTCCTCTAAGATGTTCCATGCCTTCTGGCTTTTCAAGATTGCCAATCGAGCCGTCAAAAGCGTGATTGACTTGTCGCTGCGGGGGTTAAGGCCGAGAAAAGCCGACTGTGCGAGGGACGAAAAGCGATTGAGAAGATATCCAGCCTGTTTGAATCTTCCTTTGAGGACCAGAAGCTTGATGAGGTCTTCAACGAATACAGATGGAAATGCGTCAACATTTCTACGCCGACCAATGCCTCGTTGCGGTTCGTTGGTAGCGCGATCTGCGACAGATATTTCGGCTAGGGTTTCAGCAACGTAGTCCGACACATCTGCAACGGAAGGACCGCGAGCTTCGAGAGATATCTGGCCTTTCAGGCGCAGCATTGCCAACCTCGCCGTTGGGCCGACATCCGGAAATCTTTGAAGCATTTCATGATATATAACTTGGCCCATATCTCGGTTTCCTTCCAACAAAAATCCTTGGAGAACGATAGCGTATTGAAAGCGGCTAGCCACTAGCCGTTTCTTGATATCCAGATGCCTGAGAATTCGGGCGGCTTCTCCTGTTTTGCCAACGATAACGAGAGCTGTCATAAATGCGGCGTAAGTCATGGCATCAGGTACCACACCGAGTTCCTTCATCTGATCTTGGATTCGCAGGAGCTTTTCCGGTTCAGCGCGGAAGGCATAGTATCTCAGTATGTGGTTCCACATTTTGATGGGTGATCCTCCCAACATTGCTCCAGTGGATGCCACAGCAAACTGGAGGGCGGCGTCAGGATCGTCGTTGAGGCAATGAGAGTGTACAACTCCAGCGGTCATTTCGTACGAGACATTGATATTGTACTGTTGGGCAAGTTGAACCACCCTCATGACTTCGTTGATGTCGCCGGAGGAAGAGGGTATGGACATGAGGGTGCCAAAGGTGTGAGCATCAGGAACGACTCCTTGGGTCACCATTGATTGGAACAGTTGCAATGCGCACTCAGGTTGGTCCGCCCTTACAAAAGCATAAAGCAAGATGTTCCAACAGTGAGTGTTTCGTTCAACACCCAATGATTCCATAAGGCCAAATATGGATTTGGCGCCTTCAGGGTCTGCTACACGAGCATAGGCGTAGATCAGCGGGGAGTAGAACTTGGGGTGCTTGGGTTGACCGTGGACACGGGACAGCTCAAGGAAGACGCTCTGGGTGCCGTTTATGTCACCTTGCTTGGAGAGAGCGTGAAGAACGGCGTGGTAAGCCTGTTGATCGGCGACTCCATGGTGAGTTGCAAATTCTTGGAGCAGATAAGTCAATGTCCTTCTCGAGGCTTGCTCCTGGGTGTGGATGGAAATGAGAGAGCCGATGAGGGCCGGGTTTGGAGTAAACGACGGGTGCAAGAAGCGTAAATGACGATAGATCAACATGGCAATGGGGCCTTTGTCAATTCTGGTGACAGATTTGAGTAGTGTCTTTATGGCATTTTCGTGGGATTTGGATGAGGGCAAACATGTCTCCAAGATTTCTAGCAAGGCCTTGGGTGTTATGTCACTCATCAGAGAGCCACTTGAAAAGAGAAGTCGTTGGAGATCGAAGGAGAGGGAACGGAGAAGGCCATGGATGCTGGATGTGGTGGGCGTAGGGGCTTTGAGAATTTTGCCAAGTTCGAGGATTGCTAAGGGCAGCTTTTGCTGTAGATGCGGGCGACTGGTAATTTCCGCGAGAAGTTTTCCGTGAGCCGGGTCAGCTTGAAAAGAATGCTGAAAAACGTGGACGGCGAGCATCCATAGCTGGTTTGAGAGGCTGTAAAGTAACAGCAAGGGACTACAGTCGCGGTTGAGAGCACGAGTTGTGGCCTCGGCATTAATCTGTCTGGCGTGCTGATGCTTGTTGGACTTGATAGCAGCCTGAACCGCACAAAGATAGTCATTCTGGGAGCGTTGGTCGAAGGGGATCAGGACGTAGGCATTGAGAGCGGAAGTAAGCAATTGCCTTGAAGAAGCGCGGGAAAGAAGGCGCAAGACTCGGGCTGCATAGTCAGCTTGATTGGAGACCTGAATAAACCAAGACTGTATCCTCTGCAAGTCAATATCCGTAGGCTGGTTCTGTGGGTGGTTGTAGTATTCCAGATTAGTTTCCAAGGCCTGGGTTGCATGATGGACGAAATCCGGCGGGTGGTTTGGTGGTTCCGCCTCTTGCCCGGGTTGTCTCAAGGCAACATGGTGTATATAGAATTTTGACAGCCTTGTGCTTGTGCTTGTATTAGGTGTACGGAGGGCACTGCGGCACAGCAGGGTCGAAAGGCCATCAGGGCCCAAGAGGGATGGCGGAGAGGAGAGCTTGTTGGTATCGGAGGGCCACCAAGGGGGGAGATTGACAAGGAGCTGGTCGGCGGCATTTCTCCAGAAGCCCGGCCCCAGGGCTCGAGTGGACCGGATGGGGATTGGTGAATCAAATCGTCGGAGGAAAAGCTGGGAAGCTGGTTCAAGGCATGAGGAAGTCCGCTCTAGCATGCCACGAAAATGGAACAAGAGTTGGTGTCGTCAGACCGATGGAATATACGGTGGATGGTGCACCGAGGGCATGAGAAGCGATGAGGGAAGGACGGAGAACGTGTGTTGTAGTAGTACGGGAAAAGATTAAACCTGGTATAGGACGACAGGACGAAGTGCTCGTGGGTGGAAGGCGAATCGTGATATCATGTGATGTACAGGAAGGCTGGTAAACCTATGGGAAATTCTGCGGAAGGAAGAACGAGCGGTGGAGGAGGAGGAGGGGATCCACATGCAACTGGCAATTGCCCTCCGCACACAATGAAATTCAACGGCAAGTGCAAGTGCAAGCGTATCTCGTTACCACATACTCGATCTCGCTCCTGCCACTATTTCTATTAAATGCCCCTCCAGTGCCTTCACCACCTCTCCTCCCTCCCCGACGTCGTCGACACAACACGACAATGAACATCACCCACTCCATCGTCTCCGAGCGAGACCGCGCTCTCCTCGCTGGCGACTACTCCTCCTACCACTCCCAGGCCACTCGAAGGATCCACAGCCTCCGCAGGCGCCTTGGTGCGTCAAATCGTGGCAGGAAATACAATCCCAAAGGCCCCGTCACTCCTGAAAATGTAGTCCGAAATGCAGAGTACCTCTTCCCAGCTCATATTTCTCCCTTCATCTTCTAACCCTCCTACCTTAGATGGATTCAACTGCTGCTCGCCAGTGCCGAGCGCGCCTGGGCCGACGCAATGGCTATGAAGTCTGCCCAGTCCCAGGAATCCACCCAGAAGCCGATGCCTGCCTCTACAAAACGTCAGATAGCCTCCAGACTGAAAAGGGCTGTGCAGTACGCTCAAAATCTGGTCGATGTCCTCAACCATGAATCCGCTGGTAGCATCGCCCAATCCCAAGACACCTTGGAAGCCATTGCATATCTCTCCATGTTGAAGGGTACTCTTGACTTCGAGAAGGCCAGATGGCAGTCCTGCATCCACAATTACTCTCTCCCACACATTATCTACACAGCTCTGTCCAAGGCCGCCAAGTCGGAAGCGTACAAGGATTTGCTCTCCGGCATCGTCGACCCCAGCATTCGATATGCCGCATATCAGCTCCAGGTTGCGAGAACAAAGCCTATTGACGAGATCGCCATTGAGAGCTTCCCCGAGTCTCAGGCAACGCTTCGAAAAGACATCCAAGCACTCGATCCCCTGGCTTTTCAGTCTGCCACCAACGCTGCTCCAACCAAAGACGGTCCCCAGAATATCCCTACTACAATATCATGGCGCACCAGGACCGTCAAACTTGAACATGCCAACATCTCTCAAGCATTGGGCCAGTCTAAAGATTGCGAACATCACCTTCTTGCTAAATATGCCGGCTTTCAAAAGGGCGACTGTAGTGCCCAGGACTTTGCCACTTCCTATGAGGATGTCATTACCGCGAACCAGGACGCTGCAGATGCTACCAAAACCGCCATCGACGAACTTACCGCCGAGGGTGTCGATCCCGGCGATAGCCGTATTCAATCCCTTCAGATCACCCGAACCGCTGTCAATTATGCTGTCATCGAATGGCGTATTGGCCGGAACAGAATTCTCACAGGTTCACATGACGGTCTGGACTTTGAGCCTGAGCAACCAAAACGACCGTCGAAGCCACGCAAGGATGGAAAGCCTCAGAACATCAGAGAGGAGAGCGCTGGCCGCATCCTCTCGCGGCTCCGTGAGCGTGTTGCTCTGTACGACCTGATCCTCCAGAGCCTTGACGCCGTGAAGGAACTGCCGGGTGTAATTGCAGATGCGGTCTTTCTTGAAGAACTTCAGGCAAAACAAGCTTACTTCCGCGCCCTCAAATGCCTTGCCGTTGGCCGCTCACAGGCTGTCAATGGGAAAATTCCCAACGCACTGGCTCTGTACACCCGTGCTTTCGACCTAGCTCAAACAGCCTCCGCGACGCTATCTTCCCAATCCTCATCATCCAGTGACAGCGTGTCGCCGCCTAGACTTGATCTTTCTCCAGAACAGCTGCAAGCCACTGTGGATACTTTGGGTCAACTAGTCACGCAGTATCGCGCACTGGCAGATTTGAAGGCTCTAACCTCCTCTACAAAGGCTAATACTCAGCTTGAAACCAACACCATCAAACCTTCTCCTCTGATCGAACGTCTCAACCGCAACGAGTACATTGAGAACGTTGACTTGAGCAACCTTGTCAATTATCCACCCAAATTACGGCCTGTACCTGTCAAGCCACTCTTTTTTGACCTTGCCTGGAACTATATTGAGTATCCTGGGCAGAAACGTGAGGAGTTTACAGGCCGCGTGCAAGACTCAGAACCAGTACGGAAACAGCCAGCTACATCAGGAAGAACGGAGGAGACAGAGGAGCAAAAGCCGGCTAAGAGGGGTTGGTTCGGGTTTGGCAGGTGAATGAGAGAAGTGCCGAGCACAAGCCGTCATTTCTCTGAAGGTGCAAACGGATATGAGCAGTGTCGCAAGTATATGAATGAAACTAGGATGATGGCAGTACTCATGGCCGTGACCATGAGACTCTACCTGCACAGGCCATAGTGACAGCCATTTGTCCCGGATGGCGATCAAAAGCGAGAGTAGATGCCACAACAATCAAAGTTGTTGTGCAGAGCATACCGTCACTCAAATCGCTTCTGGCTAGGGCATAATAAAATCTAACAGAGCACCTCCTCCATTGCTTTGCCATTGTCCTTTTCTTCCCACTCCAGCCAGACATCTCGCTCGTTTTATGATGATGCAACGCCTGAGCACGGGACGGATCCCCAATAAATCTGTGTCTTGTCATCCAGGAAGCATCATAAGCATACGAGGTGAGGGTGCCAACATGGCTGTGTCATGTCATGGTCATGTGATGTCTACAAGGCACTCCCAGTGCGACATTGGCAAGGTAAGATCAAGATCAAGGTCAAGGTCAAGATCAAGAGTCAAGAGTCAAGAGTTAAGATTCAAGATTCAAGATTCAAGATCTCGGCCCGGGTCCACACTACCTACGTAAAGGGACGTTTGACGTTTCTATTTGGTTGGACATGGAAGGAGATACTCTCTTCCATGAAAATAAAAGCAAACTAGAACTCACGAGATTGGCCAGTAAGCCGCTTGCCCTGGAACGCGGGAAGCGGGCGGCATCAAAGCAAAGCCAAGGGTTGTGTCAAACACGATCAAAAAGTATCTCGGACACAGACATACGTAAAGATGTACAGTAAATATGTACGTACAGGCATTGCATTGCATTGCAGAGTCAACAATTGAATTGCACACAGTGCCAATTGGTCGGAAGTATAGTACTTGACATAACATTTCAAAACAAAACCGCAAAACCAATTGATGTCGTGCATTCGAGAGTAAATTTGAGTGTCCCACCCGATAATGTTAAGTCCCTTCATCCCAGATGCATTCAGCAGCACCTTGTCATTTTTACCATTTCAGCCATTTCAGCCATTTGTAGGCTATCTCGTTCGTATTTCGCAAAGAATCCAGTTCTCAATCAAAATGTAAATCAAGGTCGAGCTTTGCGATTGAAACCAAGCAACTGACCTCGTGACTCGCTTCCCTGCATTAGCCCTGGCATTCAGTTCAACAGGTTGGAGTTAGCCGCCGTCAAGACTGAGTCCGCCAACCAATCATGTAAGATTGCACGATATCTTGCTCTCGTGTTCTCATGTCCTGCATGATACTACGCGAGAAAACCCATCACCGACCGAACACGTGTGCAAACCCGAAACAGATGGGATCGTGCCATTTTTGAAGCAACGTCTCGCAGTGTGTTTGTGTTTGCTATCTATCAAACCCAGGCCAAGCGGTCGAGAACCATGAATAATTGATTGAGTGGTGATTGATAAATGCTTGATGATGTGGTGTGACGATCTCCTCCAGATCGAGTAGGTCTACGCGACCACCTCGAATCTCTTCATGAGAACGCTTTGACAGTGTGCCACCAAATTGGTTCGTGGATGGACTTTTCAACTCAGGGATTGGTTCCAAAGACCATTGTTCTCCTTCGCCAATAAACATGGGGATCGGATTCATCTGGAAATTGCTCTGTGAAATCATGATGCGCAACCTCACGAAATGCGGATATAGGTCGCTGAGTTGGTGCAACATCACTTCTGGTTGAATTGCATAGAGTCTGCTTAGCGATGCATTCACCGTCTGTTGCGAGAGATGGAGTGGTCGAGTCGTGCTTCGATATTGGGTCCATGTCGGGCACCTCCAGATGCAAGGACTTCTTTTCCGACCGTTCAATATCAGCTCTGGCAGCCAGGAATCCACTCGTATAATGCGAAGATGTGAGGAGGGTGTTAGCGGCAAGCGGGTTCTCAAACGCGATGTCTTGTATTGACTTTTCTGACACTGTGGCATGAAGAAAGTTTAGACCCGGCTTTTCAAGAAATGGAGATTCCACAAATAGTGCATGTGAAACGTTGTTTTCGGAGTCGAGGACAGGCTGTTGCGATCTGATAGATCTTATGACAAGACAGATGAAGAAGAAAAGGCAGATGCCTGATAGAGAGAGCAGATAGACTGTGTATGAAGTAAAAAAGGAGCAATGATCCATCTTTATTCCAGCAGGAGACATGTTAGAAGATCGGATGATTTATCGAAACAGGAACGGGATGGGTAAAAGAAGATCAGCATGGATTTACGATGCTGAAAACGGGGAATGAGAAATAAGTCTAGGTCGCCCTTGGCCCTACCTATATTATGGCTGACGCATGATGACAATTATACCCTGTTGTGCGTCGCTGGAACTCAGTAGGACAGGGAAGGGGCATCGTGGCAGGAATACGAAGCAACGGGCGAGATACATTGGAAGATTGGGTTCGGAGATGATGAGACTGGGTGAGATCTGGATGGGGTGAGCCTTGTGGTCGCATGGAGTCAAATTGGCGCCGTTCTCGCTAAACACGGAAGCGAAGATGCCTTTGGTATGGCTGGCTGGCGTCGGAGAGTAAAGTTGTAGGCGTAGGGCCAGCAGGGCCGCGAGGGAGGCCAGAGGGAAAGTAAAGAGAAGTTAGGCGCTCCGTGCCAGTGTTGCAGATAAGGGGGGTCATCTGGACGATGAGACTGAGCTTGGAACAGTCTCAGCTGGGGATGCGTGTATGAACTGGTGGAATTGACCGAAATAGGTGTCTGGTGAGGAGGAATTAACGGATATGCTCAGCTTGATCTGATAAACGCCATTCCGCGAGGGTCGCAGGGTCCATGCATGACTGATGCGGTTGACCTGCAGCCGAGAACCGAAGGGAAGGGGGATTTGGGAGAGAAGTCGGGAGAGTTCAGCTGCAATGGACACGCCACAGCGGAGTCAAAATATAAGACCAGGCGAAACCCCATCAGGGAAACCTTGAATTCAATGTCTCGCACGGTTGGGAAGACCAGGCCATGGGAGACTACCGACTAGCTGGTATCCTTCCCGTGTTTGATGTTGAGGTCAGAGGTCAGAGACTCAGAGGTCGTATCTGGGGGCAGGGACCACGTGGCCGGCGCAGTCGATGCGAGATGCGAGATGCGAGATGAGGATGCGAGATGAGGATCGATGGAATTTTCCATGGTGTCACTGTTGGCAAGGAGTGAGACTTTGACACTCTTGACACGTTGAGGTTCTAGTGGTGAGTGGTAAGTAGCAGTTAGTAGTGAGTAGTGAGTGGGCAAGTGGGATGTGGGCTGCACTGAAGAATCCAGATACGAGGGAGGAGTGATCACTAAGTTACGATGTCACGAGGTTACGAGGGTACGAGGGTACGAGGGTACCAGGTGCCCTTTGGTTGGGACTTCGCGAACTCCGTCTGTATGTATTAATACTGACCTTGTCGCAGAATATTACGAATGACACCAATCAAGCCCCCAGGCCCCCGTACTCTTTAGCTAGAGACAAGGCGCACCCAACAGACACCCCCGGGGGACCCGAAAGACGCGCAAAAGGGACAGAAGGCAAACTCCAGATGATGTAAAGTCAAATCCCCCATCGCTGGGCCACACACTCTGTGGCTTGGCACAAAGACTCCCTCCCAAATCTATTTTTTTTTTCGAGGAGAACGGGGTATGTAGTCATTCACGGATCGGCTGGTTTCCATATTAGATCTGATTCTCGCTTAAGCCTTGCTCGATTGATTACTGTCGGCGCCTGTCGCTCGTCACGTTGTGCCACTCAACTCCGGTGGATCGACACCGTCTTTTCCTCATCAGAACATCATTCAGCTCATATGAGTCGACGCTTGAGACTAAACATCCAATGACATCCCCCGCCATTCCAACGCCTGACCCCATCTATATCCTAATCAATGGCCCGCGAAACCCTTGCGCAATATCCCCAATTATCGATCCTGGACATGCCAAATACATGTGTGCCGCCTCTGGATGACAACCTCCGAAGTGGGAAGTGTTGTTGCAGGAACGAAACAATGTCCAGGCCGGGAACTCCTAGCCAGCTGCTGTCTCGACTTTGTCCTCTACCGCCGCCTGTCTGTCGGCGCCACTGTTCCGTTCCGTTACAGCTTGGACCAACTTCTTCAGCACCTCCGGGGCGTCTTCCTTCTCCATCATCACCTCAACAATATTCAGGCCCTTCCCTTGTTGAAGTTGGGGATCTGCTAGGATCTCTTGTAGCTGACCCCAGTTTGCAGCCCGCAGGGTCAACACTGGATACGCAGGGTCGTCTTTGGGTGCTCCAAAGTAACTAGGTGCTTCCAGGTACCTCCATGGTTGGACATCGTTGTACCCTGCCTTCATCCCATGGATCCATCGCTCAATCGTATATCCGTCATTGTTGAGAATAAATATCGTAATGTCGAGTCGGTTTCGGATGATGTCACTGAACGCCTGAGCTGTCATCTGCAAGCTACCATCTCCCTCGAAGAGGATTGTGCGGCCTTGACTCTGTTTGCCTTCGGCGAGTAGCTCGCGTAATGCTAGTGCTGCTCCTTGCGCTGCACCGAACATGTAGCCGATCGACAACCAGATGGATGAGTTGATGAGGCGCGTGTTCGGAGGCAGAACGAAATCACGGCCACCTATCGATGGAGTTCCCGTTTCCGTCAAAACGATGTCTCCCGAACGGAAAAATGTTGAGATCCGACGCCAGAACGTCAGCTGATCAATGACATCCTCGGGCTGCGTGGGTGGAAGGCTCTTCAATTCTTCAGAGGGAATGCCTAGATCGGGATAGGGGTCGTATTTAGGAAGCTTATTCGTGTCCAGCCGGTCCAGGATCCTGCGAAGTAATGATTTGATGTGCACATTTGTGTACTTCGTTCCTGTGACCTCGACGAAATCACGGTCAAATGTAATGGCTTTGTGCTTGTCAGGAATAGTGCTGAACCCAAATGTATTCACATCGCTGTTCAAAGGCCCCAATCGCAGCACCAAATCCGTGCCGTAGGCCCATGGGTTGTAGATTTGATTTCCTGCCAGACCAGCATACACTCCATGGAAGTTGGGGTATGTCTCGTTGATGATCCCCTTTCCGAACGGTGTTGTTGATGTGGGAAATCCAGTGACCCGGACGAGCTCATCCGCCTCTTCCGTGATCCCAAAGCGGTTGGTAAAGCCGTCAACGATAATGAATGGCTGCTTGGCCGCATAGATCTTTTCGAGAATAAGGTCCACTTCCGTATCCTCGAATCCTTCATCCGTGAAGCGCATGGTCAGATCCAGAGCCTTGTCGAGGTCTGAGGCTGGTACTCTGGCCTTTACCATATTAGTCGGCAACTCAATATACACCGGTCTACTATTCAGAACACACGCCTGAATCACTCTATCGATGGAAGCCGTTGCTGTGGCAAGATCAATGAGGTTGGCCTGAGCCACGGTGACTTTGGCTGCCATCTCTGCAAAATGCCGGAAATTTCCATCCCCGAGTGTGTGATGCAGGTTCACACCACCATCCTGGGCTTGCGTTGGGGGAGTGCCGACGATATGCACCACAGGGGCCATCTCAGCATATGCACCAGCAATAGCATTGATGGCAGACAACTCGCCAACACCACCGGTGGTGACCAAGACAGAAACTCCCCGAATTCGAGCATAGCCGTCTGCGGCATAGCCGGCGTTCAATTCGTTTGCATTTCCGACCCAATGCAGGCCAGCAGGTTCAACATAATCGAGGGCTGTCAAGTTGTAGTCGCCGGGGACACCATGTACTGACCTCACCCCGATCTGGTGCAAGCGACGAAAGAGGAATTCTGTAAGATCAATTTGTCCACTCATCTCGACAAAGACCGGAAGACGACGCTGAGGTGGCAGTTGTGTGGAAAGATTTCCCACCTGAGAGCTATGGCAGTGAAAGAGAAATGGTAGATAGTAAATGATTCAAAGCTCGTCGTCATATACCCGATTGCTTAGCGTGGAAGATGACCCGCTTCCAAACGAACATTACCCTAAATGCCTCGAGCAGTACTTCGTAGAGGGTAAGCAGGAGTGTTACGCGTACAGTAAGACACTACCGTTTAATTCAACTCCAATGACATGGCGGACTATTGCCTCCGGTGAGAAGATGATGTAGTCGAGGTTGCGGATGATGAGGAACAATGAAAAGATTAGCCGGCTAATTGCGGATGCATTCGGTTGTGGGCGGGCTGAGTTAGAGTGGCACCCAGTAGAAACAAACAATGAACGAACCACTCAGACAGAGTTGTTGGTTGAGAGTAATTCCGCTTTCAGAGCGCCATGTAACGAATACGATGTAGGATGCGGAATTATCGCGGTAATGCGGCCGATGATAAGAGCATGAAAAGGGCCTGATGGATGCACAAGGGCTTCTTAAATAGAATATGTAGTTTATCTTGCTGGAGCTTTTCTGAGCCCTGGCTTTCTATGTCTCACCAGCCGACCCATCGATAGAATCCTGCAATACATCATCCTTACTGCAAAATGACTCCTGATTTGGCGCCGATATCTCCGTGTGTGAATTTCCCCGACTAAGTTGAAATCGGAAATAGCCGTTGTCGATGTGGTTGGATCGCCGCATTATTCTTCTCGGGCTCTTGCATCCTCGACTGCCTTCTGCCAGTCTGTGTAACGCATGTACAGGAACATGGAAATAGCGGCGCCGGCCAATCCAGAACTTGGGCCGATCCACATGCCAGTCAGTCCCATCTTAGCCGGTCCAAAGGCGAGAAAGAAGGCAAGTGGCAGCGCAAACAAGTAGTAGACTCCAAGATTTACCCATCCTCCGATCTTCTGTCTTCCCAGGCCTCTCAGCAGGCCATTTGAAAGCGCCAGGAGGGCATCGAAAAATTGGGCGGCTGCCGCTATGGGGACCACCTTGGTAATAGCAGCACGGACTGCATCATCCTTTGTAAAGACTTCTGCAATGATGTGCCGACACGATGTCAACAGGATCACATCAAATGTTCCAATACAGACGAACACCAGGTAGTGGGTTCTCCATGCAAGCCGAGCAGCTTCCAGCGCTCCATATCCAATTAGATTTCCAAACCGGGTTGAGGCCGCAATTGAAATCGGAAAGGGAATGTGATACATGGTCACCACGATGGTCATTAAGACCGATTGGGCAGCCAGATCGATCTCGCCAAGATGACCGGCAGCAATCGTGAGGATGTCGAAAGCTAACCATTCAGAAAAGGTCATCATGACACCCGGAATGGCGAGTTTGACCATGGGCCCCCAATTCTGACACGCTCGTCGAAGATCCAGGCCGGGCCAGCATTGCAGATTTGAACGAGCAAAGTAGGCAATGTACAGGGCCAAGACAATAGGCTGTAAATTGTTGGAGACGACAACAGCCCATGCAGCACCCTGGAAGCCCAGTCTGAAATGGAAGACAAGCAGCCAATTCCAAAGGAGATTCAGAGGAGCACAGATGCCGACTACCACCAACGATGCAGTGAAGTCACCCTGGGCCTGACAGAATCGTTTTGCAGCTTCGAAGATTGCCCAGCCAGGACCACCCAGCAAGTAGATTCGCATGAATTGGCCCGCAAGGACAGCCTGGTCCTTTTCAGGAACCAAGGCAGACAGTATCCAGGGCGAGCAAATCCAGACGATACCAATGGGAATAGTTACAACACAGACTAAAAGGCTCATGCGTTGAACATGGAGGCCCACAAGCTGCTTCTTGCCGTTGCCAAAAGCCTGAGAGGTCAATGTATCGAGACTGGTTGCCAGACCTTCGTAAATGCATAAACCCGTAATATTGGCAGTCATGGTGGCGAGCGACGCAGCGCCCAGCTCTTTCGTACCCAAGCGGCCAGCCACGAAGACAGTAACCAGACTAAAAGAATACTGAAGGAGATAGGTAATAATCAGCGGAGCAGAGTATCTGGCGAGCAGACTAGTTTCAGCCTGCCATGTTGTTTCGAGCTCGGGACCCTTCAGTAACGTGGTAGTTTCGCTGTCCTCGATAGCACCGTAGTACCTTTGATGTATTTGCTCGACAGACTTGCGAAAATCATCGATGCCATGCTCGTTGAGGAGAGCACTTGTCTCTGAGGGTCGTCGTCCAGCCATGTTGACCAGCTCTAGGGTGACTCTTCGCAAAATTTAAGCTTTCTGCTCTCAAAATTTTCATATCATAACTGGCATCAATTTGAGCTGCGGCTTAACAACCTCGTCTTCTAGAAATATCACATAGATGCGTAAACCAATACTAGACTTGGTGACAGTCCGGGGATGAATGATATTCTAATTGAAGATAAAATGGAAATGCAAGTACCGTTGGGCGGTGAGGTCCGCTAGTAGTGGAGATAGAGGGGAGATGGCTGGGAGGTGTGGGGTGAGCATTTAGATTATTATTATGATCGCACCTGGTAAGGACGCCGGAAAGTATTGTAACTTACAAAACCCTAAAAAATGCCAAGTTTGCAACGCGAACTTACCGCCATACGCGAAATAGACGCCCTAGAGCTCTCAAGCTCTCAACCCACTATGTAGTGCCATACATAAATAATAATTCTTCTTTATTATACTAGCATTTTATAGAATTACTTCTTAAAGTTCTTAATAGTATACAACGCCATTGAAGTCGCAAAAAAACGTCCCTAGTATAGGCGTAGAAGCTGCTTATACTCCTAGACAAGATAGAACGGCCTTAGTCACTTAGTGTTATAATTTAAACTACGAACAGTGTCTAACCAAGGTAGGGTGTCACGGGTTAAGCACGCATAAAGTCTTGGTTAGTGACTACTACTACTAGCGACTCTCAATAAGGCTAAGTCACGTGACCAATTCTATCGATAGTCACCACGACTACCGTACGACCCACTAGAGGAGATTATATCTACTCTTTGATACAATAGCTGGACTCTCCTTTTGTCAGGCAATAGGTCCGTAAGCTCTTGAGGATCGCTCAACAACCGAAGACTACAATCAAGCACGAAGTGCCACGTATTCTCGGACGGTCGGACCTATTAACTATGCTTGTCAGGCCAACCATTCCTGATATCTTGCCTTTCTCTTTCTCTCCAGCTTTAACGTCCTCGTTACTAGGTATATCGTAGTTAAATAAACTCATACTAAAACTCTTATATTTAGTCTTATCATATCTAAATATATAATATTTAGCTTGAAATTTATATTAGTTACCTATAATTTAAAAGGCCTAAAAGCTAAATCTAAGAGGTAGCTAAGCCTGCAACTACTTAAGGAGCTCGCTGCCTAACGCATTAGAACCCCGCAGGATCCTTATACTTAGAGCTTGCTACGACACGGACGTTAAGGTAGTACTAGAGACTGCTTGTTGGGCACTACTTGTGCTAATAGGTAGGTATACTAATAGCTAGTAGATATGCTAATTAGTAGTTCTATCTCTCGGGTACAAGTAGTACCTTGAGTTCGCGTCGGTGGCAAGCTCTAAGCATGAGGGGCCTAAGAGGGCACCCAGAAGGTCTCATGCGATAAGCAGCGAGCTCCTTGAATAGTTGCGGGCTGCCTAGTACTATATTTCTTATATCGCCGAGCCTGTACGCGAATCGACGGTAAGTTATTCGTGCATCGTCCGAAACATAACTACGATAACTCGAAGGGTGCATTGTAGGTGTCGTCATCAAAAACAAAGACTACCGGCCTCTATTCTCCTGTCAACCTCATAAAGTGGTGCATAACCGTTTCAGATTTCTTTGTCTTCAATTGAGGGATCAATCACTAATCCCAGCCTAAGCACGCATGCCACTGCACTGGAGTTCTTCACGTGTCGTGATCCTTCTATCTTTTACGCGCCGTTAGACGATTGTGCAGACTTGTTATAGCACAGCTTGCGCTATAACAAGTCTGCACAATCTCGTAAAAAGCACCAAACCTTGCGAGTGGTCCCGTTTCATTGTCACATCTCGGTCACCTTTCAAGACCACTATTCACGATGATCGAATCCACTACTTGGCCCTTGACTTCAGCCAATATGTAAAGACGATTGCGGACCAGATGCACAATGAATGTGGAGATGTGACACATGCTTACTTTTCCTCATATGTCCACAAGGATGATTTTATAGGCCTCAACAACGCCAACCAAGCTTTCTTTGAGAACTTCCAGGATGCGTTACTGGCTACTGCTCCGAAGCTCGAAAATTGTACCCTCCAGACTGGAGGCAAACATTACAACGTCCACTTAATGCCTGTCCCATCACCAGCTCGAGAAGCGGAGGAGAGAAGAAAGAGCCCAATTGGAAATATCTACTACGAGCAAGAGGACTATCTCATTAAACGTCAAAAGAACCAAAACTAGAAATGGAACGTCATTCGTCCTGAAGCCATCATTGGCTATACGTCCGCGCCGAACGGCATGAATTCGGCTTTAACTTATGCTATTTATATCATAGTGTGCATCGAACTAAGAGAAGAAGCAAAGATGCCCACCAATCAAGTCTACTGGGAATGCTACGACGATGTCTCGTATTCAAGGCTCATTGCCGACGAGACAATTTGGGCTTCTACCGATGCCGACACCGGCAACCAGGCTTTCAACGTCACCAATGGTGACTACTTCAGCTGGCGATACATGTGGCCTCGAGTGGTCGAGTACCTAGGCCGCCGGGCCACATCTCAACAAATCTTTACCAAGCCTCGCCCAAAGGAAGGCGAGACGCAACTGTAACTGAGCTTAGTGGAGTGGTCCATGGACAAGAGGCAGTGTGGGACCGCATCTGTGAGAAGCGCGGTTCTGCTCAGGCAAAAGCCAGCTGGGACGCGGCTACCTGGGCTTTCCAAGATCGGGTTTTCCAACACACTTGGTGCGCCACTTTGAGCATCAACAAAGCCAGACAGCTTGGTTGGATCGGTCATATTGATTCGTTTGACTCTTTCACGCACGCTTTTGAGAAATTCGTGGAATTGGGACAGATCCCATCCTTCTCCAAGAATGGGGTTTAAAATTATGCTATAAAGAGGCCTCTATTTCCGAGATAAGTAATGACGATCTGGTATCTGAGCTGTTTTCTGTGTAACTACCCAAATGCCTAGTCTGTAATTTCCCTGCGTCACTCCCTGTATCGCCCCTCGGCACCCCTAGCGTGGAGCCTTCCCTTCTTGTCAAGAGCACATTATCGTCGAAGACTAACTTGATAACCCAGGTGTGATGGGGAGTTGATTCTGAAGAATGAGCCTTGGACGAACGAGAACACATCAACATAATATGAATGCCTGCCTCGTGTGAATGACTGGTTAGTGTTGGAAATTCAGAGTCGGAACACAAACCGAACGGTGGCACTAGCATCGCCAAAGACAGGCCGGAGAGATATTCTCGATACTCTGATTCCAAGCTCATCCCCAAGAAAACCTCTCTGACTTGCTCGAGGATGTTGGCGATGAACGTACGGAAGCCCATACGTGGCGGTTTGTTTGATGATCTATTTCACTGGTCGAAATTTCTTGCCATGGTAGAACAAACGGAGTCTACCACCAGTTGGTGAGTTGAAATGGTGTATATTTGAGCTGAAGAAGATCAATGAACGGAATACATCGTTTGAGAAGCTATTCATAGGAGTTTATTCACCTACTATCTACCTATTTAACGAGGATCTTAAAGCTAAAGAGAGAAAGAGAAAGAGGGAGTCTAGCTACCGTATAATAAAGAGATATTATACTTAGGCTAGAACGATTCGTTTTGCCAAGGAAAAAAGGTCGCACGCTGACGGCTCAGGGGATAGCAGCGTGTTCTTGCACAGGGACATTCCTGTCGTGGAGGACTCTCAGGTACTCAAACAGCCTAGGTCCAGTAACAGTGATGTAGCCCAGGCCGCAGGGCCGGAGAAGCTGCTGACTACATTCATATCAACATTGTTGACTGAAGGTGACCTCGCCATATCCCTGCTGCATTAGAAAGAACGCAGTCGCCGCTCTGACGAGCTGAAAGAATAATCCAAGGATATCAGGAGGTGACAAGTTGTATTTAACGAAAGATGCGCACCGCATGTAGGTGATGATTGCTGAATTTGATCGACACATCGGACATTGATCCCTTGGATATGGGAGCTTTCCTTACTCAAATATGTCTATGCATATCAATGTATCTACATACATGTTCAGAGCCGATATGCCCGAACGCAGAACATTCCACTGCAGGACATGTACCAACTCGCTGTCTTGCCACCATCCATTGGACATTCTTTCCACCATGGTCTGTCTCAATGGCTAATGGTGTCCTTCCAGACTCCCAAATTCTCTCCAAGTCCTCAATTACTCTCGACTTATTAGATATTGCTTCTCAGATGATCTACTTCTTCAGCCGTAATCTTCTTGTCCTCCCCCACCTTGTAAAACTGCGTCATATCGCAAGACATTGCAAGATCCCGCTTTCATCAAATGTCAGACGGAAGAATCGAAGGTCGGAGGTCACATACCATGAACATCTGTGCAGCAACCTCGGGATTTTGACCAGCTTCAGCGGCGAACTGAAGAAAAGGGTCGTTTTCAAGAACGCATTCGGCGTCCTTGCTCATTCGCTCCATATTCGTTATAGACAGCGGATTGATAACGTCTTGATAGATCCTCCGCCGCATCTCGTCGTATTTGTCTAGTATGTCTATGTCCGCCTGGCCAGAATAGATGCCGAGAAGACAGTCAGTCAGGCTCCCCATGTCTGCGATGCCACCGGTAAGCCCTAGACCACCCCTAGAAGATATTCAGTGTCCTCAAGTTCTGCAAATTGCTTTGTCTTCCAGCAGATCAAAAGAAAGCTCTGAAAACGTACATGGGATTGCACAAGTGAGCCGCATCTCCACCAAGTAAGACTCTGCCGACCTTCATTTTCGGGGCACATCTTTGATGCATGCGAAAGGAGGCCATGGTCTTGATCTTGTATTGATCTGGCTCGGGGTTCCCGGGAAGGATCTTGCGGAACTTATCCGGAAGTCTCTGCTTGAGCTCGTCCTCGGAAAACGAAGCATCATCTCCGTAGGCGACGCGCCACAATCCATCCTTTGTGATCTTCATTGAGATGAACCAGTGTTCAGGATGGATCGTCCACTGGATATCAGACCAGCCGTACTTCTCGAGGTCGTAGTACACCTGTGCATTTCAACATCAGCATGCCTTACACCTCGAATGCGAGCCAGCCAGTGGCCACCAAAGTCTTCCTTCACCTACATTGGTCGTCACCATTTGTTTTCCCAGACTATAGCCAGGGAATTCCCTGCCAAACAACGCTTTCCGAACGCCGCTTTGAGCACCGTCACAGGCCACCAGGAAATCCGCCCCTATACTCCGTTTCTCACCTCGGTAGTCGACTTCTGCCCAGACCTTGTCATTGTCTTCTGATACATTAATGACTCGGTGGGACCACTGAATGGATGCATTGGGCAATTCTGCGAGTTCCGCGACGATAATCTCGGCAAGCAAGTTCAGAGGATACGCGAGCATGTGGTCAGGAACGTCAAGGGTGTCGATGTTCTCAATTTCAGTGATCTTTTCGCCACCCAGCTTCCTCCACGCCATGCTCTTGACCAAGAATCCACGCTCTAAGACTTTGTGGATGATTCCCGCACGTCGAATGACCCTAGACAGCAGTCAGCATATTGAGGCAGGCTGGTTGCTGTTGACTGATCAATACTGGGATGCTGCCGGTCCATAGAGAAGTGCTCTCGGTCTGTCATCGACTTTCTCGTTTGCTTCTAGGACTGTCACTGTGAGACCATTCTGAGCCAATATTAGGGCCAGTAAGAGTCCGGCTGGTCCAGCTCCGACGACAGCCACCTGGCTAGAAGACGTTGGGGTCATTTTACGTTAACTGGTACGATTAGTTTGTCAAGGCCTCTAAGGATCAGTACACTCAAAGAACAAGCAGCCGCCTTCAGCAAGCAAAATCACTTATAAGATTGGTTTTACAATAAACGAGTGTCTGAGACATGATCTGGAAATATTGACGAAACCTTGCCCATAGCTTCGTCAGGTGAGCCTTCGGAGTTTCGTGAGGTCATCTGGTCTAGATCATCGGCAACCAGTCACTGAATGCTCCCTTACAGACATCTAGGCTGAGCCGCCGGATATTCTGATGCTAGCACAGAATTCTCAAAGTCGAGGAACACCGAGAATGTCAGAGCTACAGTGAGGGTCGGTTTACAAGTCCCGGACCGAAAACTCCGGCGTATTCGTTGCTGGAGTCTGGAGAGTTGTGGCAGATCACAGGATGTCCTTCAGATCCAGGACAAAAAGAGGTCTTCATCTAGGTACACTGTACACTAATAAGGTCATATGTTTACAGTCGCTATTGAATTTGGGTAATCTTCTCTTGATTATCCAGGATTCCTCGCCCTAACAAGCCACGCGTTCGTGTAATTCGATTAGCTGATGTCTGTAGCCGCTGATTGTCTTCCGTGATTCTGCAGTCTAGACCCTTTCCAATCCTTCACTGCATTGTTGGTGGCAGCATTATGTCGGTTGGTGATTGCTCAACAATCGGCAGCAAAGAGCTCCACATTTCCATTCCAGGGTCAAATGACATATCGAACCACTGTCGAGGATATCAGAAATGACATATCAGTATTTTGACTGGGACCACTAACCTCATCCAGGCCGTCTTCGCACAAGAAATCTCCTTCCTCAAGTGCTGCGTTTTCTGGGTCCAACGTAGAAATTCCGAGGCCTGTAGTCTGTTGAAGTTCGGAAGTATTGCGATCGGGATTTGACGCAGGGGTACTTTTCGCGCGTTCCACAACATTCCGCGCCATCTGTGCAATATCTCTTACAAATGGCGTGGATATTTGAGATTCAGTTGCTAGCTCAAGACGAATAAAGTGACTCGCGCCGAGTTCCATCAGAAGAAGGTCGGATTCAGCAGAGGGAAGATTTGGTGCTTGTAAAATGTGAATGAATAGATTGATCAGGGCATAAATTGGGACGTAGTATGCGAGCCTGACAATGAGTCAGTGTTGACTTAGCGCTGACAAGATTCAAGCTTGTACTTACAGAAAGGGACAAGCAGCATCCAAAGGAATGTGTCGACTTGCCAGAATAACGTCTCTCGATGCCTTCGCCACTATAGAGTAAGATCGTTCAACTTGATCACGGAATGACGGATGTTGGCGTAAGCTGATGATGCCTCGAGACCATGGATAAGTTAACGTCGTGTGGATGTCGAATAAGAGGCCAAAGTAAGTAAAATGAAGTGCGAGCGCTACTTTCAAACTCAGGTCCCCTGGCAGACGTGCTGGGTCGAGAGCACTCTTCAAAGAAAGAACACGTTCCACCGCTTCGCCTTGCACCCCGGCTTTCTCATCGAGGAAGGTAACCATTTGAAGCAGTTCGGTGGGATTTCGGCGAAAAGCCCGGGCACTAGAGAGTGACTTCCCCACGAAAGAGCAGAGTTGGTGAAGGTCTATCAGTACCAAGCGGGCTGAGAGATTCATGGGGCAATATAATGGCCCTGTTGTTGGTACTCGACAATTAATCTCTTCGTCATCCATGATCTGTTGCAGCCGTATTAGAGAAGAAAGTGTACGATACACAGGATGAACATACTGATGGCCGCCCAGATCGACTGGAGATGTGCTTGTCTAGGCAGTATATAGCCCAAAAGATCCAGCTGCGGTGGCTAACCTCGTGCTCAGGCAGGCTCCAAGACCGCGCGGGCTGCCTGTGTAAACCTTTGGAGCAAGCAAGACGTAGTGCGTCTGCACAAAGCATGAATTGTAGGAGAGGGCTACCCACACCCTCGGTGTAGTAAGCCTGGGACGGACATCAGTTGGGAAAAAATCCAGGAAGGGGCATCAACGATAAACTGACCATAAGAACGAGTGCCTGTACACCAACTATAGAAGATGGTAAAAACATTAACTCGGTATGAACTGCAAGGACGTTTTCGAAATATGGCGAGGAAGCCCGCGAGCTCTCCAGAAAGGTTGAGCCCGCCGACATAAGAAGTCGACAGCCTGCAGCGAAGATGATATTACGGAGGGCATACCATGATGCATCATCGTCTTCCGGCTTAGGATTGCTAAAGTGCATACGCAGGCGTGCTTCAAACCAGGGACGCTGAACGATCCCAAAGGTAGCCTCGTAACCACTATCGAAAAATGCTTTCAGGCCAAGTCAGCAGAGGGACCAATGGTGTTCCATGCATAAAGTTAGATACCTCTGGTGTATTTAAATGCAGTTTCTTCATCAGGGTCTGGAGCACGCTCGATTGATATTTTCTTTGTGAGCTTCAGCCGGCGTGTCATGTCCCTAGTAAACCGCGCGGCTGATTTTGGAAAGCCTGTGCCTTTCACTCTCTCTGCGACCCAATGGATACCAGGCTGGGAACATATGGATAGGAATGATCGAGGACCTGGTCGTTGTTATGCATGAACAAGAAGATCCTGCCTCATCAATGACTCACCTTGGTACTCCAAATACTGTGAAGAGGAAAGCCAAGTTAGCATAGGCAAAATTGCCGCCGAGTCTTGTGTCATTTATCTTACGGTCTCGGCGGAGTACACGCTGCTCCCTTCTTGTTCTTCGTCGCAGTTGCCACTGAGATTGTCCGGCATCGTATCGAGGTATACCGGAAGAAGAGACGCTTTGCAAGCATCTGAGCTGTTGTCGCTAGCCACGGCAGCAGCGCGAGCTGACAGCCTTTCTGCATATAGTTGTCAGAGAACTATCACTTATCTCTAGCCCTCAGGCCTCTACTATAGTCTCAAACAGACCTTGGCTTTTGGTAGAACTGTTGCCGTTGTCCTGATGAGCCGAAAATCCTACAGCTTCTGCCGAGTTGTATGTTTGGTGAGGCTTGGCTCGGCCACTCAAGTTAGTCGGCTCATGCTGCTGCACATGAGACGAAGAGGGGCTACTGTCTGTACGATGTTGGAACGTTGTTGGTGTTGTTATTGGAGGGGGGGCTGCTCACTCAAAACTTCCGGTGAGGAATGTGAAGGGGATTGTAGCATCGCCTCGAGTCTCGCAAGTCTTTGAGCCATAATCTCGGGTTCCAGCGACTTATCCTTGACTCGTCGACGTGTTGAAGTTTTGCATTGTTGCTCGTGCTTAGCGCAATATGTGCATGGCTTGCCTCCGTCGCCTGCAAAATCAATCATTTCAGAGGCATGTGGATGGTTATCGAGCAGGAGAACCTACAGCGGACCTTTTTCTCCCTGCAATAATCGCACGCAAGCCAGCGTTTTCGCTTAACGCCATTTCCGCCATCCGACGCTTTCGATAGATGCTGCGAGAACATTGTGCGAGGTAGTTCAGCTAAGCTAAGATAAATATTAATCACAGCTCTACTCGAGATACTTTGTAGAACTCAGAATGACATCCCATAGGTGAAACATCTTGCTGGGGAATGAACCTGGCGAGGCAAGATCTCGAGGCAAGATCTCGAGGCAAGATCTCGAGGCAAGATCTCCTCCACCCATAGGCCGTGGATTTGGCTTCGCGGGGTAAATCTGAGCCGACAGTTTTCAGTGGCTTACTGCTATACGGGCCGATGACTATTTGAAGCCTCACAAGCCTGGGACGCTTAGAGAATCTTAGGCTTCTCTCTAGCTGGAAATGACTAGGGGTATTAGGCCAGCCAGTGCACTTCACAAGCCTCAGGGCTAGGAGCATCCAGGCTGAGGGCTTGTCTGGATAATCAGTGGCTAGTCGAGGCCTAGTTTAGAGATATGGCGGGATCAGAACCCCCTACTCCGTATCATGGGGCTCGAATGGCTGGTCACTGTGGCCAGTGGTAGCACTCTTCAAACCTTTCTCCACCCACACCCTCCACAATATTCAGGAATCAGCATCTTTTGTGATCCATGCGCCTGACCGGACCGAAACCCCGAGTCCATTCCAACCCAGCTTTAGATCCTCCAGTAATTTGTGAACCAGGAGATTATTCGGACCGGATTGCGCGAGGGAGCCCGACATGCCCATACATGAGCAATTCGGCGACGTTGCGCAGCATTGCTGCTTCTGTCCCCGGCGCCACCATTGTGTCAAGCGATAAAATGCATCACATTGAGTGATCCTCAGCGGTAAATGTGCAAACCACACGCTTGAATTCTTGATGCTTATTCTTTTTGTGATTAGCAAGCATTAAAGCCTTGAGCTGCACAGCTCCTAGTTGTTTCTGAGTCGAGACTGCTGAGCGTCCCAAAAGTAATCGACTGAAGCTATGATCGGAGGAATAGATCTTCTCAATGACCCAAGTGGCCTCTCTCTGCTGATCGGTCTCTTCGTGTGTGTAGTAAGTGCACCGTCCATACCACACCCACCTCAGTAACATGGAACCAGGGCAGCAGGGCTAATCGACAATTTAGCTTGTCCTATATCGAATCTACATTGTGGTATACAATCTGTATTTTCATCCACTTGCTCAAGTACCTGGACCCAAGCTATACGCAGCATCAAATATCCCTTACGCGCTTGGACTATGTAAAGGCACTATTTGGTTTGATATCAAGCGCTTTCATGATAAATACGGGCCCGTTGTCCGATATGCACCGAACGATGTCTCTTTCACAACAGCTGACGCCTGGAAAGAGATCTACGGCCACAAAAAGGCGGGTGATCCAAACTTTCCAAAAGATCGTCGACTATACCGCGAGGGCAAGACAAACACTGCAAGCATTCTTGTTGCCAACGATACCGACCATTCTCGTGTGCGGCGCTTGGTTTCTCATGCTTTCTCCGAGAAAGCGCTACGTGGACAAGAAGATATTATGCAAAGCTATGTGTCTCTACTAATCCGGCGACTGCAGTCACACGCAGCGTCTTCTAACCCTGTAGTTGACATGAACAAATGGTACAATTTCACGACCTTCGACTTGATTGGCGACTTGGCTTTTGGAGAACCCTTTGGATGTCTTAAAAGCGAGGGCTATCACCCGTGGGTAGCCATGATCTTTGGCGGATTCAAGTTATCAGCATTCAATCAAGCACGAAAACGATTTCCCTGGCTTATGCCTGCCACCAAATATTTGCTGCCCAGCAAATTAATCAAAGCTCAAATGGAGCACTTCTCTCTTAGTTTTTCCAAGGCACGCCAACGAGCCATGGGCGGCTTCAAGTATCGCGAGGACTTCATGTCATATATCCTGCGGCACAATGACGAAGATGGCAGGGGATTGACCCCCGATGAGATAGGAGAGAATTCAAATATTCTTATCGTTGCTGGTAGTGAGACCACATCATCTCTTTTGGCCGGAACTACATACTATCTATTGAAGAACCCCGAGAGTCTCAAACGATTGACAACCGAAATCCGGTCGGCATTCGAAAAGGAAGACGACATTAATCTTGTCAGCGTGGCGCAGCTCAAGTATCTCCTCGCCTGTCTCGATGAGGGACTACGTCTATACCCGCCGGTACCATCTGCTTTGGGCCGTGATGTGCCAAAAGGTGGACACTACATCGAAGGATATTTCATTCCAGAGCAGGTGAGCAAGTTTCATTGTTCTGGGAATTCTGTACCCGTACTAATAATGATCTTAGACAACAGTTGCGGTCATTCATTGGCCTGCATATCACTCTGAGAGGAATTTTCACCTTGCAGATGAGTTCCGCCCTCAACGATGGTTGGGAGATCCAAGTTTCGATTCAGACAGCAAAGACGTGCTGCAACCCTTTCAGTTTGGTCCTCGAAACTGCCTTGGGAAAAAGTAAGGAATTCTCATTTCTTCCATCGTCAACCTGCTATATCTCCTCTCCTTCAGAACTACCTGCAATAATGTCGTTCTACGCTAATATGGAACTTTTAGTTTGGCATACGCTGAAATGCGTTTGATTCTATGCCGAATGTTATGGAATTTTGATATGGAGCTCCAGAGTGATAGCCAGAATTGGGCGGATCAGCTCATCTTCAATTTCTGGCTGAAAGCACCCTTGAATGTCAAGCTTGTCCCTCGTCATGTAGGTACAAAAGAATAGACTAATTTTAGTTCCACTACGTCAAGAAAATTAAGTCCTAGTGCACGCCGTGTCAGCAGGAAACATAGGCTTGGGACAATGCCAGGCTCATAATCTTGCCAACGTAGACACTGCGCTCTGGTAGAAAGTGTCTACAGTTATCCCCTGGTTAATTTCAACAGAAATGCCGATGCCGTCGACAAATGACCTGATATATCTATCTATTTGATTGCCGTAGATACGTACAGAGTGCTCTGTATCTCTACTCCAAACTACAATGCCATTATGTAACTCAGAGTCCAAGACTAAGCGATTTCCATTTACTAAGAACCTCATTCTTTGTACAATAATCAAGGCACATTCACAACCACTTTTCCGACCGCTCTATTCTCCTCCATGTACTCGTGAGCATCACCCATTTCATCCAGCGTAAAGGTCTTGTCAAGGAACATCTCCTGTGGGTAAATACCATTCTCAACTTTCCGAACCACATCCTCTAAGAGCCGATCGATCGTTTCATGGTCAACGTCGGCATCTTCAGACCCTGGGCCGCTGTTTGTCATGGTAAAGAAACTGACATTACGCGTTGGCGGAATCGAGAAGGGTTCGAAAGGCCCTGCGCTCCAGTGTTTGTTCAGAGGGCCGACCAATACCGTGGTACCATATCGAGCACAAAGATTGACGCTGCTCATGACGCGGTCAGGGCCAACCAGCTCTATGACAATATCCACCCCATCGGGATAGAGCTTTGCCACCTCCACGTCCATGTCTTCGTCGAGGACGACGTGAACAGCTCCAGCTTCTCGAAGCTTTGGCACCTTGTCGGCGTTCCTTGTCGTCGCAATGATCACAGAGCCAGCGTGCTTGGCAATCAGCATGGCCCAGATTCCCACACTTGATGTGGCGCCGTGTATGAGAACATTAGATCCCTTTGGTCGTTCTCGAAGTCGACCAGCGAGCATCAGTGCTCCCCACGCTGTGTACATGCTCATCGGTATGGCTGCGAGAACATTCCAGGTCAAGCTTGTTTGTGGGAGGCGATAGAGGCGACGTTTGTGACACAATGTGAACTCTGCATATGCGCCATCATAGGCCTTCCCTCCGCCATAGACAAAACCGGTAACTTTGTCACCTTGCTTGTACCCCGACTCTGCTCCTGCTTCTTCCACTTCTCCCACGAATTCTTCTCCAAGGATCTTTGGAGGATCTTCATGGTATTCCTTCTGGAATATGATGAATTCTGCAATGAATGGTGCTGCTCCTGTCCTTCCTCGTAGTTCTGCTCGATTTAACCCAGCAGCATGAACTCGGCATAAAACCCATTCAGGAGAAGGTAGCGAAGGGCGAGGATAGTCCAATTGATAGGTGAAGCACTTGGGAGGCGCATCGTGACCTGGATTTGTTAACACAGCTGCTTTCATCACACCGTTTGGCTTGTTGTCCCAGGTAGGCATCTTGCTGTTGAGATGGAAAGATCGTTGATCGACAGTAGATAGTGCTCTTTCCTGTCCGCCTTCAGAGTGAGGGCACCATGCTAGGCTTCATATTGACCATGAATCATGTCGAAGCAATCCCAGTTCGCCGAACAGTCGGACATGGAACCCAGTTCTTGATTACCTGAGAGTAGCGGCAGTGTTTCATGGGAAAGATACCAAACCTTCCACGGTGCGTTTGCCCCTAGTAGTTTCGCCAATATAAACACTCCGAAATGTCCGAATTAAGCTAGCTTCTCGATCTTCTCGGTCCGGCATCACGGTAGAAGGGGTCAAGACCGTATATTGACTTTATTCACATCTTCTACACTTTCAGCTTTCGAGCCCGATAATATTGCTAATACTACAATACAACATGTCGGCGCCAAACGAGCCATTGGCTATGCCTAAGCGATACATTACCACCCACAACGGTGAGGGACTTGCCATCTTCTCATCCCATGTCCAGGAGGAAGCTCCCGAGAGCAGTCTCTCAGACGGAATGAGGATCTCGTTCTGCTACGCAACTACAGAGTTTCCGGCCACTTTATCCGAAGATCAAGACATCAAAGCATACGAAACATTAATCCAAAAGCCTCCCAGCATCGTGGTCTCCAATGGCTCTGTGGCCAGGATAGTGGACTTTCCGCCCGGTCATGTTGGTACTATGCATCGGACTGTCAGCGTTAATTACAACTTTGTCATCCAAGGGCAGCTAGAGTTGGAATTGGATTCCGGTGAAACACGATTGCTGGGGCCCGGTGATATGGTTGTCCAGAGAGCAATTAATCATGCATGGAGGAACCCGAGCAAGACATCTTGGGCAAGAATCGCTGCCATGGCGTTACCGGCTAAGGGTATCACGGTCGGTGGTCGGGCTATGGAAGAAACTAGATTGCCATCTATGTCGGGGTCCGAAAGAGTCACTGAGTCCGAAGCTATTAGCTCCAGCCCCAGGTCGTAAAAGGTATCAGGAATGAGAGAGGTCTCATCGAACTTGACCTCGTCTCCGTAAGACCTTGAGCTCGGGATTTGGGAATACGGACTAATGACATTCAGATTGAGCCGTTCGACGTGCGAGGCATCTAGAAAGCTTCAATATCTTCCATTTATCTTGTAGAGCCTTTTGTAAAAGTAGCCCTTGTATCTCCATGGAGATGCCAACGCTCGGAGGATGCGGTCCGAGAATACGAGGCTGAGGAGCGATGGTCCTAACCTCGCTCGCCCCAAGCTCTACATTTAATTCGAGACGATAGCAGCAGCTTTGGAAGAATTCTAGAGCGCGAGCATTGACACTGCCACCACCTGAGAACAGAGACCCTCGCTGACCTCCCCTCACAATCCATCATCAGGATACCATCATGTCCAAGACAGCAGAGAAAGAAGTGAACGTGGAGCCGTATCTCGATGATGTGCAGCACAAAGAGGAGATTACTGCAGAACAGATTGGATCGGACCCCCATGATCCACTCGGATGGAGGACTGCACGCAAACTTAGCATTCTCGCCATCATCGGGCTCTGGGTCTTCATCGGGACTTTCAACATGATCATCATAGGTCCCGCCCTTCAGATCGTCCCTGTGGAATTCAACTCCTCCTTTTCCTCGTCGACATACCTTATTGGCGGTCCTCTTCTGGCCTATGGAGTTGCGTCTTTCCTCTGGGTGCCTCTCGCCAATCGATATGGCAGTCGGCTGGTCTTTGTTCTGACCGCAATCGCTGCAGCGTGTATGAGTGTTTGGGGTGCGAAAGCCACAACATTCGGAAGTCTTGTGGCGGCCAGGACTTTGGCATCAGGCTTTTTTGCTTCACCTGAAACACTCGCCCCGCAGATGATAGGCGATGTTTTCTATATCAAAGACCGTGCAAAGGGCATTACCTGGATCAACATCGTTCAGGCAACAGGGTACACTGCAGGCCCCCTGTTTGGATCCTTTATCGTCCAGAACACGTAAGTGCCATGTCTGTCTCCGTGCATCCAAGTACGAGTGCTGATCCATACACAAGCTCGCTCGGCTGGCGATGGACTCAATGGATTGTTGCTATGATAACCTTCGGTGTAGCTACGCTTATATTCCTTTTCGTGCCAGAAACACAATACACTAGGTCGGCCGGTATGGAAAAACGCACTCGGTCGTGGAAAGACAACTTCCGATTCTGGGTTGTGAGTGGCGGTGGCAAGCCCAAAGTTCATAGGTGTGTACAGACGCCTTCGGCAACGCCTTCAACAGTTGTGGCTAATAACTTCTGTCCTCCAGCTTACGTGCGGCATTCGTGGTCATGTTCCCATACTTTCTGCATCCCATCGTGATCATGAGCACGTTTTTCTTTTCGATTTGCCTCATGGTTGCCAATTACCTGATGGTCAGTCCACGGCCGTTAAGACTGATTTCAGCATACTGACTATGATTTCAGACAACACAATCTTATACGTTTCTGGTCTTTTATCAATTCAGCCTGGGCCATTCTGGTCTTACTTTCATCGGCCCTCTGATCGGTACATGGCTTGCCATCATTGTCTGTGGCATTCTCGCAGATTGGCGATTCAACACCCTGACCCGAAGATATGGTTCAAAGCCGAAGCCAGAAAGCCGACTTCCAGTATATGTCTTCACAGGGCCCGTTGGAGTTGCTGGGACAATCCTGTTTGGCGTCTGCACCCAGAACCAATGCCACTGGATTGCCCCTGTGATCGGGTCGTCCGCACGTACGTACAGAGAAGGGCCATAGGAATATACATTGAGATATTGACGAGAAGCTAGTACTGTTCTCTTTCACCTCTTCTGCAGCAATCCTGTTTGCATATCTATTGGACGTTTACGAAGCTCGTCTTGACACCGTTATGGTGGTCTTCAATGGCGTCAAAAACATTGCCACATTCGGGATCAGCTACGCCGTTCTCCCCTGGAACGCAGGTGGACTCACAGTACCTTTCGTAGTTCTTGGTGTTCTGCTTTTTGTGGCTCACCTCCTCATTATGGTCACCTATATCAAGGGAGAGGCTATCAGACATTGGACTGCAGAGAGATTTGTGACTGGACAAGAAACTCATCACGGTGACGCCTTCTGAGCTGTAGTTATTGGGTCAATCATGATGCCATTGAAGTGGAAGTGCCTTACACGCGCCACTTTTATGGCTGGTAGAACTTCGAGAAGGCTCTAACAGAGTTTTACATGCTACTGGGCTTGCATTCACTTCCGGACTTCTCGACACATGAATGACTCAGTCAGCCCAACGCAAACTTTCACGATGGCGTTATCTTTGACTTCTATACTTTATTTAGTTCAAGGAGTCTTTAAACCTATAATCGCAATCCTCAATCCTCGGATTCACTTATTGTCTCCCTCTCTCATGATGGGGGTTCCACTTTGCTAATTTGGAAGCAGCCAATATATTGATAGATTACTCGCAGATGGCATTTTCCAAACAAAGCATGACTCGTCAATTAACAACATTAGATTCCGGACGCCGGAGTACTATGTGCGAGGGGAGCTGCGAGCAGACTTCGGTGGTCGGAAGGCGTATGACTTCGGGCATCAAATTTTGCATAAGTCTCCCCGAGACAGTGACAAAGAAACAAAACGTAATAGTGCGCACAGCGTCAATGCTATAGAATGAGAATTCTAAACTAGTATGCCAACGTTTCCGCTCTTACGTAGGTTATATGTATAACTACAAACTCTGAAAAGCCTTGAGAGCGCTTTTCGATTACCTCAGTCCGCTTCCCTCGAAAGCGAGTAGCACATCCCGATTCACGATGGTGGAGAATGTGTTCCTGCAGAGCATTAGGCGACCATCCCAAGGAGTCCCTGGCACTGTCCATGATCACATGATACCATGGACTCGAATAAATCTTATCTTTTTCATCATGATTGTTCTCTATCTCATTCACGTCCGCTATAACACTCCTCTACGTAGAGTTCCAGGCCCATTCCTCGCTAGTCTGACGCGGTTGTGGAAAGTAAAGACTATTTTCACAGCTCGACAAGAACTGGTCCTCCTGGACTTGCATAGGAAACACGGTATCTCGCAGCCTACTCGTGTGCGAAAAGGGCATTCCCTAATTTGGCTCTTCATTCAGGACCGCTGGTACGCATTGGCCCAAACGAGGTCAGTGTATCAGATCCACAGGCTTTGAAGGTCATATACGGCGCCGGTTCACGGTTCACCAAGACCAAGTAAGAGAACCATTGGCAATATGCATTCACTTTCATTATCTCTCCTGAAAGTGTCACCCTGAACGTACTGACTGACCCCTACAGATGGTATCCATCCTGGTCAATGGGAGGACAATCCGGAAAGTATGATGTCTTCTCTGATCCGACGATTGAAGGACACGCCGCGACCAAACGTCTCTTGTCGGCTTCTTACTCCATGTCTGCTGTCAACGGGCTGGATAGCTTCGTCCAACGGCCTATTGATAGGCTTCTGTCTCGATTCGAGGAATCCTCCCGTTCCGGTCAACAGATGAACTTGGCCGACTGGCTCCAGTGGTTTGCATTCGATGTTATTGGAGAAGTGTCGTTTTCCAAACAGTTCGGCTTCCTAGATGCCGGCAGAGATGTCGACGATACTTTAAAAGCTATCGATGAGACTCTATGGTCTGGCATTGTGATTGCTGAGCTTCCTGAGCTAGATGCTATTCGCAAAAGTCCGCTGTTTCGACATTTGCCTCTAGTTGGAGGCTACGATACACGGCTAAACTTCATCATTGGTGTGGGTACACATTCGCATGATTGCAAGCTTCCTATCTACCTCCCTTACTTCAATAAAACTGACGTAGAGTGGGTCATATGCATAAACAGCAAGCTCAACGCGTACTATCTGAGCGTCGTCAATTCTCGGAAGTCGATCGTCGGGACCTGCTCTCACGGTTTTTCAAGGTGCAACAGGAGCACCCTGAGTATGATGACCTCGACTTACAGATCACGATCACCGTGAATATTTTTGCAGGTTCCGACACTACCAGCATCGCCTTGCGGGCCATACTTTACTACCTGATCAGCAATCCGCGTTGTTATGAAAGACTTCTCGACGAATTGGATGAGGCTTCTTCCACGGGAGAGATGTCAGAAAAGGCAGGGCTTGCCGACGCCCAAAGACTGCCGTTCTTGCAGGCTTGTATTAAAGAGGCAATGCGGCTGCATCCAAGTTTGGGCACACAACATACTCGCTTTGTGCCGAAAGGCGGAGTCGTAATCGCTGGAACACACCTCCCAGAGCAGGTAGGACTTCACTATTCGATGCGTGCGCGTCAGCGTAGCTTAACGCAAATTGTTGACATTGTCGCAAACCCAGACAATTGTGGGCATCAATGCCTGGGTCATGCATCGGCAAGAAGCCATCTTCGGCATAGATGCTGCCCAATATCGCCCTGAGCGCTGGCTCGAAGGTGACAAAGGGTTGATGGAAAGACATTTCATGAGCGTATGTATCTTAATACCCTGTGCCTTTCGGCTGTACCACTTTGATTAGAACTACATTCTCGTACGTAAAACAGCAGTGTGACTGATATTTTATCTCAACATACAGTTTGGATACGGCGCTCACGTCTGTTTGGGCAAAAATATCGCATTGCTTGAGATCAACAAACTTATTCCGCAGATTTTGAGAAAGTATCGACTGAGGCTTGCACGTCCCAATGATGCAGGCGGTGGTTGGAGTTGTACGAGTCATACGTTTGTGCAGCAGCGGAACTTTGATGTTTTCGTGGAACGGAGGAATGACAAATGATTCTCGCCTGTAACACTCCGAGACTGTCAAATATATGAGATGCTCTGGTGGCGACATTCAATCCCAGCCAAGATGATATATCGCGTAACCATATACAAGGGAGATGATGGAATAGTGAACATGGGTCTCGTTGAGTGGGATGGAGGATCCGGTGCAGCCATGGAAGATTGTATTGAGTTTGGATGGTAAACGTGAAAACTCAGTGGGACCAGGTCGGTCAGCATAGTAGTAGGATCTCAGTAAAAACGGTTCGATCTGGATACGGATACTAATGAGTGGTAGCCATAACGCTCATCGACAACTCAAATGTCAAGGACTCAGAAATCGTTAGAAAGCACATGTACGTACCTGCTCCTTGGTCAATACGAGGTGCTCCGTACTAAAATTTGTGGAATATCTGGAAAACTCGTGGAGAGATCACGGTCAAGTCTGCCACGCGAAGTCTAGCCAGAAATCCGTCGAGGCCAGAAGGCGGACAAACAGGAGTTCTCACAATCGAATGCGGAGAACGGCCTGGAGTTGATACTCCCTTGAACAGATGCAGTATAAATGAGTCGATACCTATCCCGCCCACCCCTCTCATTCCACTCTGTTCCGGATCATAGCGTGGCCTTCCGAGGAAGGAAGTCTTGCTTTTGCTTAATCTCGTCAGAGCCGCTGCCGTGATCTTTATTCATTGCCCCTCGTTCTTTATATCACTACAGATACCAGATTTAATGCAGTCTTGTTCTTTGCGCTAATTCGTCCGTTGTCAATCTATAGCATCGCTACAGCCTCGAAAATGATGATTACACATGACATTCGAGGCTTGCGCGGTGATACAGTTCAGGACGACGTTCATTATCTACAAAGCAAAGTAAGTAATAAGCGGCATCAAACTAAGTTCGAAAACCCCAACAATATCGTGTTGGACGCTTTCCTTGATCTAGACCAAGGTTACCTGGTTGTGTACAATGCTCAGTCATCTTGGGAGGAAGAGGTCATATTCCAGCCTCCTGGGTTTTTTAAGTTCCCAATTTTCAGAGTGCTCCAGGTCGGAGAAGAGGTTAGATAAAGTGGACAGGGTCTCGGCAAGGCAATGGAAATTGTTTTCAACATCTGTCATGAACTCTTAGAATCTCCCGCGCCAAACATTCTTGATGTGTCTGAAGCCTTAACGACTTCTCCAGTGGTATAGAAAGGCCTGGATCCGGGGTAGTGGACTCGGTAAAGCTCAAGAGGGTGTTGCGACAAATGTATTGTTCAAAATCAAAACTCCATGTCTTGAGCCGTACTGTACTCAAGACCATTTTGTTCTGTGGTCATGAACGACAGCGAGGTGGTAAGGAGACCGAGTTTGTATGTGGACGCGTCACAAGTCCAGACCATAGTAGAGTTAGGCCTACCACAGAAGAAAGCCACTGCAATTATCCTTTCCTCGCCGTGGTCGGAATATCTAGTTATTGCCTTTTGTTCGACGTTTTAGCTTCCCACAGCCACAACCTTTGACTTCCTCACTATATCCCTACTGTTGTTTTCGATCGCACCTACTTGTAGAAACGCAGCTCCATCTGGCACAACAAATTGAGTCTCGAAGCCGGCCTTTTTGGCCCTTCCAACCGCTGTCAATGAACCGTTGGTCTGGCCCGTATATATGACCCAATCAGTGACATCTGTGGCGCCGTTCCAGCTAACGTAGCCTAGGTGTGTAGCGTTTGCAGTACAGTGTAGAAACGTATTCTGTACAATCTCCTGGACGACAAGACTAGGTTGCGTTGACGGTGTCGCATGCCATATCTGCTTATAGGCTCGATAACTCGAGACTAAGTCACCGTAGCCAAACATACCAGTCCAGCGAGCATGACCTTCGGTAGCACCATCTTTGACAGGCCCATATTCAATCATGACTGGCTCCGACCCGTACCCTATAAACATATTGCCATTAGGCAGGTGTAAAAATGACCCCTGAGACCACGTGTTGGTGCGAAGTTGCGGATCTGTTAAATTCGTCAACAGCACAGGAGGCTTTGACGGGTCTGGTGGTAGCGCCAATCCTAAAGTGACGCCGGTGGTGATCTTTGCTCCAGGTTGATTTGGTAGAGCATTATTGTTACCAAACCACGAGATAATAGCGTGAGATGAACTAGATTCAATTACTCGCGCATGATGCTCCCATGACTAAAACAATGTTAGTGAGATTCGTTGAGAATAGTAGCTAGCCTTACAAATAGAGCTCCCTGAGGAAGCTGTCCAAAATCTCCTCCATCTAAACCGTTAATGTGCCACAGGATTTTCCCCTGTGGACTCACTAGATATGTACTCCAGAAGTGGCGACTATTAATCAGATAATTTTCCCCGACAAGCTCGATCGAATTCATATGGAAGAAATCATAAGGAGTACTTTGATTTTGACCTTGCCCACTCAAGGGATAGTGTGATCCGTTGATGGGTAAATGGGCTATCGGATGCCACTCAAACAGGACCTCCCCGGTACTAATGTTAATTTCAGCTGCGAAGGAGTCTAGAATCCAACCATATTTAGATCCTCCGACACTAGTTCTGTGAAAAGGTTAGATAGTATCGTAGGACAAGCTAGAGTTTCCATGGAGTCTAGACGATCCCGGGCAGGTCCAGGATGGGGAAGAAAACTTACAAGTCGGCCTGGGTGGTGTTATACGCCGTAATAAGCATTGTGTTTCTAGGGGTAATGAATGATTCGTGTACATCTGCGTGACATTTCGCTGTCACACCCGTTTCCAGTGTAAAATGATGGAACTGAGGACAGACTGTAGCTACCACATTGTATTCATTGTTGAGAACAATAACTTCTCCATATCCATGCCCCACAACAGCTGAAGCACCAGCCGTGCCTTGTCCAGAGAAATAGGTCAAGACGGGTGCTGCGTTGTAAGTTTGCACCCGAGCATTGTAGGTTGGCTCCTTTGGTCCACTCCAGATTAGATCACCGCTGTCAGTCATCAGAAGAGGTGCCTGCTCCTGGGTTGCTGGGACGGTAGAACCATAGACAGTACCGATAACAAGCAGACCGTCAAACAAAGCCTCTCCTGTACTGGTAGTCAGAAGGACTGGCGGCAGGGCATCTGAGGATTGATACTCCTGCCATGGCCACAGGGCGGTATTGCTGCCATTGCTTACTATCTGGCGCGAGTCGGCAGCGCAGACGATTGTATCAGCTGTGCCTGTTATTGTGGCGGCAGCCACGAACTGAACCAGACACGAGAATAAGTGAAGAGTTATAGCCATATCAAGATCCGCCCTTTCCACAAAACGGATCGTGCTCAACAGCCGTGGCATGCCAGTTTTATAGAAGCGATGTTTCGGGGAATGAACGGCCGGGGATGAGGTCGGCACGAGTCATTCCGGGGCTGACACGATGCTCCGAGTATCTAAGCATTCATGGGAATCAGTCATGGGATCAGTTGAGTAGATTTCAACTTCTCCGTGGAAGTGATAGAACTTAGCAGTATTCCGGACGAAGCACGATGGCGGGAGATACGAATAAATTACCGTCTATTTGCGTGCGGCGCCGCCGATTCACGTACCGACTCAACGATATAAGAAATACAGGACCAGACAGCCCCTCGACGAATCGACCAAGTCGGACGTGAACCGCACGAGATTACAAAGTATCGCTAGGGACCCTCTGGCTCCTGGCAGTCTACTTGCTAGCGCTAGTCGTACTTATTTAGCGGTGGTGCGGTAGGCAGAACTATCAATTAATATATACCTAAGGAGTAATAATACTATTTTATAGAGGAGTACGACGACGACGACGACGAGGAGGAGGAGGAGGAGGAGGAGGAGGAGGAGGAGGAAGTCGATTAGTTATTTTCAGATTAATAAGAAGTCTTTATAATACCGATTCGTTTCTATTCTAAAAACCCTTTTTGTCAGCGTTAGAATACCTACTTATACTAGCACTGATCAATACTCGTAGTAAACTTACTGACCTCCGCTACGGCCTTAGCTATATTGTCCTCGAGAGGATTCATGGACAGACCTAGACGATGACAGAATATACGGCGTCCAGGGATCGCCTGGGCGAAAGGCGATTACTTAGTGCTGTTCGCGAATAGATACTATTGTCTCTGACTAGAAGAGCAGCACGAATTTCGAGTCCCCAGAAGTATCAGGCCCCATATTGAGATTAACTAAGTTGACTGCTGTTTTCGGAAGCATATAGTGGAGCTCTTCCCGCTCTTCGAATACGAGCTGGGAGTCCCGGGGTGATTCAATTGACAAGGTCAATGAGTCATGCCCGGCTCTCCGAAAGCATTTCCAACTCGGAGGATACTCAGGTTACAGGGGAATCTCAAAGTTCCCCGAGTTGCCTGGGACCCTTGAAGTTCGCCAAGTGCCCGGTGGAAGAGTTCGGGATCCAAACATTCCTTGTCGAGGCGGAGCCCCCAGCAATGGTTTGGCATTCTTTCAGTCCACCACCACGCCCAGGTACGAAACGACTTTTTATTTTTGCTCGTCATGCAGATGTTTTTTTGATACACTGCGCCTGGACTAGATGTAAGGCCTGCAGAAAGTACGACCTTTTGTTGGGGCCACAGAAGGAGCGTGTTAGGCACCACTCGTGCTAACAGGTAAGTAGAGCCGGTAGATATATCGACTGGCAGTTCTATCTCTCGAGTACAAGTAGTACCTTGACGTCGCGTCTATAGCAAGCTCTGAGCATGAGAATCCCGAAGCTCCTTAAGTAATGATGCGCTTCGCTATCTTCTTGGCACTAGGTAACGTGACTGTAAGTAGAGATCACGGGATAAAGCCTAACCCATCTCTCAGCCTATTGATTCCTAATAGAGTACTCAGTAGACCCCCGGAGTTTTATAGGCCTGTTAGTAGTAAGTTTAACCAGCGACTCTCTATAAGGCTAAGTCACATGATCCCGAATATCGATGGTTACTGTGACTACCGTATGACTGACCGCTAGAAGAGATTAATTATATCTACTCTCTATATAGTAGTTGAGCTCTCTCTTCTCTTTCTTCCTAATAGCTTAACGTCCTTATTCCTAGGTATATAGCAGTTAAATAAACTCCTATTGAAACCCTCATAGTTTAAGTCTCTTTTTGAATTTATTATATGTTAATATTTGTCTACTAGCAAAGTTCTACTAGCCTTAGTTAATTCAGTCTATAATTATCTATATTATTATTTATAATATACTAGAGAAAGCCAAGTCACTGCTCCTAGGCGTCGCGTCTTTGCACCGCGTCTTGCCAGATAACACCAAGCCTACAAGGTACAAGGTAACCGCCTAGCTTCCAAGACTAAACAAGCCCTGCCGCGGATCGCGGGGCAAGGATGAAACTTGCGACAAAGGCGTTGGCTGGGCAGGCCTGCAACGTCAACAACCTCCTCCACTGGTAGAACATCTTTGCATGCTTTATACGCACCATCTCAACGCGTCTTCCCTGTACTTCTGCCGCACTGCACCGCCAAACCCACCACACATTCACTTCACCACACCTGACCCTCAACTCATACCCCTCTCACAGTCACTTCTCCATTCCACCATCATGACAGCTATCTCCCTCTCTCCTCACAAAGTCGCCAGTCGACATGCCCTTCTTCCATCTCCGTCTCCAGATCCATCCTCCGTCAAGCTCCCAGATTCACCTCAAAAGAACACCAATCCTTCCAACGCCGGTTCATTGACAGAAAAGCCCCGAGGCCTAGGACTACGGAGACCGCAGTCGCATAGCCAGCTGTCTTCTACACCCAACATGGGCACTCAAGCCTCCAACTTGCGACCGCCACGCTTGGGTTTCAACTCAAAACGCTCTCGCGAGCAACTCAATCAACCACGCCCAGCTCAACAACTTCCAAGTACTACTCCCGCCGCCGACGCCGCCACCGCCACTACCACCACCACTACTGCCACGACCGGTCGAGTCCGCGCAAACAGCGATGCCCCTTTGCCATACATGCCTCGAGTCCGAAAGCCTCAGGTGGTTTCCTCCTCGTCCAATTTCTCCAATCTCTCTTCAAATCATCTGGTTGCGCACGCCCGTAAATCTAGCCTGGAAATGGCTCTTCGGGAGGGCCCACCGCCGGGAACAACAATAGCTTCAGCCTTATCGTTACTGAAACACTCTATCATTTCCACCGGTGTAATTGCGACCAAAGAGGGAATGTCAGACTACCGTATTTACCTCTGGCTGACCCTATTGAACATCCCCGCGTTTCCAACAGACACCTATCTCACTCTGATCCACCGAGGCCGTAGTCCGGCCTACGAGAAGATCTCCAACGATGTCTTTCGAACACTAGCCACTGATACGCTTTTCAAGAGACGAGTGACAGACGCAAGCCTCACCCGTGTTCTCAATGCTACCGCCTGGCGGATCCACGAAGCCCAGACTTCTGATCCCCCAACGCAATTTGCTCTCAAATATACCCAATCTACCTATCTCCAGGGCATCAACGTTCTCACCGCGCCTCTACTCTACGCATCTCGCTCCGAGGCTCAAGCCTATGCAATTTTGACGTGCCTCCTGACCGAACATATCCCTGCCTACCTCTCACCAACCATGTCCGGCGTCCACCGAGGCGTTGATCTGATCGATCGAATCCTCGCACACGTGAACCCAAAACTATCATCATTTTTACTTAGCAAAAACCTCCCGGCCCGGATTTACGCCTTCCCATCCGTCCTAACCTTATGCGCATGCACACCCCCCCTACCGGAGGTGATGAAGCTCTGGGACTTTTTGTTTGCCTTCGGCGTGCATCTGAACGTCATCTGCGTTGTGGCCCAGCTGATGCTCTGCAAAGAGGCGTTGCAGGATCATCCGAGCCCGGCCAAGATGTTGAGGAGCTTCCCCAGCTTGAATGCAGACGAGATTGTCAAGATGACACTGTTAATTATCCGAGACCTCCCTGAAGACTTGTTTCGTGATGTCGTCATGCACGGCAGAGAGGTTTCATGAGTCGTTCCATGGGCCCTAGGCTCTCGCTGAAAGCTGGCCGATGAAGTTTTTTAAGCACGATTCTACACGCTCCAGACCTCGATTTTTTATTGCATTGGGATATGAAAATGGCATCTGACTACGGCCGTTTTCTCAAACCCACCACTTTTTGTATCATCACCTTCTTATATTGTACACGAGTAACGACTATGCTTACGACGCGGCACGTGCAGGAACTCGAGGGAGCACACACTGCCCAAAGAGAAGAAGAAAGCCGGCCCCCCCCCACCCTACCAATTCTGTTTATTCTCTTCCAACAGGTCAGGGTTGGTGGCCCTAGGGGGTTTCCCCCAGAATTTCTTGAATGATTCTGGAATAGATGTTTGTTGATGTCATGGAACTTGGAAAACCTTTTTAGTGGACGTTGATGATAGATATGTCGCTCTTCTGAACGAGAAATGCGATGTTGACATGACATGCCAAAAACTATACCACTGCCGCCGAACAATCATATCGTGGCTACCCTTTCTCCCACGATCTCTCCCAGTAGCTGCGCGATATAGTTGTTCATTTCTTCCGCTCTTCTGACATCTCGCCTGCTGGTTTGAGCCCTACCATACTTGGCTCCGTTTGTAGCGAGGCTCACGATATAATATGGAGCGAGCAGGGATATGTCCTAGGAACTTGGCTCAATTGACAGCAAAATACGCATATGTACCAGATAGGGACTCAAGAGAGATAGAGATGGTCGTATTAGTATCTGAAAAGAAGCTCGGGACTCTGCATAAAACACAGCTACCCGGATTTCAAACCGCTACCCAACACCATACGATCGCTCGAGGCACAACACAACAGACATGCGCAGTTTCGTGATGCTTGTACTGTGAACTTCAAGTGGCGTCAAGGCACCACAGAGACAACCCACTTCTTCACTAGGCCAGGCCTCGCTGATAATCCTGCTGATCATTCTCGTGAAGAGTGTCGCGTGCGCTCTGGCTCCTCCGCCCGGCTCGTCTCAGGGGATCGGCGAAGTCCTCGCGATCGGCTCCTGCTTCAATCTCACGGCCTCTAGCTCCCAGCGCCGCTTCCTCGTCGGCAACCTCTGCAACAAGCTCACCCTTGCGTTCCAACTCGCGTTTCATACGCCGGCCTAATCTCGGCATCCAGTTGGTGGCTCCGTCGAAGAGACTTCGGTATGCGGATCTGTATCCCAAGCTCGCCGTGACGATCCCAACTGCAGCGCCGAAGAAGCAGTCTGTGGCGTGGTGATGATACCCCAAGACCAAGGTACACGCAATGTACGTAGCGAGCAACAGCGGCAACATGACGAGAATCATGCGCCAGAACCCGGCTCGCTCCGTCTTAGTTCGATCTGGAATCCGCAGATGCGTAAAGAGATAGATTGTAAGGTAGCCAAGCCCCGCGAACGCGATTTCCGAATGTCCAGACGGAAATGACTGGAGGGCGTTGTTGATCTGCGCCCGATCACCCGTGCAGACCTGGTCGACACGATACATAATGCCGTTGAAACCCACGCCGACGACATCCTCCGGAATGACGGGTTCACACACGGCGAGGAAATGTGGACGGAGGCCCCCGATGGATTTCTTGAGGATCACTTGGAAGCAGGTGCCAGTGGCGAGGCTGTACAGCAGGCCAAGGATGCCGGACGATAAGTCGGCGAACGACTTGAGCCATATCTGCGCGAGCAGGATGGTGCCGATGGGGATGAATCCGCAGATGAGACCGGCTGTTAGCGATGAAAAGATGTTCTTCTGGTACGGATAGGCGATGTCTGGTGCGTAGGTTGTGCCGTCTGGCGAGAAGAGAGGGAAGAGACGTGCCGGGCGAGCTTCCACGATCCAGACCTACGTCACTGTTATTAGAACACTGGGTTTCCCTCTCTAGGATGGAGGACATTTCGTCCTCCGAACGAATGAGGTTGACACTCACAGCACCCGCAATTCCCGCAACGACGAGGACACAGAGAACATCGAACCAGCTGTCGAGGAAGAAGAGCTTCAGGTTCCGCCCCAGGCGGGGGAGGGTGCTTCTGTCTGGTCGCATTGCTTTGATGGAGTGAAAGCGCGAGGGTGATGGAGAAGATATATGTGGTGACTTATGGTATTCTTTCCCCATCTTTAATAGTGTTGTTGTTGTTGTTTGAGTATCTCGATAATTGCAGAGTCGATAATGATTTTCACGATTGCTCAAATATAAATTTCCAGTCACCCACCTTCTACCACCGCCGTCTTTTCAGGGTAGAGATAATAGCGGTCGTACCTACCTCAACCAGCGCAGCAGTACAGGGAAGGAGTATGGTAGGTATAAGATGGATGCCATCTCCAAGACCACTTCGCCTCCTCTCGTCACGTATTCAGTTGTCACTCGCCAAACGCCACCAGTCGACGTGTGCCTCAGCCGCCTGCGGGAGAAAACAAGATTGAGTCCAGGGCGGGCCAACCAAGTTTCCGTTGGACAAGATTGAAACACGAGATCATGAATGGGGAGGTTAAGGCTCTTGGCCACCGAGTCGGAGCCAGTGACTCTGAAAGAAGAAGAAGGATAAGGAGATCTGTTGCTAATTCAGGCCAGCCAAGGCTCTGTGCCTGGACCATCGCCAGGATATGGATTCGAATGACATCACCGGGTCTTGGCATCACCCGATTGCCTCCCGATTCTCTCCATAATAATAATAATAATAATATGAATACTCTCCCATACGGAGTACTGCACAACGACAGCGACAAATTTCTACGACAGCGGCCAGCCACGTGTCCAGCCACCTGCGTGACGTTGTCTCCCATCATCTTGTTTCTCTATCGACAAGGCTGTCTTGCCCAGCTTCAGCTATACACCGCTCACAGCGACATTCACCTCCAAGCACAGCTTGCAACCGACCCCTTCTCTCTTTGCAGTCCTTCTCATGGATATCCGTGTAATGGTTCCAGATCTCTTCTCCCTTTTTTATTCCATCCCATGCACCCTCCGCTACGTCTTCAGCATATCCCCTCTCGGCACTCCAAACCTGCCCCTTCACCACCGTCAGATTCCTGACACCGGAAGGCTTCCAGGTGACGTTCGGGTTGCAGCTATGGTTGGCCAGACACCACAGCGGATGTACAGCAGCCACTTCAGGCATTCCCGTCCAGGTAGATTGCTGGGCATCTGCGACCCCGCGGAACTTGGCGAACAGCGTCTGCACGATCCACCAGTCGTACTTCTGCAGCCAAGCGGCACTGTAAGGGCGACACTCTCGGCGTGAGTGCATGAGGATCTCGAACCATTGAAGGGGCAGTTCGACATGATGCCGCACGCTGAACGGTAGTGTACGAGTGGTCTTCGCTTGCCTCCCGCTAGCCAAATCGCCCACGTTGCGCGTCTGCGAAAAATCTCCCCACAAGTACTTGATCTCGAAGAGATCCAGCGGATGGATTTGCCGTGTCTCTGCCACCTGTAGTGTTCTCGACAACAACAGGAAATACAGGTCATACTCCGGTGTCGTAGAACTTTCCGCCCGCCCTAAAGTATGAATATCATCGAACCCGACCTCGCCTGGACAGAAAGGTGATTCGGGTGGAGGGTATCCCTCGCCGGTTTCGTCATTCTGCGCATTTGGTGCATGATAGCTTTTCGTTGCTGCAGAGTAACATTCTTCCGAGCAAAAAAGAATGTTACACCCTTCGCAGTACCGTCTGTTGCTAGCTGGTACCGCCTCCATGTCTGCAGCACATGCATCACAGAGTGCTTCTCCATGGGGCCGTATTCCAGTAAGCATTGATCGTTCTTCAAGTATGGTAGACCCAGGGGCAAGGTCTTCCTTTGCATATAGACCAAGTTGCGCCCAGTTCTCTTGGTCTGCGGCATCGGTCGCACCTCCTGCTGCACCAAGAGCTGGTAAGTGAGAGATCTTGACCTCCAAATCCGGCGCGGCTTTTGCCAAGTGGGCGTTGATGTCCTCCAGGGCCTCCTTACTCATTCTCTCTGGCTCAAGCTCGCTCCAGGGATATACCTCCCTCATACTCCACCCAAATAATGGTAGATTCGTAGACGTGCTGTTATCGGAGTCACTTAGGCCTAGTTTCTCCACTCGATCCCTCAGGCCCTCCGTGTCGACCGGGAATATACACCACAACTCATTCACCAGCTTCTTCTGCACGATCCGCTGCACTAGCTGCTCCGGCTCAACCTCCTCATCAAACTCTTTTGCCCAGACGCCTTTGTCATAAGGCAATTCGGAGCTACGACGGACAAGCTCGTTGAACCACGTCTTTGCCTGGCTCTCACAGCCGAGGAGCAGCGCGGATCGGCATAGAATCATCAGAGCACGGCAGACAGAAGCTTTGATTCTCTTCCCCCATTGCCCAAGATCAACGCCACTCTCCCGACGACGACGACGTCGCTGCTGCTCCTGTTGACGACCTTCGTCGTGATTTTCTCCCTCTTCTTCTGCCTCATTATCATCCCCATCCTTTCCACTGGGCACCCACATCTCGCCATACCTTCCCGCAGGCACCAGGTCACTGTCAAAATGGCCACCTAGCGCCACAAGGAGCAGAGTATACGCAGCATAAGCGTCCGCAAGTGCCAGGTCAGCGTAGCCCAGCGCCTCGTAGATCTCGGCCCTCTCCAGGACCAATTCCGGTGAAGTACCCTCGAACTTGGCGTTTTCGTCGTCGTCTTCGTGTTCGTGTTCGTGTTCGTCTTCATCCTTACCCACTCCATCTCCCGCCTCCTCAAACCTCACCTCCACAGGTTCCGCATCGCCGCTTCGTGCATGTCTCGCACCAAATTCCTTCAAAGTCTCCGTATACACATGCCGAGCAAGCAGGAGGTAAGCATACTGCAGCTTTGGGTTCCGGTCGTGCAGGGTCCGGATCTGGCTTGGCTCGAGGTATTCCTGTGGCGTGTGCGCGAAGTCCACAAGCTCTGGCCCCGACAGACCAGGTAGGGCTGCAGAGAGCGCGTGCTGAAGATATGGCGGGAGAATTACGGCCCGGCCGTTCTCGCTTCCATTCGAAGCAGCGGCAGCGTCGTCTGTAAAGGGTGTTCTTTCCATGACTCCTCGGTTTCCAGTGGCCAGTGGCGATCTGTGGAACTTGCTCCGGCGCTGGTACTGCACCGTGATATGATACGAAGGCAACGCCACGAGTCCACGACTTGCTGTTCTGCATGAACGGGGACAGCACTCAGGGACCTAGTGCGACCCGCGTGCCGTTCTCTTCTGGCGCTCTCCCAATCCTCTAGCTCGTGTATGAAATCACACAAGACTTTGTGAATTCTTTTTGTCATCCACTGGTTCGATACCGGTCTCTGAAGCACTTGGCCGTGGGTGGTGAAGGGAGAGGGGTTTTCACACACTCTCTCACACATTCACCTCATGCGCTGTGTGCGGCAAGCCTTACATCGGGTGTACTTGGTCAGTGATGTAATTACCTGCTTAGATATTCCTCTTCGGTACTTGGCATGGGGGAATCCCACAATTTCCTTTTGTCATTACATTTCGCTCCAACTTTTCCCTCGAGGGCCTCGCTGCTCCAACGAACATTTTTTCCGTGCCCGGTTCCAAGTCTTTCTCTATGTGAAAAGGGACCTATGTAGAGTACAAACGAGGTACCCAAGAGTAGCTAGCAACCACTCGTAGAGTCGTAGTATGTAGCAGCTCGAGAACAGCACGCCTTGAGTATGTACGTTGGGTATCCCTGACACGGACTTGATCCTTCCTGTGGTAGCAGTACGAGGACACTCTCCAGTTACGCTGCAGTAACGCCTAACGCCCTCTCTCCGCCTCAACTTTTTCTCCAAGCTCTGGTTGAGGCGAAGCTAATGAATGTGATTCCGCTCAGTACCAGATGGTTATCGAGACGACGCACGCACCAGTACATGTGTGTGCGTATATGCAAGTATGAAAGCTCCCGCCTCTATGGATACCCCCGGTGGAGCCTTGGTTGAATCATCACGAGTTACCCCGACTCTACGGAGCGCTCCTCTCTCCGCTCCTACTGCAAGGTTGCTTATGTCTCGCTACCTACATGCACAGGATGTCTGACTACCTTAGGAGGGAAAGCGCGTTGTTTATTTTCTTGAATTGTCAGCAACATTGCATTGGGGGGGGGGGGCGTGGAGTCGTGAAATCATGAAATCATGCCACTTTTGTAAGGGAAGATGATCCCTAACTTTTTATCTGCCCGTTCCAGGTCAGGGACATACATTGAGCCCAAAACTACCTTTGAACCCGCACGAGGTGTGAGATGCCTGATGCTATTGCTCGGAGGCCACAAACGGTCCCTCTTTCGATGCTCCAAGCTAAGCATTTCAATCACCATTTTGTAGCGTTTTCTTTCCCGTTCTGGCAGGTCCAGAGCGAGGAGGAATATTTCCAGATGCTCCACATTGGGCCGTCGAGCCAGCAAAGGATATGAATTCCTGATGATACTCGTTTGTCTCATCCTCGAGTAGGGACGAGCGTCGAGCCTGGCGATCCATCAGCCCGCCGGCCCACAGAAATTCGTGTCCTCACATCCACGTGCAGAAGGTACGGTGCCTGGCTGGATCCATTCCAATTTTATACTGAGCCGCAAGCCGCTGTCAGAGACGACATAGAATATTCAATCGACTTTGAATGACCACCAAAGGCGGAATCATCCGCGGGTTGGCGCTACATGATCTGTGCCAGATTTGTTCGTCAGCCGTGATATAGGAGGTACCGAATATTAGATCAGACGAGATGATGACCATACCTCACAGTTATCATCTACAACAACGGTTCCCCCCTGTCCACCAAAGCCTTGTCCACCAACCGCCTCAATCTGACCTTGTTGCAGCACCATGGCGAGTCTAGCGAGCATACCCTCCTGCATGACAACAATATGTCAGCAAATTGATTCTGGTTTTTATCTCGTGTTCAAATCATATGTAGACTAGACATCACCCATGCCCTGGCTAGTAATGCTTCCATTGAACCTACCGTCACAAATGTGTTACCTGCACTATGCCTCTGCTCCACAGCATTCTGACCGACGATTTCATCTCGGAGATGCATGGCACGACAGCTCGTCAGACCTTTTGTACGTACGTGGTCGTTCCTGCCAGTCTCATCACTATCTTCGTCGTCACCGTGCCTCATCCGTCTGACGGTACTTCGGCGACCGATGCCAAGCGAGCTATGCACAGTTCCGGCAGGGTTTGCGACATCAATCCCTTGCCTAGCATTTTCGCGTTCTCGACTTTCTCCACCAATGCCGAAGATTTTGACTGTGCTGTCAATTCCACTGCAAGCAATCATGGGCTCGTAAGGGTGGCCTTGAACAACATTTACTGTTTCGCCATCTCCTTCTAGGATGTTGACAATTTTCATGGTCTTCCGGTCCCAAATGAAGAAGTGACCATCATCAGAACCACTCACGACGTACTCATCGTTCAATCCGTAGTAATTGACATCTTTGATGGTGCGACTATTGCAGTGACCCTTATAAAATTTGGTATGCGAGGTAAATGGTACATCTAGATTGACCGAGGTGCGCTCACGAGATCTGCCAAACCCTGGACGACGACGGAGGAAGATTCGTTGTGGACCATTGTCATCGTCGTTGTCAGAATCTGAATCAGATTGCCTCTCGTCGGAGCTGTACCCTTCGTTGTCGTCGCCGTCATCGTCTTGAGCTGAGTCTTCGAGACGACTCGTCCGGGCTTCACCGACGTGAACTCTGAAAACGGGTGGACTGTCGACGGTATCATGGTGGGCCAAGAGTGATTGCGATGAGTCCGTAAGTGAAGCATCCGCAGCACCTGTAGTGGTCACAATATCAATTGCTTCTATGATACGCTCTTCTTCCGAATCGACATCCTCTTGGGGTTGATCTTCGGGATCATGCTGAATGCCACCAAAAGCACGATTGACAAAGTCAAATGTTACACCTCGGGCGGCAGATATTAGCAAAGACCGGCCTACCTTTAAACCCCAAAATCTCGCAGCTGCCCCCTTGTCCATCACACGGACAGTGGTACTGGGACCTGAGAGATCAGTCGCACTCTCAGACATACCTTGTCTTGCCTCAAGCCGAATTCCTGAAAGTGCTCTCATGAATGCCATGACGGCAGATGTCTGGCTCTCAAATACAATTCTTGTTTCATCTCTCTCGAATTGATTGGCCTCGATATCAATGACGGGAACATCTTCATCGGCAAGATCCAAGAGGTACGATTGCAGCTTTGATGCAAATGTCGCGATCTCATCGTCCTTATCCAGTGGGAAGCGGGGGCTTTCGGCACTCACATTTGCAGGTCTCTTGAAAGCTTGAAGAACAGCTTCCTGGCCACCATCCAACCACAACAGAATTGCCTTCAAGAAGTCGTACCCGAACTGTGAGCTTTTCGTAATGTTCTTACCCTCATGGGAAGTAGGTCGAATGCGATCGAAATCCGCAAGCCGGACATCAGGGGTGGCACTCAGAACTTGAAGCCGTCCACCGAGTGTCTTTGCCAGGCATCCAGAAGCTTGAACAAAACGCCACGTGGCTTGACGATTCCTCCGCAGAGTATTCTCTAACATAACGTCCTCCTCAGTGGGGTTGACTGGGTAGGTCCAGTTGCGAATCATTTCTTCCATCTGTGGCAGAAGAGTTGTACATTGACCCAAGGCGGTAGTAAAAGTCGATCCATATGGAGTCAACTCTGTAGAATTCTCCATGGATACTGCTATATTCTCCCTCAACAGAGACGAAAAATCAAAGAGGGTCTTTCTCAGTCGGACGATTGCATTGGCCACTCGTTGACTGGACTGCTGTGCTTCAGCAAATAACAGGTCATCATGGGATGTCGATTCTGTATTGGTCTCAGACTCTGTGGAGCCAATTGGTATCATTTCAGTGTCTCCATTGTTGTACCTCGCCGTCAGAGCGGTCTGGCCAAGTTCGGACTGAGCGTCGGGAACTCTTCGCAGACGTCTGCTGGGGTTGCTTCTATCACCTCGGCTGCTGGATGATGCGTTACCCTTTTCCCTTTTCCTTTTCCGGTCAGACCGATTCCGAAGACGTCTAGCTTGGAATGCCTCCTCCAGTCGAAGGTCAACATCCCTTGCATCCGGGGACTGGACAATATCAAAACTGTAGATATCATCACCTGACCAGGAGACGACCATGTCGTTTGGATTAGCATCACTGATTTTGCAGGCCGTGATATGGCCATAATCGCGGGCGGTCATCTTCCGCTGATAATTGGGCGCGAATCTTCGGACACACTTGGTTGCTTCAGCCATTGCTCCGTCTTCCAACGTCCCGACAACCGGCTTTCGGCCGGTCGGACGACCTTTTTCATTTTCGACATCTCTACCGAGCATCCGTCTATCATGCAGGAAACAGTGCAGGTGAGCGCCACCTAATGCAATGTACTGAGGCTGGCTGGCTGCACAAGAGATGCTGTTCAAATCCAGACCATAGCGCTTGTAGGAAATTAGGGGTGGCGGTGTGTCCCCGGCATCAGGGTCTGAGACTCCACGAAATCTGGCAAAGCCCCGCCCCCCTCGCGGTGGGGGGTATGCGGACGAAGGTTGTCTCAAGTCCCATTGCCGCACCTCGCCATCTTCTGAGCAAGTTAGAAACAAATAGGGGCTCGATTCCGTCACGATCCGTTTGGCACGATCCGCATGACTTCGGTACACCCGAGCGTTGGTATTGCTTTCATTGAGCCACCGGGCATGGCGGAAGAAACTATTGAACCTCCTGCTTCTTGTACTAGCGGAGAAGGCGGAATGAGTTGAGCTAGGTTGTGTGGCACCGCCATATTCTAGATCGAAGATACGGACCTCGGAATCACCCGCGCAGGTCACGACGGTTCGATCGCCGGAGTGGGGCATGAATTTGACGGAGAAGATGTTGGCACGATGGCCGGTGGAAACGCTTGTATTGAGGGAAAAAGTGTTGGGCAGGCCGGAAGGATTGTAGTCCCAGATATTGAGATAGGTATCATCAGAGCCTGACGCGAGCAGATTGCCACTCGCCGACCAACTGCCAGAGTCAGTAGTCGTAGCATACGGACGCAAGAGGAACCAACCTCAGAGCATTGACGCAGCCAGTGTGAGCACCAAGTTCATTGACGATGTCGAGGTCCTCGGCCCACGCGGCATTTCCGTACAAAGCCTTGATGTGATGTTTTTGCCTGGTGGCTCCTAGAGACCGCTTCAGCAGTCGGACGTCAAAATTGTCACCCATTTGCGAGATAGGCGAGCTAGCCTCGGAAGGAAAATCATGCAAGAGAGACTGTCGACGGGCAGCCTCGGTTGATGCGGATCGATGGTCAACGTGGCAAGGTTCGGAGTTATGGGGGCATAAGTGAGCGTGTATAGACTTCAGATATCCAGCCGAGCTAGGAGGGAGGTTGAGAGATCCAACTAGGCTTGTAGCATGTGGAAATCTGGCAGTGAGGGGCTTTCTGAGGTAGACGGTGGCAACGTTAGTCCTAACGACGGATTTGCAATTGGTTCAGGAACGAAGAGCGGTGAAAGTGGAGAGGAGAGAAGAATCAGAAATGGGTTGAAATTGATCACTCAGTCAAGAGGCCTTACGCTGGCCAGGAGAGGTGTTGCTGAGTGATGCAGTCAGCAGTGGTGTGTTGTATGTAGCCAGGCAAGCAGTCCCGGTCTGGGGAGGAGAACGCAGTCAATAAATCTACAGTAGTGGAAGTCCTCTTCGCGGTTAGCGTATTGCCCCACTTGCTTTAAGCGTCCGACAGCGGGCCAGGCTGCGAGGAGCTCGCACTCAGTAGAGCCCACTAGGGGGCTTGGTCACCCTGATTTAGGGTGCCAGCCACACCAGTCACCCAGCAGTAGGGTTCGAGTCTGTCCGTCATTTTACCAAAATGACTGACAAATAGCAATGATTGACTGACAGAGGATGAATGACAGACAACGTGATCTAAGTACTTTTAGGGGCTTAGCTCTACACTAAGTGCTAGGGCGCAGGGCGCTATGCTATCCTACACCAAAATTTATTAGATAAAATTTTAGCCTATGGCGTAAATTTGCTAGCAGGCGCCAAGAAATTAAGCCCCCAAGCCATAAGTGACAAAATGCTGTCATTTATTGGAAAATGATAGACGTGACGTGTCCTGTCAGTCATACGAACGGTACCCAACAGTTACCCACTGTACCCCGCCAAACCTCTCTGGTAGTATGTAGGAGTAGATGACATCACCAGTCGTGCCAACGGAGTTACGAGTGTGTACTCAATAGCTGCGAATCTGCTTCCCTGTATAGGACGTATTAACCAATACAACTTCTAAGTGTAGGTACCTAGTACCTGATATAGTCATGGTCACACTCAAATGCTGGGTAGCTTATCCAGACCATCCTTTACTAGCCAAAGGTTGACCCTTTTCACTCGATTTCAGGCCCCCTCATCCCCGTCCCTTTGCTTCGTTCCCCATCATGAGTGCGTCTTCCCAAGAGGCTGGCTGCAGGCTCAACAATGATGATGATAATTACACGACGCCACTCGAAACAATGACCTCGGGAGTTTGGTCCCGCTAGACGAGAGAGCGAGGGATTTTGGTTACATGTACAAGGTTCTACTTACCGCGTCTGACTACGGTATTCTCTCTTTTCACCACACTGGCCGACTGTGGTGACTGCATGAGTTTTGTATCTAGTGATATGGGACTAATGCTAGCTTCATATCTCGCATATTTTTACCGTGGCTTGTTTCTGTTTGCCACCGCCTTCGCTGAGGGTGGCTGCCACCTACTGTCACCCACACTGTGGGTGACTAGTGGATGACTGGCACCCAGCTGGCATCTTCACGCTTGCTTAGTCATCATAGAGTCATGGTCCCGAATGGGGCCCGAGCGACGGTGTGCGAATCCTCGCTACAAGGTCTAGCCATATCGTCCACCGGTACCTTTTCCTCGCAGCCAATGGTCACGCATAGAGCGCTAACCCCGTCCATGTCGAGTGACATAAGTCGACCAATATCTCCTCCCGTCGATGCCAGCTGAAGCCAGAACCTCGTAAGCTGTAACGTACATCCCATCTTATACATACACCCCTGCTTTCAGCCTCGTCGTTCCTTTTCTCTAGAGTGGATGTTACTGGCCCACGAAGGCGAAAAAGGGCGAGCCAACCACACTCTTGCCACAGGTGATCCGATTAACGGTGACCACGGTGACCGGCCCATTCAGCTCCAAGTGGCGCTATGGAGAGATCGATGACTGTGGTCTGGGAGCGGCCGACCCATCCCAAACCATGCTGGAGCTTACCCCTACCTGACCAATCCTAGTGTCCTGTGCTCTATCTCAACCCAAATCACTTCGCTCCTAGCCCCCTTCACTTCGCCGCTTCTTGCTGGTGAGATTTCTTCTGACACTCTCCATTGCATTGATTGCGCTCTCAATCGAGCCTGCTTCGTTTTGCAGATCCTGCAGCAGTAGCTCCAGTTCAGTGCATTTTCGCCTGAGCTTTACAATTTCCGCTCTAAGCGCATCAAGAGACTCCGAAGTCAGAATAGAATCGTTTGCCACTGGGGTCGTGGATCCAGACACAGTCCTTGTCTCAGGAAGGGCTCCCTTACCGGACTCGAGTTCCTCTATTCGCCTCCTCAAGGACTGTCGTTCCTCGTCCCAGCTTTCGCGTTCATCCTTGAAGCGCCGGGCTTCGTCAGCCCCTTTGAGTTGCAGCTGGCTCGACATGGCCATGATTTGCCTCCACTGAGCTCCGTCGGCCGAAGACTGTTGGTGCACCTCATCGCGCGATTTCATCAATTCCCGCACTTGGCTCTCCATACTCTCCACCTGCTGCTGAAGACGAATCTTGTCCTCGGTCAGTGTGTTGATCTCGTGGTCTGACACTTGGGACTTCTTATCTAGCGCTGTGCACCGGATCTGTGATCTGGAAAATGCAGCTAGTAGCCCATCATGTTCACGCTGCAGGGTTTGGAGAGCCAGGGTTTTGGTAGAGATTTGATGTTGCAAATCCTGAAGATGTGTGTGCTGTGCCGACGATGTGGCTGCAGGCGAGTACTGTACCGATCCAGAGCTCCCTGTCCGCTGAAAATGTGCTCCTGGTGGAGAAGGCAAAGTCAGACCGCTGGAAGGAATAGATTGCATAGGAGATTGAGCTGAGCCAAAGACTGAACTCGCCGACGATGGGTGTGGCGACTGTCCAATACTTGTCAGCATTTGCTCTTGATGCTGACTTCGCCTCATCTCGTCTGGTGGTATGATGGCGGGTAGGAAATGGTCAATGGGTCGAGGAGTTGACTCGGGTGGCTGGTCCTTTGCTCTCCTATGTATGCCCTCTACCCGAGCAGAATCATGGGAGATTGGGGTCCTACGGGGATCATTTATAGAAGAAGGCGCTGTGGGGGATTGGGCGTGTCGTGATAGGCGCCGTACATTGTTTACGAAGGGAGTGGGAACAACCTCCGCCAGGGGAGGCAAATCCGGTTTTGTTGTGGTATTTTGGTGCACAAGTCGAGCGGTATTGTGAATCTCCTGTATAGTCCATGCAAGTGTCTCTTTGAGGCCTAGCCTGATCGCCTCATTTTCAATCGTCTTATCTGGTCAGCATCATCCGATATCCCAATGGGCCACAAGATGCCACTTACCTCGATGGGGCTTCCGCTACTCAGAGGAATAGACAGAGCGTGGCTCATTTCGGTCCGCAGATCAAGAAACGCTCTTACCAAGTCCACAACTAAACCATCTGTCCCGTAGCACTTGTGGCATGAGGGTCGAAAAGGGCCGCTTTCTGTGGGAGTTTGTGCGGAAGGCTCATGGTGCTCCGGGTAAACATAATCGCTAGACTGTGGCAGTAGTATCATCAGCGGGCCTGTATCTGAAGGCACCGGTCGAATATAGCCTGGCCATGCTTACATATTGATTGAGATGCGTTTTAGACGCGTCAGGTATGCCGTCCGCTCTTGCAGGTATGTAGTCCAGCCTCGGACGCTTGTCTGGCAGGTCGGTGCTATCGTCCCGGTGCGGGCTGGACGCAGCTGAGGGCCAGAAATGCCGGGCAGGAGGGGATGAGAGTTCGGTGGCAGAGCGCTGATATGGACGATCCATAGGAAAGTCGCGCTTTCGAGGAGTCAAATCGAACGGTGTTGGGAAAGGGCCATCATGTCTTCGTGGCTCGGGCGCACTGATGACACGGGAGAGGAGCAGGGCAGAAGGCCCTGGCAGTTTTGATTTCACTTCATCGGGCTCTCGTGGAAAGCTGTCCATCACCACCCTGAGCCACCCACCAGCTTCGAATCCGTGAAGAAGGAGAACCGCGAGCGCCAGACAACATTTGAGTATCTGACAGGTGGGGAGCAGGGAAGCAAATAGCAGACCAGGCGGATGCTGTCGAGCGGATCTGGTGACGGTGACGGGTTCGGCGACAATGAGGACGAATTGGACGGTACAGTATGGTCTATTGAAAAAGAAGGGCGCCAGCGGCAAATGATGTAGATTGCATACTTGCACGATGCGGTCGATGCCAGTGCGAGTACATACCTAGGCTAGCTAAGCGGATGATGAGACGGAGTGCGACTAAGGAAGCAGGAGGCAGGTTGAGGCGTGGTAATTAGTCGGTGACGATCGCAGATTGGCCGACCGAGGTGGAATAGATCAAAAGCACAAGGGAACCAGGCTCGGAGAGATACATAGAAGATTCAGATACACGTTTCTCGAACGGTACCCAGGCTGGGCGAATCGGGAGTGGTGAGAGGAGGGTTGCAGCTTGCATGGATGCTGGATGCTAGATGATGGACGATGGGTTTGGTGGAGTGGTGGATGGTTGGAACGTGGATGGCGGAGGGGCGGATGGTGGACAGGCACCCACACGGAAGAGGGTCGCGAGGCGACTAATATTTAACCAACTCCCGATGCAAAACGAGGTAGATCGTAAGTAGTGCGAAGGAGGTTCTTAGCTGGATGCTCAGGCGGCAGGGTTGATCAAAGCGCCGAAGCCGGTGCTGGGGAGAGGGATTGGCTGCTCAGAAGCAGCTAAGCAAACAGAATAGCCTTATAGCGAACGAGTATGCACTCCTTCCAGCTAGATACTTGTATGTACGGAGTACTAAGTACCTCATAAGCACCAAGGGACCTCATGTTCTCGCCTTAGCTGCAGTGAAGTACCTCGTACCTCAGGGGGCACGCAAAGAGACGAGCCCTCGGCCTATCCTAGGCACGTCTTTGTCGGCCAGGTAAGCAGCTCTACATAGCAGTGGCACCCAGTGGCCAGCCTAAGAGTTCCCCAAGGTCTTTACTTGGAGTTCCTAAACAAGAGTTCCTTTAGCTCCTGGATAGGAAGCCGAGCAAACAACCTCCAAAGATGGGAAACTGTGACTCTTTCTCGCTACTAACACTTAGGTAATTGGCAGCTACGGGGATAGGGTAGCGTGTCACTGTTTCGGGTCGAACGTCTGAGGCGACGTAAGAACGTACTGTATGAACCCTCCATGAATACGTGTCTTGGTGACAGATGACCAGGAAACGGTGCCCAGGGCAGGGTGGGCACCTGCAACCCTGTTACCAATGCATCCTTCGGGCGTTGAAGGCTTCGATAGGTGTGGGTGCATGTCAGCTAACTGTGGGTGACTGGCACCCAGTGGCACCACTGGCATCCCAAGCTTGATTTGTCACCTTCTCGAGCTTCAAGCATGGCAACCGTCTGACAAGTCACAACTTACGAGGGCCTCCGTACGAGCACTAATAAAATCAAGAGTGCGGGTCCATCCATCAGCCCATCTTGGGTAAACCATACCGAGGTTTAAATGCCTGAGTCCCCTGTCTTATTGGTAAAACAGCGCCTGTACGTTTGCTACTTGGGCCCCCTCTCGAGATGCCCAGCGAACTCCCGCAGGCTGCCCGCATTGCTTCCGTAGGTGGCTTGCTGTGCGTATTATGTAAGGCAAACCCTAATCGACGGAGGCTGGCAGTCATATTCCAACTCGGGTATTCGGTACTACCAAAGTTGTCTCAGGCCATGTCCAAAGGGCCACCTTCATGTTGCCATCCAACATCATTCTGAAGAGGCAATCAACACCTGCGTCATCCATCCGAAGACACTGTTGTTCGATGGCAAACACTCGAGATGTGCCAGTCACGAGAACCAGGATAGCTTGTTCTCTGCATTGCCGCTCATTCAATGCCGATGGGCCGCCGTACAATACCAAGCACCTACCTTGGTGGGTATGTATGGGCTCCGAAGGCCAGCCAGCCTACGGCCTCCGATGCCTGGGTTGAGATCGAATCTTAGGCATGAATCAGTCATTTGACAGAACTTGAGATAGAAATAGCGCTGCTACGGCCGGCGATCAGCTGCTGTCACATCTCCCCCTTCCGTCTCTACCTAAGTACCTATGCAGGCGAGGGAAGCTTTGAACATCCATTAATCTGCCCAAATTTGGAAATTATGGCTTTGCGCGGTGCAGGCACAACGAAATATCGTTTGCGCTCCAGCTTACGAGGGCTTTGACTTTACGGAAAGGGACCACAAGTCTTTACAGAAATGAAACAGAGTAAAAAGTATTCGCCATACCCTGCGGGCGCTGTTGCCTTCGTTTAAATTTCCTCATTTGACTATAGGCCCACCAAGCCAAGCTACTCAGCAGATCTCAATGACAACAACAATGGAGCGCCTCGTGCGAGGTAGGCAATCCGGAAGCCATGTCTGCTTGGATGGACTAGGAAATGGTTTGCGTCGATCGTCCCATGTGGTTTCCAGGGATGGAGGCCAGTGCTCGGTGTAGCGTCCCCAATGAGGGCAGTGAACGTGGTTATAATTCTCTTCAGCCCTTTCCCTCTGGCGCCGTCAAGCCGTCAAGCCGTCATGGGGACATCACCATCCACACGCAGCTCAACTACGATCATTTCTTGACTCCTAATAATACCCGCATCCAGAATGTTCCTTTGTTTATATATAAAGCCTGCAAGTATCTTGTTTTGGCTAATACGGCATTTCTGCCACAATCCCGGTTAGCTGCCTCCGTCTTCCTGTCCAAGGATGACAAGTCATCGTTTGTCATCGACGGCCCGTGTTTGACATTCAACGTGATCGGATGTAGACTCGGCTTTGTGCGTAGACGGCTCTGGTCCTGAAGTGGAGATGACGACCTCCCATGGTCTACGTTAAGAGTGTAGTAGACCAAACATTGAGTCATCCGCGTGTCTCCGGTAAGACGTTAGCGTAGCACAGGCCCTGGGCCTGGCAGGTTGAGCCGTGATCAACCATCGGCTGGCGAGCTGTCCGAGGAAACGGCGCCGATCAGAGAAAATTGCACAAAATGCGGCCTGTAGACCCTGGGATTCGAGCCATAGGGGGGGTAAGGATAATATCACCCTGATACATGGAGCTGCACCACACCATCGTTGCAGTGCGGCCTTGACATCTTTAAAGTCTTTGGCCCAGATCGCAGAAGCTTACTGGCAATTAATCCCTAGCATTTGCTGAGTGATGCCCTCGCTAAGCTGACACAGATATTCATGGTTGCGGAGGCCATTGTCCAGGATTGCGGTCTCATTTTGGAGCAGGACCCCTGACGTCGCAAGGCTTTGGCAATATGATCTAACAACCTCCCTCGGACCGAAGCTTGGTGTCTTTTGTCCACCCTTGGTCTTCGATATCTTCCCAAATGCCCTTCCGCACAGTCAGCTGGAAGGCTTGGGAGCTGTCGGCCCTCACAGCCAGAAGCGCCTTCTCAATTGATGAGTCAATCCACCTCTGTTGTCGCTGGAGAATCAAACCCTCCAGAGTCTTGCAGATTTCAATCTCCTGAAGTAGACTCTGGCCCAATACCGAAAGCATTGTGATCATTTCATCGATCGCGGTGCTTTCATTCCCCTTTCTAAAGTCCCTCAATGTATTCATGTACATCTTGAGTTTGGTGTCCAGGGACATGATCAAATTCCTCCAATCAGGACTGATGGGCACCACAAATCGCACCTCTGTCTCTTCAGAGGTCCCGCAGCTCGTCATTGCAATATCAGCCCCTAGCTTCCAGTCGTCAAATTGCTTCATTGCCGCCGAGAAATCGCCGTCCCCTTTGGATAAGTCCTCAAGTTCGTGTGTGCATTCAGCCAATAATGAGAGAGGATTAAGGCTCACGTCACTGCTCCCAGAGTTCTGGTCGAACCATTTCCTGATGCCTCTAAGATTGACTTGCGTTTGACGATCTCGCTCCCGAGACTCGAGCTGTTGATGCTGTATCTCGAGACCGGCATGTTGGTCTTTGAGATGGTTGATCACGCTGTTTGTGTACTGTTGAAACGTAGAGGCCGAGCTTTCGTGTAGTAGAGAGAGCTGTAATAGTTCGTCGCCTATGCGGGAAAAGTCAGAACCCCCAACGCCTTCTGCATTTAAATTCGTGGAGAGTGTGGAATTGGCAACTGATATCGACTGCTTTGCTTTCTGTGGAATCGAAAGCTGCTTGGAATTGTCAAAAATCGGTCGAGTAAGTGTCGTGCCGTTTAAGGATGCCGTACTCGCATGATCCTTCGGTACTCCGCAGACTGGCCTTGCCTTGGGCCAATTTGCACTTTGCTCCGGCCGTGCCACTCGCGTAGATGTGAGTGCACTTAAGTTGCGCCTGTGTTGAGCAGATGTAGCTGGGGTTTGTGTCCGGTCAAGATTCTTCCCTGGTATTCGCGCAGTAGAAGCTTGACTGGAGACTTGGGTCCCGGCTGGTTGCTTGAGGGTGGCATTCGTAGAATGGCTCCGTGTGTGCGCTGCTACATTCTTACCGGGCCCGCTTCCCGCGACCTTTGTTGCTCTTACTTCTTCAAACCGTGGTGGGCCCGCACTGACTGCAAAAGTACCAGGTTTCGGCACATCGAGGTCATCTTGCTTCAGCCTCGATTGAAACTGGAGTTTTGGAAGCTTCTTCGCAACCACTGCGGGCCGATCCCCCTGCGAAGTCTCTTTTGACTTTGAGGGAGATGGAATCCGCGATTGGAAAGACATTCGTACATTATTGGATTGTTGACGCTTTGTGACAGAGAGTACGCTAGATACCACGACACGACAGTCGTATGTGTAGGCAGAGTTTAGGCTCGGGCCCTTCAATTTGTTGATAACTTCCTAACTGGGTATCGAGCCGCCTCGGGGGCTGTTTATAGCAGGTTAGCCGAGCCATCCCTTGAACCTAACTTCATTAGGTATTTCTTGGGCATCTACCAACTACCCAGGTATCTACCACCTCTCAAGACATGATACCAACTGGACCTGGCTCAAACGCAGAATTGCCTATGCTTTTGTAGGCTCCAGGGCTGTTGCTTGCATAGCTTGCCATTGACCCTTGTTGTAATGTCGTTGTGACCATACGCCTCGCGTGCCGAAATGCCAAATGTCAGTAATCCAGGAACGAGCACTGGCACTCATGAAATCATGGTCGCGTTCCTTGGAGGCCTTGCCGGAGACATTTCGACTTCACCTTAACAATATGTCTCCGACCATATTACGCCAAAGTGATATTATCCAAGATATACATCAAGTCACTGAGAGAGCCGTGGTATCCTTGCTCTTCCCTTTTTCTAGCACTGGCCACTCCTGCTTGACCAGCTCGCAAAGCCCACTGATGTTGCAGTGATCAACCGGCGTGCAAAGAACACTACCATGGCTCCTCTAGAAACCGGCGAGCTCTACAAGGGGAAAGGGAACGCGAAATTCATTTGGGACTCGGACAACCTTAGTCAATTGTACGCAGTTGCGGAACATTTGACGCGTAGATTTGGTGACCAGCTGCTGCACGAAGCAAAGATTGACAATGTTGGTTCAGACCAGGAGCTGATAGTTCTTGATGAGGCCTGTGGTACTGGGGCTGTTGCGGCAGGGCTGATGGATACTCTAAGCGAAGAGGCGAAAGGCAAGCTGGATCTTACCATGGTGGACCTTGCACCGAGAATGGTTGATCTCGTCAACCAGCGCATCAAAGTGAATGAGTGGCAGAACGTCAAAGTGGTTCTGGCTGATGCGGCGGACAGCAAGCTCCCCAGCTCCCACTTCACGCACATATTCCTCAACTTCGGGCCTTTCATTTTCGCGGACCCGCAAGCCGGCTTAGCTGAAATCTAACGTATGCTGCGGCCAGGCGGAACGGTGGCTTTGGCATCGCACTCGAAAGTCGGTTGGGTTGCTGATGTTACAGCTGCATGGAAGACTGATCCCGACCTCCCACCATTCCCAACCACGCAAGGTTTGGCCGGTACTTTTGGAAAAGACCTCAAGTGGTACGACGCAGCCTGGATCAAGGAAACGGTTGCAAAGGCAGGCTTTGTCGACGTCGAGGTCAAGTCGAGTGATCTCTACCACAGTGAACCCGACGCCACCGAAACTTTCAAGCTGCTCCTCCCCGGCACGGTGGGAATGATCATGAACACTTTGTGGACGCAGAGGGAGCGAGATAAATATGCTGAGAAGGCAAAGGCTGCATCGGTTCGGTTTATAGAGGAGAAATATGGCGATGGTGAATTGGGATGGGACTGGACGGCGCTCTTGACGATCGCGAAGAAACCAGCGTGATGAGTACAAAGCACACGAGGCAATTCCACTAAATTGGACTACGTACATCCATAAGCAGACAATGATCAATGTGATATGACGCTTATAGGCACTCGATCGGAAGCTACCTATTTGCCCTTACAGATGAAGACTTGCCCAACAACATTTTGGGGTCCATCCCATATCTAGATCGAATTTATGTCCATTCCAAGATAACTCCGCTGGGCAGACCTGGACTTGGTCGTGTCAAATATCGCTCAATGCTCGCAACTCAACTGGAAGACAGATCGACCACCTCAACGCTACTGACGCCAGTCACGGTCAAGTCTTTCTTGACGGTAAATCTCTTGCTCACGCTCTTCACATCACCTGGCTCGACGATCTCTACCACCTTGTCTGCTTGCATTGGCCCATTGACCCAGACTTTCAATCCATCCAAGAGATCTTCATCGGGAGCTCTCAATGACGGATTGACAGAAATAACAGCTCCAGGTCGCACTAATAATGGCAGAGTGTCAAACCCGTGGGTCTCAGTGTACCATCGTCCCTCCTCGTATGTCTTGCTCCGGTCGAAGTAGCTTCTCCACTTGGCAGGGGACGAGGCATTCGAGTGGGGAACGTAGAAGCTAACTTCTCCCTCCTTGTTGAAGACGGGTGCGACCATGAGACTGTCACCAAACATGTACTGTGTGTCGATGCTCCATACGTTTGGATCAGTATCGCCGAACTCTACCAGCATCGCTCGCAGGATCGGCGTGCCGGACTGATGGCCATCTAATGCGGCACGCAGGAGATAAGGCAACAAGGTGAGCTTTCTCTCCACGCTTTCTCTGAGGACCTTACTACAAGCCTGGTCCTCACCGGGGAAGTGGTCTTCGTCGTAGATCCAGGGCACGCGATAACTTGCGCTGCCGTGCAACCGCGAGTGGGACCCCAACAGCCCAAACTGAACCCACCGTTTGTACAGTGCCGGATCTGGCAGGCCTTCAAAACCGCCGATATCATGGGCCCAGAAGGCAAAACCGGAGAGACCGAGGCTGAGCCCACCGCGCAGTGTTTCGGCCATGGCCTCGAACGTGCTCTCACAGTCTCCACCCCAGTGCACTGGGAATTGCTGGCCTCCGGCAGTGGCAGACCTGGCGAAGAGACAGGCGTCCTTCCCATGTGATGACATTGTCTCATAGACGGTCTTGTTGTAGAGATGTGTGTAGAAATTGTGCATGCGGACAGAATCACTGCCGTCATGGTATTTGACTTTCCTGGGATTGAAAGGGATGCGTTCACCGAAGTCGGTCTTAAAGCTATCGATGCCCATGTCCATCAGCCGTCTCAGGTGCGAAGAGTACCACTCTACGGCCGCCGGGTTCGTGAAATCTACCACTGCCATTCCCGCTTGCCACATATTCCATTGCCAGACGGTCGGGCGTGGGGTATCAGCGCGCATGATGAAGTATCCATTCTTCTTGCCCTCGGTGAACAACGGCGATGCTTGGCCGATATAAGGGTTGATCCAGACGCAGAGCTTGAAGCCCCGATCCTTGAGCCGAGTGAGGTAGCCCTTTGCGTCCGGGAATTTGTCACTGTCAAATTCGAAATCGCACCACTGGAAAGATTTCATCCAAAAGCAGTCGAAATGGAAGACGTTAAGCGGAATGGAGCGTTGCTTGAAGCCATCCAAGAAACCTGTCACTGTTTCCTCGGAATAGTTTGTTGTGAAAGATGTGGTGAGCCAAAGCCCATAGGACCAAGCTGGAGGCAGCCCTGGACGTCCTGTGAGTGCGGTGTAGCGGTTGAGTATTTCTTTGGGACTGGGACCCGCAATGATCATGTACTCTAGACTTTCTCCTTGAAGAGCGATATTGACACGGGTGGTTCGTTCAGACTGGATCTCGAGCATTACTTTCCCAGGATTGTTGATGAAAACACCATAGCCTCGGCTGGAGATATAAAAGGGGATGTTCTTGTAGGCGAGTTCGCTGGAGGTGCCGCCGTCCTCGTTCCAGATATCGACTGTCTGGCCGTTCTTTACAAAAGGGCCAAACCTTTCGCCTAATCCGTAAATCTTCTCACCCACGGCTATGTCGAGTTCGAGGAGGATGTAGTTCTCCGTCTCAGCATACAAACCCTCAGGTGCATCGTATTGCGCAGTGTTTTTGCTGAACACTGTACCAATGGACCGAAAGGACTGTCCTGTGAGCTTTTTGGGGCCTTGAAAATATTCAATTGCGAGATTATTGGCAGCAGTATTGACGGATGTGTCAAGGGGTCCTGTCGAATAAACCAGAGATTTGCCTTCTGTATGGTTGACTTTCGAGCTCGGCTTCGATTCGAACAGAGGGAAATGCGGCCCGAGGTCCTCCTCGCCAACCCAACGACTGAAGTTTACGGCTGTAATCCCCTCGAGCGGAGACCGGATAGATGCAGTGAGAGTGCCGGTATTCAACGTGTCGCCACGGGTTCTCTGGGCAACTGTAAGCAGGAGATCGACCTTGTCGTCGTTGACTTGTAGTCTTTCCACATTGGACATCCACTCGATCGTCACCCCGGGCCTGTTCCACCACATTCCTTCCGTGAACTTCATCTTGCTGGTTTGTTTGCTTTTACCCAGGCTTTTAGGAGAAACTGTGAGGGCTTGAAGATGACAACTAAGACCCCGTTCTTCCCAGACAACCTACCATTGACACTTATCCCAAGATTGAATTTGGGATATAAACGGCCATCTGAGCAGCAACTAATATACATCTGCCGACTGTAGCCAGATTTTAAATATGTCACATCCCAAGGCAGGCTTTTCAGAGATCCTACACACGATTAGCACAGTGTTCGTGTCCCAGAGTGTCACTGGGTGCCGGAACGGGGCAAAGCCCGGCGTCCCAGAGGCTAGGAGCTTGCCTCTGATATTAGGCAAAATTCGTCCTTCTGTATTTTGACCTAACAACCGCTCTTGGCGGTAGGGGAACCTCAGAACTTTGAGTCACTGCTGTAACCGGATTCCGGACGGATACCACGGGGAGCATTTCTCTACAATACGAGCTTTCGGGATAATTCTCGGGTCTTTCGTTTTGTGAAGTTGACTACCTGGAAAAGACAACATTTTCACCAGTCGTAGTCAGTGGACCGAAGATTCCAGGTAGCTCCGAATGGCTCAGCCACGAGAATGAACCCAGAGCATGGGTTATCACATGATCCCATGCTCACGCTCAAAAGGTGAGATGTCTTAGTCCAGAGTACGAGAAACCGCCTGGTTCAGCTTTTGCTGCAAGGTTGTCCAAGCTCTCGACATAGGAACCGCTGCAATGGAGGCATATGGCCCACGTGGAATCCGGTAGTTGGTCCCGAACCTAAGGATGACAAAAACCGCATCGAATATCCATGGAAGGGATAGTGCACGATCAGAATGAGGCAGGCCAGCCAGGACTTATTGGGCGCACAGTCTGAGAGATCCCAATATAGAACGCGGCGGGAGAATATCTGAAGCATAGACCAGCTCATGATTGGGCTACGGACGAGCTCTCGGATCTCAAGCACATGGCAAGTTACATGGAAACCCAATACCAAGGATCTGGATGCGATAGGTTCGAAAGAACTGAAACCCGTGGAAGATAGTTCGGAGATAGCATGAAAAGGGTATATGGATCGCAAATATAAAGCAAGGCTCAGTCCATGACACAGTCAATCCGAGGGAGGTTCCCTGCTCAACAAGGCTCCCAAGGCAAATTCTGCTTAATCGATAACGACGACTATTAGCTTTAGGTATCTGTCAAGCCTGGGTGCCTCGGGTGCCTCCACACTTAACCGGCACTTACCTAAGCCCAGCCATCCCCAAACCTATGTACTCGTAAACCACCCAATCGAACCCTGCAGGATTAAGCCTCTTTATCCCCGTCCTTCGAGGCATCTTATCTCGGGCTTCTCTGTAGGCCTCGACAGTGCCTAACCAGCGCCCCCTCCCCCCCCGTCTTGGTGCCTAAGCCTCCCCAAGAGTCAGTCAGAGTCATCAAGCCGAAGCCTCTAACCGCCCAAGGTTTCTCGGGCTCCACCGACGAACCCCGCCGTCCAACCAGAACCTCTTCCAGACCTGCGCTCTTCTGCCTTCATCGAGGTTCATCGACTTCGGTGTTTAACATTCATTCTTCACAACGTCCTCTCAACTTGTAAGCATCTCTTTACCAGCAAGCTCAGAGGCAGCTTTGCCTCCGGGTGTTGCTGGTCTTGTATACTTGGTGGTTCTGCACCCTGGTTCAGAGTCACAGTGGAACCTGCGGCCTAACTCTAACATCAATCACCCTGAAATTCGTCAGGAATGCTGCAAACACTCTCTGTCGCCTCCTACGTTTCACACAATCAGCGACAAACAGAATCTTCATTTTCACACCACCATGCTCGCCTACGGCTCCGTCTCTACTTGACATCTTCCTACGCTTTCAGCACCTGCGGCCACCGCCGTCCGCCATCATGTCCACGCTGACAAACTCTCCTCCAAATGCGTCCGCCAACTCCGTCTCATCCTTCTCACCCATTCCATCGCCACCATTAGCCGCTGAGATGATCAAACTCCCCCCCTCCCCGCTAGAAGGAGAGCACAATCTCTTCTTCTCACCACCCCCGGCCTCTCCAATCCAAGTCACATTCGACTCTGCCACGAAACGCAGCCCCAATCCAGCCCAATTCATCACCCCCTCCAGACCACGCGCAGGTTCTCCCCAGAGAAAAATAAGACCGTTGTCCGCGAGTGGCATTGCCGGGATGCCTCCGCCTATGCAGAGAGCACACTCCTCTCCCGGTGTTGATTCCTCTGGTCGATATGTGACCCCTTATGGTTCGGCACGCAGGCCGATATCCCCATTACCCATGGCGAGAAGACGAAGTCCGTTACGTTCGGCTATGGAAGAGCCGTATCCTGGAGCCCCATCATGGAGTGGTCTCAGTATCGAACCGAACATCCCTGAAAACGAAGAGCTCGAACTCTCAGAGCTCGACCTGTCACAACAGTCGCCCATGTCATCCTTTTCGAACACATTCCCTCGATCTCGGCGGCGGACCACGAGCCCACTCCATCAAAGTGCGAGCGCTCCGTCATTACATTCTAGGGCCATGAGTCCTGGCATTTCTGGGAGCACATCACCTCTACCACTAGGGACACCTCAAAAATACACCAATGAGCCATATCCCATGTATTCCTTCAGTTCTGCGTCCTCGATCCCGAGCACACCTACATCTATTCGATCCCGATCACCATCGATCAGTTCTCTCGAAACAATCGAAGATATTCCCGATGCCGAAGAGGCTGCCATGCTCGAAGACGAGGAGGGCAAGCAAAGGGGCGAGGACGGCGAGCCAAGGAGGGTTTCGATGGAACTTCGAGGGAGCAACCTACGGAGTAACAAGGAACGAAAACGATGGTCTGTCTGCGGCGCAGAGAGAAGGGCGGATTTCTCGTTGGAGCCCATTGAAGAATGAAAAGCAGAGTTCGGGCTTTGTTATGTATCCAGGAAATTTTCCCTACCGGACATTCGAGTGTGATAAGGAACATACTACGACATCCCCCAAGAGGTACTCGGGAGGGGAGATTGGCAGCAAAACAAACGGGAAATTTGCGAAATGAAGAATCCCTCCATGCAGGGATTCACACAGGACAGGGACAGGCACCAGTCATCCACCAGAGATACCCCATTTTACAAGCGGCGTTGTTTTATTTTATCCTTCACTGCTCAAACAGAACACGATCATTAAAAACTGATTCATATCTGACACCAGGAGCTTCATGTGGAGAAAAGTAAGGAACCAGAGACACGATCATGACGGGAACATAAGCTCCTGCCCGGAAGGAGTAGTACGTGAGAAGATCACGCTACAGTCATAGCCTTTCTGTAAAACGATTATGCCCCCTGATGAGGCCAATATGAAATAGCTTTCCAAACACAATGAGAGTGCTCGTGACATTGAGACAGGTCGGGGCAGCCCTACTCATGCCTCGTGCAATCGTTAGCTGAGGCCACATGAACCACACGTTCCATTCCTATATCCCTGAATATCTCCACCCGGTTCGAGCCAGCGTGTTCCCCTTGTTGGAGGTTTGCAAATTGGCGCCGTGAGGGCTCAGTTCGCGAGGAGGGAGGGAGAGGAGTCCGAGGCCACGACGATGTCTAGATATACGGCCAACGAGTTCCTCCAATACGAGGTCTGACCATCGCTTCAGATCCCCAAGTCAGCATGTTTGGCAATTGCAGGAATTGAACAAGGCGACTTTCTCGCGCAGCTCGGAATTTGATACCATTGCTATCAACTGACTGCCAATTGTGCCGATCAGACCGTATCAGATGCTCAGATGGTCAACCAGAATCTGCAGATTCCTTTGCGTAGAGTAGGCAGGAGGTTTCCCCATGAACGGCCCAGCACACGGTGTCGTGCAGTGGCTTGGAGCGCAGGTGCTGGTGCAGATCTCCTTCTGTAAGACTTCTCAGGCGCACGTGGCAAGTTTCATGCCATACCTCATTTGACCTATGTACATACCTAATTAACCTGGTCCTCAAAGCAGAAAGAGAGATGGCGACCGCCATTCAACAGAGCGAGGTGAGAATAGAAAAGACCTTTCTTTACCCACGCTCACGGGCAGGAGGAACGTCGAAACATCCGCCCTGAACTTCTTTCTTCCTGGACTGGACACGGGAGATACATATGACGCAGGATTTCTCATTCCAGCAGAGACAGTTGCAATAACAGCGGTGACAGCGGTGACAGTAGTGATACGCAAGAGACTATTATGCGACTCGGCCAGTCGTACAGCGCATAGTACGGCCTAGCATATTGTATACCGGACGGAGGACGGAGACTTATTCGTACTTTCGAGGAGACCCAAGGAAATACCTACCGATGATGTTATGTTTTGAGCGCGGAATACCCCTCGCGGGTCTCGCTCTCCCCCGGCGAGTGGTTTTCCATAGAGTGACATCAAGTCCACTCAAACCTGATGCAACCACACGCTACTATTTTTGAGCAGTTTAGTCTTTCATTCTTCTCCATTTGAGAGCGTTCGCGAAACGGATGTGAATGATGTATGGACTGAATGTTTCACGCTTGTCGAGGGTGCCTGCCTGGTGTACCCGGTATACTTAGTACAAGCAGTAGTCGTGTAGGCTGTAAGACTGATGGGGAAACGGGATATTCGAGGGAAATTGGGAAATTGGGGCTGCTGGTTATTGACCTAGGTGGTAGTTGGTAATGGTTAGTTACGACTTGGAGCTTTAGAAGTCACGACCTCCAAGAGTAATTGCAAGTTACATCTCGTTCCCACGGGACGGAAACGGAGAGAGAGGGGAGAACAAGGCTCCACCATGCGCAATGCGACGCGGATGGACGAGACGAGGCTGACTTGTCCGGCCACTGGCCACTAAACTCGATACTCGGTACTGATGGTGTGGGATGTCTCATCACAAGGCAGATTGATAGATGGACGAAAATAGATAAAGCGGGTGCGTCATGATTGAGACACAGCGAAAGGGGGACAATCAGGGTGGGATTGTTGTTCACTTTCGAGATTGAAACCCACTGCATTGTTTCCAACAATGACATGACGCTGGTTTCTTCGATTCTGACCTGGATGCTGGGATGAGCTGGTTCGTGCTGTCTCAATCGCCCAGCGCACGCAGCGAAGGAAAAGAACAGAAGTCCCAAGGAGATGTGCCAGCAAATGCATGAGATCCACAGATCACCGGTCAGGCATCGGAGTGCCTTCTGGACGACAGGTGTTGGTGCATTGCCTGATGATGACGCGCCCAAACGTCAGGTTGCAGAACCGATACGGGGTACTTGGTGCGTGAACGTGAGTGCAATTTTAAGTCCCGGGGCCCAACATGAATCATGCTGGAAGGAATAGGCAGGTCCACGGCTGTCGCCATGTATCCATCCTGCGGATGTTACGGCAGTGCAGAACGAGTTGCTAAGAAATCTCCAGTGGGTAGCGAATTGTCATTTCGCTAAGCGACTTCCGTATCGTCATCGATGATGTTCTTGTGATAAGTTATTATTCTTGTCTCCCAAACTGGAGCATGATCTTGGTCTCACACCACTCGACTGAGGGCAGTAGTATCCCAGATACTAGGCGGAGTCATTTTGAAGGAGGGATGATGCTGTTGCTGATGGTGATGACGGTTCCTCTGCGGGTATCATAGTCTCAGAAAACCGCAATGTAAGGGGGTAATTAGTCCAAGCTATTCATAGATAACCATTCGACACATGAGTTTCAGCCGGTGCTGGCCGCCGCCGTTGGTCTCTTCGCCTCTTGGCACCCCTGAGATCATCGTTTGCAAATCTCCCACGTGAGATGAGACCTGCTGATCAGGGTCCCAAGTTGCCGGCAGTGGTGGATCAGTGGCAGTAGTGGTATGTAATTAGTAGGAACTACGAGGTACGGAGCAGGCACTGTGGTTGAGCTGAAACCCATGCTTCCCAAGACGGCGCATCAGGGTCTCCGTCTGTGCTTTTTTACCAAACGAGTGCGGGAGTGCGACAGGTCCAGAGAGGTGGAAAACGCAATTTGCTCCCGAAGCGAGGCAGTGGGAGAATCTTGTGAACCCTGTGCACGTGGTGGAAGGTTGGTCGTCATCAAATTCAGGGGCGATCCTCATACCTAGGTATAGAGTACCCCTAAGCCTGAAAAGGGCAATCGCAAGTCTGTTGATGTGGTTGCACAAATCAAGCGAAGAAGATGCGCAGAAGCATCTCAATTGGGTGCTTGAGTTTTGTGTCACTCAAATAGCTATGAAGCGAGCTGCGCTGTAGGTAATGTCCTGCACCCGTCTGCTGCGCAACTGGACTATGGGATTGCTCTTCGCTGGGGTACGGAAAGCTCATTCACCGGGTTGGATGATTTGTTGGCTGAGCAGTGGCGACCTTTCACGGCGGCTCAGGCGGAGTTCTGGAAATGACCTCCGGTCGGGGCGATTTGATTTGTGGACTCCGTGCCAAATAGAATGCTCAGAACAGGCACCAACATGCTCGTCGAACACCAAGTCAATTGCGGTGCGATTGCTGATTCTGCAAGAGCACGCCCCACGTTGCTGGAAAACAGTAGTGGTTGTTTTCATCTTGTTAGACACTGCACACAGGTCACAAGACGCCCAATAGACATGTATATGGTGCACGCAGGGATCCTAGTGGCAGGTCAAATGCGAATAATAAGGTGGCACAGCCAAAGGCCATCCTCCTGGACGGACGCCTGATTGACTTGCAGTGGCAGGAAACATGACCGCATGAAGCATTGCACTGGCCACCGACAGGGCTCCAGGGGAGCAGAGCCCCTCTTTCTACGTCAACAATCAACCCAAGGGCCGCCTTGCTCGTATTCCCCGGGGCGCAAATGTCTTGCTCCATGCACCAAGTCACGGGCCTCTGTCGACTGGCACTGAAGAGATAACCCTGCGGGGCCATTCCAAGAAAGAAGCATGAAAACATGCAGTAACTCCATATGTTTGGGGAAAGATAGTCGGTATGAGCCAATAATGAAGTGGTGAACTATTGACTGGTCTATAGCCACGTCACAAGGTCATGGGGGTTAGCTCCCAGCCGGGTCCCAACGAGCGCCGCCGAGGCTTACTCGGACCGGTCAGCTCGCCCAGCAATGATGCAAACGGCGTGGCTAAATCCGGGGTGCATCTGGTGGTGCCAGTGGCTCGCTTCTCCTGCTTGCCTCATCCTTGTCGTTCAATGGCTCTAGCGAAGGGGTCGACGTCAATCAGCTCCACAGTTAATCCCGGCGCTGGCCGACGGTGTTTCCTTGCTCTGAAACAGCATTGATTGATCTTTATTTGGTTCATTGCGGAGAAGGTAGTAGAGAGCCTGACGTGCTCCGGGCAGAGTCCGGAGTACGGATAGCTCGAAAGAAGTACTCGCTACGAACACTAGTAGCTGTATTGGTTTCATGAGCTCGCTGATCAATTTCCATGATCAACATTACGCGGTTTCAGAAGCAGCAGATCCAGTCGGCGGGCGGATACAGTTACAGTAATTTGGGATCCCTATCGATAGAAGCCGTGTGGAAGGACTGAATTGCCGGCCGGGCGCTCCAGTTTATTGAGACGGACTGGGAGTCTAAGGCGGGTGTGTTGCGACCAGTGACGGATGGCTCGGCTGTCCCTGAGGGATGGACCCAATTGTGTTGGCGAGTGCGACACAAGGCCCCAAGCTTGGTCTATTGTCCCATGGCCCCAACTTCCAAGGTCTGTTCTTTGCTCCTCATGGCCAATCGACCAAGATTCAAGCTCCGAACGGGTTTTGGGAGAGTGAAGCACTTAACGCGGTTTCTGGCGTTCTAGCGTGGGCCCAAGCGGGCGGGTCACGATACCATGATACAAGCGCGATACTGGTCATTTCATCGCGTATCGATCGCGATGGACCAGGCAAGCTAAGATCGAGGGCTGATACAATGGGAGTTCGCCTTTTCCAAAGGCTAGGCTGGATCAAGAATGCATGTGCGATTATGGTGACACAGACCATGAGCGCAATCGTGGAGCGACCAACAATTGCACATTTCGCCTGCGTTGTTCTCTATGTGGGGGATTCATGGAGATGCGTCGAGGCGCGTTGAGTTGAGTTGACCTGCATCTTATTCTTGCAGGATGCAGACCTGGGCGCAAAGGATTCGATGGAGAGATGCCACGTAGGCTGCACCACGCAACCTATTCGACCAAAAGGCTCACCTCGCAATCACCTGTTCGTCAGTCGATCTTCTTGATTGCAAAGAGGAGAATGCCGTCGCATTCGCGCTCGCAGTACCGAGTCGTGCCCGGTTGCTGGTCGATGTCCAGGGACGCAGCTGGTCGGCACGACGCGACAGGCAGCATGCAGCATGTGTGCTTTTGTTGCGCAAGCGTGCATGTGTGGTCGTGACCGCTGCTGAGATATGTGGAGAGATGGGTTGTCAGCAGACTCCAAGTGGTGCAAGACATTGGACGCATGCGGCATCTTGCAGACTACAAGTCAGCACCGAGGTGAAGATGAGGCTAATACTTGGTACGACCGTAGGAGTCTGTTGCAGGTGATTGCAGAATTGCAGATGAGGGCGCACTCTGGATTGATCGAGAAAGCGAGGTTGCACTTTCTGTGATGCCGTCAGCTGCAAAGATTTGGGTTGTCGACGCTTTCAGAATCCAGGACGTGGTATGAGGTCCCCGTTACGAAAGAGAGCGTTCTCGTCTGGAGTCTGGAGTCTGAGCGTGCGCTATTGTCAAAGCTGATGGCTTGTGGTCCAAGCGCATTCGGCACTCGTACGAGTAATTGAGCCATGCGACCGAGCTAGATCATGGCTGAGAGCACAGCTGAAGAATTACAGTTATCAAGATTGTCTGTGCATTGCATGCCAACAAGGTACCTTGGTGCGAGGTAAACAAAAAGTCAGATTACCGCCAGATTACAAAGCCTGACCCCTTGGGTAGCTACTTGTAGGCGGTTGTAGGCTTGTCGCACTGCGTGCACAATTAGAAAGCGGGACCTATGATGGAAGTGGCCACTGGTGACAGCGGCCAGCAACCTGCGCAAACAGGACCGTGTTGAAAGTGGGTAAACCAAAGATCGCCTCGGGTTGGCGACCAGAAGCGAGAAGAGAAAAGAAAAAAGAACATTCACAGTGACAACGCGCACCATGGGGACACGACTCGCCCCGCGGGGGACACCCTGGCGGAGGAGTCGAGGAGGAAGAGAGTAGCCTGTAGTCGGTAGTCTGTAGTCTGTAGCCAGCATGCCTCCGAGCCTCCATGCTTAGAGTTGACTAGGGAGAATTGCGCGGGGCCTGTGTGTTCTGAAAGCAAAGAACAAGAGAAGAAGGTTGATGTCGCAAGGAGCAAGGGAACCCTTGACATCGCAGGGGCTGGAAGTCGATGGCGATATTAGGACACGGAGGAGGCAAATTATACGATGTAATAGGAAAGCCGCAGGTCGGGGTCCAGGGGAATACACAAGAGAAAGTCTACTACTCGTACTCGTACATACGTACGAGAGTTGGCGATGCATTCGCGATCAAAGGAGGATTGACAGGGAGGGCGGCCACGCATCAAGCACCGCTGAATAGTTAGTTGGCAGAATTGGCAACAACGTGTTCAGTTGTGGCACGCTGGCAACGGAAGAGGAACAACCGGCAATAACAGGCGTCCTAACAGGAGTCATAACTAACAATAATGACAATACTACGAGTACTAATCAACAGCGGAGACATCCCAGAGGAAGAGGTGGTTGATGGTGATCGCGTGGGAGCAGTCCTCACAGGCTTACAGAGTACGGAGAACGGAGCACAGCTCACCAGGAGGATGGCCCTCGGCCCCTGGCCTGTACCCACGAGTAGCCCTAGCCCAGTCTCTCACTGCTGGGTTAGTCTCTGGTGCCCCTGTTGCTCTGGGCGTGGAGGCGAGCAGGAACAAGGAACAAGGAACAAGGAACAAGGGGGGTTCTGGCTGGCTGTCATTCGGGTGCCATTTTCCGCTGGGATTCTCGAATTGCTGGCAGATTGACGGTGCCACCGCCTTGTTTGGCCCCGTCAGTCCCCTCGAATTTCACCCGAGAATAGAAGTGCTCTACGGGTGAGGTACGGAGTACTCGGTATATTCGCAGGGAATCCTGCGTACTCCGTAGTACGAGGTAGTGTGCCGTGCCAGGTGCTAGGTGCCAGGTGCTAGGTGCCAGGTCCCTCGTCTGGCCTGGCGTGGAGGCGTCACAGGCGTTAAACACCGCCGAGCCCACGACCCACGACCCACGACCCACGACCAGCGACCAGCGACCAGCGACCCACGCGCCCCCAAAACTAAAAAAGACGAATGCAGCAAATTCTGGCCGCCAGGACTCCAAAACTCAGGAACTCAGGAACCAGTCGTCCGTGCCGGGTGCCGTGGAATTATGATGTTATGACTGGGGAGCCGTTGACAGAGGAGACAGTTGAATGGGTCCCCTCGTTGTAGCTCCACGCACACTTCCTCATCCTGGCCTCTTCTCTGGCTTCCTGCCATGCCCCCAAAATAAAAGACGGACTGACCAGCAGCGCGGATACCAGGTCGATACCGTACGCCGTCCGTCCCCGTAGCTTCGCGACGACTGCTAGTTCTGGTGCCCTGAGTTGAGAGTCACCAAACTGGCACCACCACACACATTTTCCACTCGCTTGCCCGTTTTCCTGCGCTTCTCACCAAAGTCACATCCACATCCACATCCACATCCACACTGGCATCCCTTCTCTTCCTATTCCAGTCCTATCCCACTCTTCATTTCTGCACATTGTGCTGTCGCGCACTATTCGCTCCTTGCCCCGTCCAGCTCACACCTTTCCACTTCTCCACGCATACCCTCGACCACCATCCCTCGACCTTGCAATCCTTCCACTCAAGCGCCTGGCTTTGAAACTTGTCCCAGTTCTATTTTGTCTTGTGCTGTGCACCTTCCATTATCATAAGACTCTAGAGCAGACAGCTGGCTTGCTTCTGTCTCGTCCCTTCCTTTGTTCGACCACTTCCCCCTGCGAACGGTCATCAAGAGTCATCGTCAACACCTCACCCCCAGAACACCTCACCACAACTCACCCGACCTGCCCACACGAGGCTCGCCATTACATCTGGTAGTCCTGTCGCCTATCGGCTGACGGCATAAGTCTCTGGACACTTCCACCTCGCCTGCTACAGTCACCGGCTGCACCTCGACCAATACTGCAACCCTCCCAAGGGCCCGATCTTGCCCTACGCAGCCTGACGCTCGACACCGCCTACCACGCGTGGTACTTTGTCTGCTCCCTGCATTGCAGCTGCATCAGGGCCAATCGAGCCTCCAACTCTATCAGGCGCTCCAGTCATGGACACCATGGCCAGGATGTCCTAGCCATCACGAGAGACTGCAGTTTTGCCGTCCCGAGTTTGTCAGAATACCACTCCCGGAGAGCATAATGAAGCTGTCAAAGTACCATACACAGAGCTGGACTCACTTATACTGCGAATCTCGACCCTAACACTACAATTTTCAGACGCTTGAAAGCAAAATTTCACCCATCCTTCTCCTGCATCATGATATCTGCCTCTGCATCGCCCTCCATGAGGGCCTTGCATAGCCGCGACCCTTCACCATCCCCACGCACACACCCTCTAGCTCGTATGCCATCGATACAGCGAGTCAACAACACTATTCCTCAAGGGTTCTCGCTTACGCCAGCTTCTGCGAACAGCGCCTCATCAGTTGCGGCGAGCCCTTACCTTCCTTCTCTAACTTCTTCTCCGCTGGCATCGCAATCTCTAACCCAGTTTTCTCATCTTGGGAGTCCCGCGCCCCTTGAACTCCCGGAATCTATTGTCTCCAGTTCTCAGCCCTCTATTCACCAACGGGAACCTACCTCGGCATCTAAATCTGCTGGAATTATACGCAAGTTGTCTCAGAGTGCGAGAGATGGTGTCTCCTCTACCCGCCAGATCCTGAGGCGGAAGGCGTCTTCATCCGCCCAAAGTCGTCGAGATGAAAGCACAGGCCCTATCACACGCCGCCGGAGCGACAGCAAGACTACTGCTGCCGCTACCAGCCAGCCAGAGACACCCTCTTACGATCCCCTCCCAAATACGGACTTCCACGCCGGCCTGGGTCTGTTTGATACCATGAGCCTCTCCAGTGAACCCACGTTGATGGACGCTAGTCCTGAAGGTCAAGCTCCGTGTATCCCAGAACGTCTCGTACGTGGATGTCTATTGACCAAAATTACCAAGAACAAGAAGCAGGAGAAATTGTTCTTCCTAGATGTGGAAGGTTCTCGTGTGTCTTGGAGAGGAGCTGTCACAATGAAAGCCTTTCACATCGACAATATCAAGAGTATACGGAGCGGAGAGGAGGCAGCCAGCTACCAACAGGAACTCCGTGGTGAAGCCGTCGATTCTGAGCTCTGCTTCACCATCAATTATGCCGCCTCGGACTCTTCTAAACAGGTCAAGACGCTACATCTGGTCGCTCACACTCACTCCGACCTTCAACTATGGCTAGAGACCCTCGAAAGTGTTTCCAAGCATCGCGAAGACTTGATGACGAGTATGATAGGGTCCACAGAAAGGGAGTCGGTCATCCGTGCCCACTGGGATAACGAGATTGAGAAGCGCTCCCACAGACCTGATCAAGCCAAGGTTGATGGCCTTGACTTATCTGCCATTCGATCTCTTTGCCGCAAGCTCCATATCCACGCCCCGGAGAAAGAACTGGAACTGCAATTCAATACTGCAGACGCCTCAAACTCAAACATGCTCAACTATGAGGGCTTCAGAGATTTCGTGAGACGCCTTCGCGAGCGCCGAGACATCAAGAAGATCTTTAATGACCTCAAGGATGACTCCATACCCGGAATCACACGTTCCCAGGTGGTTTGGTTCCTCGAAAATGTACAAGGCATCAGTTTCAACACAGTCTCGGAGGCGTCCATTTGGTCTGACAAATTGGATGATCTCATCTCACATTCATTTCTAGATGACCCAACAATGCGAGGCTCTGGTTTGGTGGACCTCAACGCTTTTGCATCATTCATCATGTCCAAGGACTGCCACGTCTATTCTCAAGGAGAAGCATCAGCGCCTCGATTTGATCGCCCCCTCAACGAATATTTCATCTCCAGTTCCCATAACACTTATCTTACTGGATGGCAAGTGGGCGGTACCTCCTCAGCAGAAGCTTACATCACCGCCCTTCGCCATGGGTGTCGCTGCATCGAGATCGACTGCTGGAATGGTTCCGACGGCAAGCCAAGAGTCACACATGGTCGTACCCGGACCACTTCTGTGCTGTTCTTGGATTGTATCAATGCGATCAATAGATGTGCTTTTGATGTCTCTCCTTACCCACTCATCATCTCTCTGGAGGTGCATTGCGACCTGGAACAGCAGGCGAAAATGGTTCAGATCATGACCGAGGTGCTTGGGGAGCGACTTTTAGTCCATCCTCTACCCAATTCCACGACAAAGCTGCCCTCACCAGAGCAACTAAAGCACAAGATCCTGATCAAGGTGAAATCTACAGAGCTTCATGCTGATTTAGCCGCCTCTCGCCGCGCAACCTCTTTGCGTCGCGACCGCAGTGGGAGCTCGCCAACTCGCGGGCCGCAGTCCTTGACAGCTAATTGGCTTGAACCCACGACAGCCTTTGCTTCTAGCCCATCTTTGATCACACCCCCAGAATCAATCTACTCTCCAGTTACCGATCGGTCGGTCGTTGCAACAAGCGCAAGCAGTGGTGAGGATGAAAGCGATGTTGCCCCATCCTCACCTCCTGCGGACACCCAACGGCAGAATCCCAAATTGAGCAAAGTTGGTCCCCTTCTTTCCGCACTTGGAGTTTACATGAAGGGTTACACACTCCGAGAGAGCCGTGATCTTCGTTTTCAACAATACAATCACATCTTCTCCCTGAACGAGAATCGAGCCATCGAGCTTTGCCAGTCGGTAGAGGATAAGGTGCTCTTCGAAGACCATAATCTTGACTACATGTGCCGTGTGTATCCGAAGAATTTGCGGGTACAGTCCTCCAACTTTGACCCGAATACGTTCTGGCGACGGGGAGTCCAGATGGTTGCACTGAACTGGCAGACTTATGATGCGCACATGCAGATGAATCAGGCAATGTTTGCCGCCGGCACTGATGCCTATGGCTATGTGCTAAAGCCTGAATATCTGCGCAAAACTCGAACCAAGCCAGGTGATTTCGAACACAGGGTGAAATTGCCGCGTTACAAGACGAGGTTCTCTGTGCAAATCATCTCAGCCCAACAATTACCGCGACCGGCCAACATGAGCAACCAAACCCCACTCAATCCGTTCATTGAAGTTCAGATGTTCAGTGCCGAGGATCGAGCACGTGGCATTGCAAATGGCTCCGGCGGACAGGAACCATATTCCAATGGTTATCACGGGATAGGCTCACCATATCGTCGACAGACACAGATCGTTCTTGGAAATGGTTACAATCCTCAGTTTGGAGAGACCATCGAACTATCGTTGGAGACCAAGTATCCCGAGTTGGTCTTCGTCCGATTCATCGTCTTCAACTCGGACGATGGCAGACCATACGGCAAAGGTGTCAAGCAGCTGGCCGCCTTCACGGCCAAGCTCGACAGTCTTCAAAAGGGCTATAGGCACCTGCCTCTGTACAATGGATACGGCGAGGAGTTTATCTTTTCCACTTTATTCTGCAAGATTGCCAAGCAAGAGCCAAAATTGATGCCGTGGTCATTGCAAGACGTCAATGACCGGCCAACCAGGCCGAACATGTTCCGGGGCATTCTCTCACGTGGACTGTCTGGGGACCGTGGCAGGGACCGGTCCACTAGCAGTGTTGAGGATTTGCGCAAACGGGATCAGCGTTATATCAATCGAGAAATTGAAGAGACTGTTGTCAAGCGCTGACGCTGAGCACGCATAGGCATGGGCATGGGCATGGGCATATGGAATATTTGTACTAACGCTTGGAGTGGGAGTTTGGTTTTGAAAGAGATACCCCGAAAAGTATATGACTGGATGACATACTGTTAGATCTGCATGTCCGGCAACGGACCTTTCATTCTACTTTCGCTCTGCTTATCGAGCTGGATTGGCATCGTCATTGCTTTTTTTTCTCTTATGTACGATTAGATAGACTGCAAGACACTAGTTTGTTGGAAATAAGGTATCAGGTGAAAATGTCGAACTGTTGAGCTGCCCTTTCCCTGGGCCATTTGCGAGTCGCACGAGCAAGTCAATATCTGATCATACGAGTCTAAAGCACGGGCTGCTCCGTACTGTACTACGGACGCATGTCAGGCCTTACACCGACAGCCTTACCGAGTATTATACAAGCCTTCACCACCAGCTGACTTTTGGGACCCAGCCGGTGAAAACCTGAGCACCAAATGACCAGATCAAGCACCTGGAAGGGGCAAGTACCCGCTTTGATTATGAGCTTACTCCTCTCTACCCAATTGTCCTCTCTCTCAATCTCTGTCTGGCGGACTTGGTGCCACTGGTGGCGGTGGGTCCCGGGCGGATGACTGACGCCCGGGCGGGCAAGGCTCAGCGGCTTGGCTTGCAGTAGTTACTCGTACAACTCAGTGAACCAGCAGCCCGCCAAAGCAGCTTTTCTCAACCTCCCCACGTCCAGCCCGACACTTTTCAACTCGAACCACAAGGCTGCCCTGTGAGTGGCTGTGTCCAAAAACGCCTGCTGCAGAGGTCCGTCGTTGCAGCATGTCGCCCTCCGCCTGCTCCTCATTCTAAGATACTCGACCTCTATACCATTCCTGCTAGTCCTCATCATGAGCGGAGCCTACACTGCCGACAATTAGCTGTGGCAGCAACCGACGTGGATTACAGGGACCAGAGGCAGAGGGCAGAGTCCAGGTCAGTTGAGTCAAAATGGCTCTCAAGTGGATAGAGTCCTATGTATCGAACAACCAAGGCTTCCAGCTCGATATTGTCGGTGAGTCCCGAGCACCTCAGCCAGGCTGTTGGCCTCAACTGCAAGGCACAGATGCACTGACATGGCCTTCTTCGCCAGGTTTCCTCGCCATCCTTGGAGAAGGTTCCGTTGAGACCATTGCCCAAGTTGCGACTTTGAGTTATCTCATCTACGTTCCCCGACTCCTACCTGCGCCCCAGATATTCATTAGACCCTCGCGGCCAGAAAAGCTTGAGACGACCGCGAATGCTAAAGTTATTGGCGTCCACTCCGGTAATACCGGAGAGGACATCCATCACGTAGCTCATGCATTACATCGTGGTGACAAGTTGCCTCCTAATACCGTGAGCTGCGTCCGGGTCAAAGAGAATGAAAACCCTCGACCATCGATTAAACGCTTTGGCCCGTTAGCATGGCTGTCATTCTTGGGATTTGCCTTGTCGGCAACATTGCTGGGACTATCTTTATATTATCGTGACGGGTAAGTAGAGGTGGAGGTGGAGGTGGCTGTGCTGAAGACTAAGGGCTCACCATTTGTTCTAGCATGTCCCTACTTGCTACGCTCCTGCTTTCCTTCCTGGGCACTGTTACTGGTATTGCCAATAAGTGGAAACCCACCCCCAACGACCCGAAACCTGATCCTCATTCGCCTCCTGGGGATGTTGTAATCAAATACCCACAAGGAGCCTTCATTGTGGTGACATGTGAGGAACGGACGGCCAGATACCTCTATTTCAACCCTAGCGAAAGGTGCATTTATTCTGTCAAGAGCACTGCCATCTATCGAGGTCTCTCGCTAGTGTCAACGCTGTTGCTCATGGGTGGAGTCATCTCTTTAGCCAACGCCCGCATAGAAACTCAAACTGCCTTCGCAGGATCTTATATGCTGATCAATATCTTTTACTGGATTGGGGCTGCCTTACCACCCGCCCAGCACTGGGATCTCAGCCGACTTGAAGTGTCCCACATCGAAGTCAAGGGAGGTACGCCGCCTCGATCGGCTAGACTCGACAACGTCAATCCAACCTACACTGAGGCTCTATGGAAAGCCATTGCAGTGACCGGCACCAGTAATTGGGTCAAAGAAGCTGGCTGGGCACCCAAAACTCCGGCATGGAACGACTGGCTCAATGAGGCCGAGGAAGCCGCACTGGGGGAGCCACTACAGAGCAGCAAGTATGTGGCGGAGACTGGGAAAGAAGTTGAGGTCTGGACGATTCGCAACTGGGACAGCCGGAATGCATTGTCAACCTTACTGCGGACGACAACCGACCGGTTCAATACGAAGAAATGAAGAGAAAAGTTCGACTCTGGACTGTTGTGTCTTCCTAGGACTACAGCGGAAGGCTCCCTACGATGACGGAATGAGATAATGACATGATGAACGACTCCAACGACTGCATGAGTCTGCGCTGCAGACAACGCTATATTCAAGATAGTAGACCGCTTAGCATACCTAGGCACTAGCATATGATAGATAGGGCTTGTCCTCTACAACTACATTTCCAAGTTGTCTGAAGAACAACTTGCAAACCCAGAGAAAAGGAATCAGGGGTTGATTCGTCGTGGAATGAGATCGATGAGACAGAGTTGTGTGTATGTTTTCTGAATGCAATGCCCGGATCTCTGCGAGGACAAACCCCTTGGTTGCCGACCCGTTTATCCAACACTGAAGCTTACAAGTAGGTTCACCGAACCCCCACCCGACCTCTTGATCTGACTTGAGAAATCTTGGCGCACAATCGCCCGGCCGCAGGCTCAATTCCATCTACAACCAACATTTTCCCCTCCTTGGTCTGCAACCACATTCGAGTTGAGTCGATTGATCTCGCTCAATATAAATTCCACAAAAGAGGCTCGTAAGTCTCCCTGTTCCTCGACAAGATGTAGACGAGAATCTTTGCATGTTGCTGCGGAGGAGGTCTGCAGCGCAAAATGCTGATTCGTGGATTTTACAGTGAACCGACCACAGTCCTGAGACTGGGAACCCGGCATCATGCCTTTCACAAAGCTGTATGTGTACCTCTCGACTTTCGGAATTTGACAAACTCACCAAGCAACCTAGTGTCAAGAATTCCCCCTACTTCTCACGCTTCCAGACCAAGTACAAGCGCAGACGAGCCGGCAAGGTCAGACACCAACCTCGGCCCCTTGAACTCGCACATTGACTGACAATACAATCATAGACCGATTACTATGCACGAAAGCGGTTGATTTCTCAAGCCAAGAACAAATACAATGCTCCCAAATACCGCCTCGTCGTTCGCTTCACTAACCGCGACATCATTGCGCAACTTGTGACTGCTGAACTCACTGGTGACAAGGTCTTCGTTGCTGCGTACGCCCACGAGCTCAAGAGATATGGCATCAACAACGGTCTGACCAACTGGTCTGCTGCCTACGCCACCGGTCTCCTTCTGGCCCGCCGAGCTCTCAAGAAACTCGACCTGGATGAGGACTTTACTGGGGTTGAGGAGGCCGATGGAGAATTCAAACTCACCGAGGCCGCTGAAGGCGAAGATGGCGAAGGACGTCGACCTTTCAAGGCTTTCCTCGATGTTGGTCTTCACCGGACTTCCACTGGTGCTCGCGTCTTTGGTGCCTTGAAGGGTGCCTCTGACGGCGGCCTCTACATCCCCCACAACGAGAAGCGTTTCCCCGGATACGACCAAGAGAGCAAAGAACTTGATGCTGACACGCTTCGCAAGTACATCTTTGGCGGTCACGTGGCTGAGTACATGGAGACTCTAGCTGATGACGATGAGGAGCGCTACAAGTCCCAATTCAGCAAATACATTGACAACGATGTCGAAGCTGATGGTCTGGAAGAACTCTACAGCGAGGCTCATGCTGCTATCCGTGAGGATCCCTTCAAGAAGGATGAGGATGAGGGCGAGAAGAAGAGCAAGGATGAGTGGAAGGCTGAAGGCAAGAAGCACCGCCAACAAAAGCTTTCCAAGGAGGAGAAGGAACAGAGAATCAAGGAGAAGATTGCATCTCTTGCCTCTTGATTTTTTCCGCCGCTCTTACAAAGAAGCACGTGAATTAATTAGGCTGTGCGCCTTGTGGCTTTGGTGGCTTGAAAACTGGGCGATGACTTCTTGTCACGATGGTTAGTCATCAAAGCCAACTCCATCTCATTCTCTTTATTTGAGAGATGATTACACATATGTATGTGCAGTGCGGAAGACCTGCAAAATCCTCGAAAATTCCCAAGTGCGAATGAGTTTGATGACAAAACATAACACATTCTCGGCCGATTCTTCGTGCTCGGCGTCCATACATTTCTGAGTCCCACACAAGATAACCTGACAAGAAAGTTCCTTACCTTAGCATTTAAAGAGCATTATTTGAGGATCGCCCCGTAATCGCCCGTGGCACCAGCTGAGGACCTCGGGCTCTCATGGGCTGCGTGACATATGATAGTCACCCTCCATACCTGTACCTAGGTATACCGTACTCTGGCCGGCGGTCCTCTTTGCCATCCAAGTCAGCATCTGGATTAGACCGATCGGTTTCCAGTCTTGATCCTATCGAGGCAAAGAAAGTATCATCAACCTGTGTGTAAGGATGGAGGTCTGGAGGTCATCTGGCAAATCCAAGTCCTAACTAGGCCCTGTAATTAAGACCACGGTCCAGGTCAGGACAGGATGAGAGACTTGCAGTAATGCTCCGTCTTTGTGGTCCTGCGAGTAAGAAAGAGTAGCCGACTTATGTTGCCGTCAAGTAGTAGGATCCCCGTAGATCCCATGACTCCCACTCGGCAGTCCGCACACACGCTCTATCGCTTGTCCCGCAATTACTTCTAAGGAATACCAAGTCTCTGCGGCACCCCAACAAGCCTAGGAATCCAGAAATTGTCCTCCTCGACGAGTTGGAATTGCGGTTTCCCTACGTAAATGGCGTGGAGGAAGCGGGCCACAGCGAGTCCAATGACCGCATAACCAGCAGAAAGCACGGCAACAGTCGAGACTTCGCACTGAGATCCAGACCGAGCGCCGCGCCCAAAAACGCCAGCCAGCGGGCAGCCGATCGCCTTGAGAGGCCCCAAACTCCCAGGCAGTGATCAGCCTCAGGCTTAAGCTCGGCCGCCAATTCGAGAACCCCGCCCCGCCGCCCAAGTTCGAGATGCTCACTTCGAATGAAACTCTAGCATCTCGTCAGCTTTGAAATCGCACTCACACACTCCCCGTCGATGTAAAATGCCTGTTGGCAGAGCGGCTTAACCCACTCCTTACATCAACGGTCGACTGCCCTGGGCTTCAGAAATACTGTGACCCTCCCAGACCAAGCAGCTGGGCAACCATGGCGGCAACAAATGAAGGTAGTCTGGATGTGGACTGGCTGCTCCATTCTAAGAAAGGTATGTTCGCATGATGCTGAGTCCACCGCGCATGTAACGTCTGTGACAAATTACTTGCTCGCTCGCTTCACGTGTGGATGCACATGTTTCATTCTATTAAGAGCGCTAACATTTCGCTCAGAGCACCCCCAACATGTCGGGAAGAAGCCCAGCCGACAGCCAGCATCTCGAACTCACATTCCTCCGAAGATCGATCACATCGAGCCAACGCCACCACACACGCCAACAGAGAAGGCAGAGTCAATAGAGCCAACGCCACCAAATCCATCTAATCACGAAGAGGACTCTATTCCTCCGGACCAGAAGCCCAAAGAGAAGCCCAAAGAGAAGCCCAAAGAGAAGTCCAACAAAGAGAGGGGAGACGCTCTACAGTTTGCGGCGGAGAAGATCGTTGGGTCGACGCATCATTCACGCCCTCCCTTGGCGAGAGGACCAAGTAATGAAGATCCCAAAAAAAGTCTCAAACCTGGTGCTACAAATAAGAAGGATGGCAGAAGAAGCTCCTGGATAGCAAGCTTCAGTTCGAAGTTTTCGTCGTCGAATTCCCCACAAACATCTCGAAATTCCAGTGTTGATAGTGTTTCCGTTGCAAACGGATCTGGCAGCCCACCGCAACCCAGCCCTAAGATCGAGCTGACCAATCCTTTCAACAAGGCTCAACCAGTCAAGGATGGACAGAAGGAGACCAAGAAAGACGAGAACAAACCCGCCCCCGTCGTTCATACGCCGCGCAGACAATCTGTCCTTGTGGCTGCTGGAAAGGAAACAAAATTGGACCATCCTGGATTTCTCTCCAGCGCTCTTCGCAGGTTGTCATCCTCCACCAACGCCAACATGGGAAAGGGTACTAATAGTGGTGCCGTCTGCCCACGAAAGGTGATGAACATTGACCAAAATCGTGAACGGATCAAAATCGGCGAGTTCGACCAAAATAAGCTCAAAAGGGTAGCATTTTGTGTGGACGTAGAAATAGCCGGGTTTGCGTCTCAAGCAGACGAGGAGCCTGAGCAACTCACTCGCCCTCCTGTGTCAAGTGCCCAGAAGCAGACTCACGGAACCCCAGAGAATCAAGCAACCGAGAAGAAGGACTCCAAGGATGCCCGAATGAAAGATAAAGGAGAGGGTGCAGCACTGAAGAATCCCTCCGCTGCCAGTGAGGAGAAGGAGGAACTTGGTCAGACTAAGATTGACACCCAGATCGAGGCCGATGAGGCTAAGCCCTCAGATGCTGCTCCTGACAAGGAGGGTCATTTATCACCAGACTTTCCATCCCCACTGCCTGGGACGCGCAAAAAGGAGAAGAAGAAGCGCTCCGAGGCTGAACGAAAAGAGCGCAAAGAGCGAAAGCGGAAACACGCCGAGGCCAATGGTTTAGTTCCGCTGGAACTCACAAGAGAAGATTCGGACTCGGACTCAAGCCCGAGTAACACTCCTGAAGGCACCTCGACTCCTAGAAGATCTGGTGAGGGGCCCACAACCGACCCTCTTCGTATCTACAAACGATGTTGTCAGCTTCGAGAAACGACAGTTCTGAGTCGCATGAAGGAGCAGATCTCAAAACCATCCGCCACTTTAGCGGAAGCACCGGGCACGGTCGCCGTCATGGACCTTACTGGCATGCAATTCCAACTGCAGGACATTGTCACACTCGGTGACTGGCTTGCTGTTGTGCCGGTGCGGAAGCTGATTCTAGATGGATGCGGCCTTACAGACGAAGGTGTTCGAGTGGTCTTGTCCGGCCTTTGTGGCTGTAAATCAGCAGAACAGGCCCGCCAAAACAGAAAATTACCCAAACGGCTGAGCGGCAAGAAAGGCACTGAACAGATGGGTATGATAGAACGACTTTCGTTGAAGAACAATCCCAACATTACGAATCTGGGCTGGAAGCATATTGGCTTGTTCATGCATATGTCCAAGTCACTGAAAGCTATCGATCTCTCGGGCATTCCCTTTCCCAAAAACGGAGATCTCTCCCGCACCTCGTCGACCACCAGCTCGCTGAGTACCAACTCGACCGATCCTACTCCCAAATCTACCGATGTGGGTTCCCTGATTGTTCGTGCTCTTGCTCAGCGGTTAGGCGATAAGCTGGAAGAGCTTGTGCTGAGTGACTGTGGCCTTTCAACAGCGAATGTTCGTGACATTGTGGACTGTGCAATCAAAGTCAAGATCCGGCGACTTGGTCTTGCGGAAGATAATCTGAACGAAGAATCTCTTGAGCATGTGGCACGATACATCAAATCAGGTGCTTGTGAGGGCCTCGATCTCGGTGGCAATGATCTTCACGGCATCGGGAAGATCGTGGCAGATGCTCCTGATGCTGACAATCCGTTGTTTGCTATAAGTCTCTCGAATTGTAACTTGGATCCTCACGATCTAAGTACTATTCTCAGTCCGTTCTCCAAGCTGACGAACCTGAAGTTCATCGACTTGTCCCGCAATAAAGGCATGTTTGAGAACAAGCCGGACGCAGTCCCAATCCTTCGAAAGCTTCTCCCGAGATTACATCCTCTAAGGCGTATCCACCTGAACGATGTGGGAATGACACCCGATCAAGCTATCGCCCTGGCTGAAATTCTACCTGATTGTCCTGCAATGGCACATCTTGCCATTCTAGAGAACGAGCCTTTGATGCTTGCTATGAACTCCAAGAAAGGAACTGCGCAGGAAGAAGCTTGCGCAGTATTTGCCTCTCTAATGACTGCAGTCAGGGTGTCTGAAACTATCGTCGCTATTGAGATTGAAGTACCGAGTGCAGAAAGTAGCGAAGTGGTCAAGGCTTTAGCCTCGCAAGTTGTCGCTTACAGCTTACGAAACATGGAACACACGACACTTGACGAGGTTGGCGTGAAAGCTGCTGGCAATGCAAATGCAGATGCTCCCGAGGTTCTACTTCAACTGGTTGGCCATATGGATGGTTATCCGGTCAACCATAATCAGGATGAGCCCGCGGCACCTGATGAAGACTACATGATAGCCTCGACAGGAATTGTGAAGGCGCTTGGGATCTGTTTGGGAAGCAAGGATACTAATAGCCGTTCACACTCAAGAAATATTACTCCTACCGCGAGCGGCACTGCTACTCCACGGCAGGGTGCCGCTCGAAGGAAAGACATGTCGAAACCTCGAGATGTGAGCTTAGAACTTTGTGAAAGTGCCAGAAAGATCAGGATGAGGCTGAGACCTGTACTGGTCAGAGAGGATCAAGCTGGAAACGATGCGAATTACCGTCAGTTTCGAAATTCCGTCTTCATTCCCCGTACTGACGATTGTGCAGGTCGATTATTGATGCTTGATCAAACGCTGCAACGGATGATTCAGCGCTTTGAAGACGAGTATCCTGAGACCAAGGTGCCTGATCCCTTTCCACCAGTATCAAATGGAATCCCGTCACCCGACCCATCAATGGCCGATGCGTCCATGCTGTCGGCTTCAGTCGACTCAAACGGGCTAGCTACAATCAACTCGGCTGAAGAGTATTTCCCGAGCGAGGATGGGTCGACGGCAGGTCAGCTGCCCGCGAAACTGTCGCGAACACCTTCAAACACATCTCTAGCATCGAAACTCTTCACCGACGAGGAGGGTCGGATGCACCGATTTGGACAGAACCTTCGACGAGAGATCCTCAAGCCGACCGGGGTGGACGACCACCTTCACGGAACAAGTACAAGCGACAGACCTGAGTCCGAATCACTAGCAGCTCTTCGAGCTCGATTAGAAGAACTCGGAGGGGATGAAATCCGAGAAAAGGTCGAACACGATGGCGTGGACAATGTCGTCCGAGAGCTTGGCATCAACGCCCAAGAACTCTTGATGATGAAACATCAAGACCCGGAGGGCTTCGAGGCGTTTCGAAGTTCGCAGCTGGCTGCGCAGATCAATGCTGGCTACATTGATCGGGATGAGAAGGCTGTGCATGAAGGATTAAGGAATGACGCAAACTAGGCCATGCCATGCTTCAGGAGGAGGGGAGGTGCACTCATTTGATGATTTTCCAATACAATCGAGCCAGCTAGCCAGGCTGAGCTCCTGCTCCTGCACTTACTGACGACTTTGGTGTTTGCGTTCTGAGCGATAGTGATCTATGAAGGACTGATACCATTGCTATGTATGCACCAGATTTATGATGAGACGAGATGAACAATAATATCTACGCTGGTTCACGAAGCGGTGATCACTGCCTGAATGTCAACCTGGCTGCCGTAAATTTAGGCTCGGGGGGGGGGGGAGGAGCAGCCTGGTCACGGATCTAATCACGTGCTGGGACTTCTCCACGCCGCGCTCCTGGTTGACTTGATCCTCCGCAGTTGACCGAGTTCAGGTTCGGTTTCACTGACTTGAGCGCGTCACAACAGCGATCGTCAACAATCGTCCAACCGTGCCTTCCTAGCCAAAGTTTTCGTAGATGGCACAAGCGATCAGCCACTCGGAGAAAGAATGACTTTCATGCTCCGCAAAGCGCCTTCGATCTTGTCGACGCCCACGACCTGAGGGATCCCGGTGAGCCGCAAGTTGCAAGTGGACTTCTCGAACTTCAGGAGCAAACCACGATGGCTGGCAACAATGCATTCCCACAGCTTGATACTCAAATGGGTGCTGCCAATAGAGCAGGTGCGCCTCCAACGGCGACTGCGATGGGCGGCGCACTGAACGGCAATGGAGCGGGAGCAGCTGCTAATTACATGGCACCGCTTCCCGTGGGACATCAACAAGACTTGAACTTTCTCTACGCACAAATCCAAGAACTCGGGTCGATCCTGAGAAGCAATCGTGATAAAGTCAACGTGATCACACGTACTGCCGAGGAGGTGGCTGTAAGCACATGCACCACTCTGCTCGACGTATTGATGCTAATATTATTTGAAGAAACGCACCAATGGCTCAATTCCAGACAGTGATGGCAGTCACGAGGGCGATAGTGAGTCCCTGGTCGTTTGCATGTAATTTTTTTTACGCGCTAATCATCTTGATTTAGAAGCACGAGTCCGGGAACTGGAGCGGGAACTGGCCAAGTCCAACCACATCATCTCCCTGTACAAGCACGAGCAGACGGAGAACACGAATCTGATAGCGATGTATGAAGATGCCCTGGGCACAGCTACGGAACAGATTCGGAACTATTGCACCGACGTCGAGTCACGATTCCTCGCCCAACGCAAACACTACAACAACCTACTGCAGCAGGAGAAGGATGAGCATCTCCAAAGCCGGCTGGACCGCGACCACTGGCAAGCGCAGACACTGAAGGTCTCCGAGATGATTCGGACGGCGAGTCGTTTACGTACGGATGAGTGGTCTGAGGAATACGCTGTTATTTCGGGCCTTCAGAGCGAGGTCAGATGCCTGCGCCGTTGCTTGGGGATGGAGCCTGAGAAAGCCGAAAACGAAACTGGCTGGAGCTATCTTAAAGAGCTCCCTCTGACTGATCAGGCGTAGCCTGTTATGTCCCCGAGTATCGCGGGTATAGTTGCAGCGACGAGAGGATGACACCTTAAAGCTCGGGGACGTTCGTGGAATGTCAGTGGGGTTGGGGTGCTCATGTCGGCTGGTGGTGGCAATTGTTGGGCTGAGTGAGGTGATTGACAACGAGGAAATCGCCAGCCACCATGAGAAGAAACAGCCCAGCAATGGCAACACAGATGCATGCACTTTAACACGACATATGCCTCGATATCGACGGGCTCCTTGAGCTGAGCCGGGCTGGGTCCGTCGACGTCTGCGGACAAACCTGGATGGTAGAGGCGCGATTTGTGCCATCGTTTCAGGTGGACAGGAAAAAAGGTCCTCCTCGATTCATGGGCGCCTTGACATTGTCTGACGCAGGAGAAGCCCGGAGCAAGGACGACTATGGTGTGAGCTTCTGGGGGATGTTCCATGCTGCATTGTAGTGGGGACACATTTCTGGCCTACGTTCCGTTTACAGCGCCCGATTAGGACTTCTGGGCCCTTCTGAGAGTGTCAGTATAGGACGACCAATCCGGATATGGGTGGTGTGGCCGGACGAGAACATCGGCCTGTCTGAGGGAGAAACCCAGAGCCAGGTGGAAAAGGGTATAGTGGGTCAGGAGCAAGGCGCGAAAACTGGGGAATCGGTACGTGAAGATGTCAATCAAATCCACGGCGATGGCTTCCCTAGCCCGAGAAGAGTTTTTTCGGATATGGACATGGAGTACGGAGTGCTGGTCCACCAGCCCAGGTGGTCTGGGTGTCGGATTGACACGTAGTCAGGGCTATCTAGTGCTGGGAAACGTGCAGTAACTTTTGCTGTGGACTGTTTTTCACGTGAAGTCGTGCCCAACCACCCTACGGGTGCCAGATGGCCCAGAGGGAGTTGGACGTGGAGAGGGCATTCTTCATCTTCATTCTCGATCTTGTTCTGTTTGCATACCATCTCAGGGTCTTTGTTGTTACATCGCACGACCATCTATGGTCGAACACAGTACTGTAGACAATGCAGAACACACCACTTGCTTGTTGTGCAAAGCCATTCCATCATGAGAGCTGACGGGGCCACGGCAAAACACGGCCTCCAGTCTGTGCTCTTCTCGCACCGTCCTCCATTGTGCCCGCCACTGGTGTGGTGGGCTGATTGTTTCTCCCTCGACCTCATCCTCTTCGGATCTCTTGAGCGCTGAACGACATGTCTTTGACGTGTTTGACAGCCCTTCTTCCAACGCGTCGCTCCAACACTGCCCTACGAGGCGTCGAGGACATTCAAGATTAGGCTACGGGAACCTCCTGCGTGCCTGGATCTTCAGCTTCGCGGCCTTCTACATATCCCGGATCGCAACTGGTGGGAACGGCAGACCGCAGACCGCAGACCGCAGACCTCCCTGGGCTTGTGCGGCGGCTCTAGACAAGGTCCTTCTTATCCTCGTGCTAAGGCGGGCGGCAGATGGCCTTGTATGCAGGAGTGGCAGTTGGCACAGAGGCAGAGATGCAGAGATGCAGAGATGCAGAGATGCAGAGATGCAGAGAGGCGCCCAGCCCCGGCTGGACCCTTTGCATCATCACTTGCGCATACGGAGCAGCTGTCAACATACATCCGCGTCCTCGCCACCCACGAGTTGACAGCTTCGAGCTCGAGCTCGAGCTCCCTGTTGTTTTGTTTGCCGGTTTGCTGGGCAATTGCCACTCTTTATACTTTGCACGCCCCCTTCTTGACCACGACCACGACCACCCTCCACGGGGTTCCCACAACAATCCTGCCAATCCACCGATTCCATCCTTTCCCTAGAATGCTTCCCATGCTTGCCGGCTTGGCGAGCCTTCCACCGAGTCCTGCAGAATCTTCTTGCACGCGACGACCTCTCGCTTTGCTGGCTTGGTCCGTACGCTCTGCGAGGTGCGAGGTCTTCTGGAGCACCCCCCGTGTATCCACTTCTTCCGGCCTCGCCTCGCCTCGCCTCGCCTCGCCAACTACCGTTCGCTTCCGTCCGGCATGCCCATTCAAAGCACGCAGCCACTTGGTAGCTGCTGTACTCGTACAGGGCGTGACTAACTACTACATAGGTATTCACGGTCGATACCTATTCGGGGTTTGATCAAGCCTGCATGCAGGGCCCTTGCCCTTCTCAGCCAGGTGGTGCTATAGACAGCGCTACCTACATACACACTTTTGTCAAATGCTTTACGTTGGCAGGCCCATCAGCATCCAGAGCCGGAGCAAACCCCTTCTTTCCTGCTAGGTGCCCGCGTCAATCCCAGTCAATCACTGACGTGCTTCATAATTCCCAACTTGGACGTCAATTTCTCAATCCGTCAACACCGGGGCGCCCTTAACGCCATCCATGCCATGCACTGTCCAGATGCAGTCAAATTACTCTTTGATGGCTGTATGTGCGGGCACTCGGACAATCATGTTTGAGTCTGTGCAGGTGCACGCCCGGGGACACACCCTGCTCCCATGCCACTGCATTCGCTCCCATCCTCGCTCCGTTCATAAACACGAGCTCATCCTGGTAGGTCCTACACTGATCCTGCGTCTGAACATTGGATCCTTTGTTCCTTTTTTCGGTCCTTTGCAATCTCTAGCCCACTATAGCATCATAAATCGATCGGCATCTTGGAGTTTCTGCCTGCTCAAGACATTTGTTTGGCATCTCGATCTTCAGCAGTGTACGAGCCGCACATATGCCAACCAACCGCTCAAGTATAACGTCACCCTGAAAAGCGAAAAGATCGACAAGCACTGATTCTGCAACTCGGGACCGTTCCACATCAGCTCTCCCAGAATTGAACCCTGCACCCCTCCTTGCAGGAGTACTTCCTTTCCTGCCTTTATCCGGTTTCCAAAGTATCTGTGATCGCTTGATGAAATTGGCAACAGGGCATCGCCATGCGTATTGCCCACTGCTAGAACCTATATCAAGTATCTTCAGACATCAGGCCAGTCCTACGTTACTTCTTCTCTCCTTTTACCTATTAGCAAGATGTCCTCATCAGCATATGCTCGGAATGAGCAATCTCTATTGGTTGAGGAGCAGTCGGGCTGGTGGCCATCAGAACGAACTGCCAAAGCTCGATTGAGAGCTTTCTTTTCTCGCACCAAGTCAGATAATAAGATACCAAAGTATCATACTACACCTGATCACGATCAAGCAGATACCCAGCCTATGCTGGCTTCCATTGCTTGTTCATCTGGCAAGAACGGCTCTACGACGAGGGATCGTAGCACGACATGGTCAGCCCGACACCTTCGCCCTTCTCAACGCGGCCTCAAGCAGACTCGACCACGGACTCTGGCTTTGGATCCTCCACCATTGATTCAGGCTTACACTCAGGCGAAGCTGCATGACATCCTAGACGTGCCGTCCAGCCTGACTGATGTCTTGGTACGGAATACGCGCGGTCGAAGAAACAGCATCTCTGGAGAGTCCCCTACAAGATGCAACCTCGAGACCAGCTTCTCATCGACACTTGACATTCAGGATTCTGGTAAGCACAGACGGAATTGGTCCGGTGCCAGTTCTTTCACCAAGAAGGTTTTCGTGCTGTCCAGTTCAGGATACGTCCTCCAGTACAGCGCAGAAGGTCTCAATGACCGTATTCCAGAACAGATTCTGGAATTAGGTTCGCGCTCGGTAGCCTTTGCCAGCGATGCCGTTCCAGGTAAACATTGGGTTCTACGAATCTCCCAGGATCACACAGGTGGGCGGACAACCTCGCATGCTCCAAAGAGTTCTTGGTCGAAGCTGTCGTTCCGTCACAATGAGAACAAACGGCTGGTTCAAGACCTGCTCTTGGTCTTCGACAGCGCCCTTACCCTCGGAATATGGCTTACTGCCATCCGCAGAGAGATTGAGCTCATGGGAGGCCTCGAATATCGACCTGATTCAAGGGATGATGAAGCCAAGCATCAAAGCCGTCCTGTATTAAAGGCGCAGAAAAGCCTCCCCAACATCCCACGGGCCTCTTTATTCTTCCCAGCGGAAAGCTTGCCAAAGTATAGCCAGCCCTCATCTCCAAAGCCCCTTCCACCCATGCCACAGTGGGCTCCTACCATCAGGAATGTCTCCACCTCTACCACAGATTCTTCCATCCACACTCTGAACGAACTTGATGACCTCAGAGATTCTTCCTTCTCAGATGACCAGTCGACTTATACGGCCACAACTAGTGTCGCAGGATCAGTGGCTTCCAGATCTCCTGCCTTCGAATCTTTCTTCGCGAACGATATGAGCTACCGTGAGCCGCTGACTCCAGCGAGCACGGCATCCCGCTTGTCGACTCCCACTCAAGCTGATATTGGCGAACTCTCCATGTATATGGAAACCCCTCGTAAGAGTGGAAATGCCGAATCATTGGTCCCAGAACGGCTACGTAGGCATGGGCGACCAGATGCTGCTCAATGCCCAAACACGCCAGCAGGCGGTAAGGGTGTTGTTGACCATGCCCTGTTTGTTCAGCCAAGCCCATATTCAACGATGCAGACGAGGCCAATCTCTACCATCGCACCTTTACCAGCACCCGGCCACCTCAGAAAGAGTTCACGACGGCAGAAACATGAGTCTCAACCGGTATATGCCCAACCGAATACACCAGCCTCTTCGAGACCATCGAGCATTCGGAGCAGAAGCTCTTCCAATGTGACTCTCGGTTCACCCACAGATGCTCATTTCAACAAGACCGCATCATACAGCTTGTTTCCACCGCGAAGGGATTCCTCTGTAGGATTTGGGTCAGTTGCGGCAGCTGCAAATGTCTCATTGCCCCTCAACATCAGACCTGCAACTGGAGTCGAGGAGAGCAATAGCCCCGCTAGTACAAGAGGCTCCTCGGTTGATTTCGGCGATGATGGTAGATCATCGACCTCGGAGGACACAGCGTTGCATCTGAGGGAAAGGTCCATGTCGACTGCACGATCGAAAGGTCTTCTGCTAAACACGAATTCAGCTGACGTTGCGAGCGGAGCTCAGAGGGTGTCACAGAGATCGCCCATTGTTACGGAGCGACACCTCCAAACATGCTTTGGCACTGCTCCGAATCAGAACGGACCAAAACGGGCGCGAGCACCTTCGCAGGCGGCTGCCGAGTCTTGTATTGAAACGACTCTTTTGGAAATGCCCGCACTGATCTCCAAGACCCCCAGCAAGGTGAGGTTGAGCAATCCACCGCGCCGACAGAAGCATCTGAAAGGCCAAAAGAGCATGCCGACCCTAGCATGTGGCACAATGCCGCCATCGGGACCGCCTCCTACTGGGCCTTTGCCTGATCTGCCTTGTGAAGCCTTCTCACCCGGCAAGAAGAGGTCCCCCAAGGCGAACAGCACCGGCTCTACCTCCACATCTGCATATTCCTCCACCGTCAGCCTACAATCCAGACATGCGCACGCCGAATCATCCCCTTCTTCACTGTCGACCACCAAAATCGCCTCCCGCAGCCTAGCGTCGCCCACGGCGGCTCCTCTGGACAATAATACACACGCCAAGACCTCATCGGTCTCCTCGGTCGACTCCGTGCGTGATGTAACCGCATGGCTCTCGTCTCCCAGGATCGCGGCATTTACCGCCAAATACGGCACGAACACGGCGCCTAAGCTGGACGTCGCGCTCCCTGATACCTCGAGCTTCAGCTCCAGCTTTTCGGAGCTGATGCCATGAAGAGGATGCGACAGATGTCGAATTTACACAAGACGACCGTCACGCTGCGTCGTTGTGCACGATTCCTTCTGTCTTTACGCTTTATTGAATCGAAATGTATGTATGTTTCTCATGAAGATATGCTTTCAACGATAGATACCACCAGACGTCAATGTCATGAGATTATGGAAAATGGAAATGAAATGAGAGATTCAAAAGGGAATTCAACTAGGTTACGCATTACATATGATAAAGGACATAGTATCTATAACGTGTGTACTATACATGGTACAAATGAGTGCATTAATTGGGAAGATACTATGCGATGCATCCTGATGAAAATCACGAAGATCCTAGGCGGCGAGCTCTGGATACATAGTATGTACAGTACGCTGTAGACATTACCCCGGACGGTGGTACGAATGCTGCTGCCGCCGCGGTCCATGCCATCACTGACGATGAGGTCATGACTGTGACCGTGGTCGTGTGGCCTCTGCAGAACGAGATTGCGACTTGGCCAATCTAATCTACATAACCATACTAGACACGAACTGAAGTGTTATTGTGTACGTGCGTGCAATCTCACAGACAGGTCCAGAACAAAAACACCAGGCACTTGGATCTGGGAAATTGGGGGGCCTCTGGACGCATGGCAAGTTTGGAGCTCACGCGCCGTGCCCGCCCGGCGTCCACTTCGGAGTCAGGCATCAATCAACTCGACACTGTCATCGATATCGAGCGACGTTAGGTCGGTTCAAGTGGAGTACATAGCGTCGAGCCATTACCACAATCGAGTCCCGTATGTAGTCTCTCGTCCTTCGTCTCTAGTCCTTCAGCTTGCCCTTTCAGACAAGACATATTTCCCCCCTGGGCCGGATAACTTGTTGACACGCCTCAAAAGACTCGAAAAAGGGCAAAGGTCGGTTTTCAAAGGCCAAGGAGCCAGAAACAGAACACGGCTGGTCATTTTCCCTTCTTTCGCTTCCTACCCTGAAGACCCTGAAGGCGAGAGTGGCGAATGGGATTTCCCTTCGAAGACGCAATGGGGACAGGGAATGGGATGGGGATTGTTTCGGGGCCCATAAAAGACAGTGGTTACTAGTTAACTTAGTAGCAGCAAGTCCGGGAAGGGCATTCATTGTACGAGCCGTACTGCAGGAATACTTAACTTAGTACATCCACTTTCTGCCAGTGCCAGTATACACGTATGCACGTGCGAAAACGTCAGCGTGGGCCGCTAATGTGGCGGGGAGGTGGTGAAATGGGTACAATGTCCTGCCAGATGCTATGTACTAGTATGGGTACGATGTGTGTACATACTGAGTTGGTAGTAGTCCATACTACGGGTCCTGTACCGCCTCTTTGCCTGCTGCAGAGGGACTACTTACTGTCGCTGACGGACGAGGGGACGGGGGGACGGGCACGGGAGAGGGATCCCTTGGACGTGCCGCGCCGCCGACCCAACTCCAGCTGCACGCGGCGTGTATTGGCCCATACTACGATATGGTGCGGCTCAAAGCCTTGGACTCGGATTCCTCTCGGGAAGTGCGGCCCTAACGGCCCCGAAAAGAAGAGGCGCTGGGGATGCCGTGGGTGGCAGTACATCGTCTAGTACGTAGGACTTTGTAGATCTGCTCGAGATGCAGACTGGCGCAACCTGGGCCGGCGGAGGTGAGGAATGGGAGTAGAGACGAAAGCTCCCAGTGGAGGAGGACACCGTCCAGCGCACATACTAGCAAGGGAAGCATTGACAGCAGACAAGCAGAACGCGACTGACTGGCTGGCTGGCTGGCTGGCTGACAGTAGTAGGTGTATGTGCAGGTGTCGGAGGTATACACGAACAGTGCAACAGTTTTGGGCCAAGGCGCCCCTTTCTCAGCTTGGAAACAAGAGTTTCCATGGCCCTGGGTTCTGGATCAAGGGCAAAGCTAAGGTTGCATAGTATTGGGCCAACATGACGTTTTCCCAGAGACCTGGCCCTGATATCCGAATTCCGAACAAGAAGACGGAGTGGCGCCCAGTGATAATAAGCATCGTCGGAGGTTGGGGTTGACTCCGGCTACTACAGTATGTACTCGTAGTCCTTGGTATCCTGTATAGTATTTTATTTCGTTCCTCGTACTACTAGTATATCTCATTGTGGTTCCCAGATCTTCAGACGTCAGTTCACCACTACGTCTCCACCCCTCGCCATGGGAAGAATCCTGATCACCGGCTCATCTGACGGGCTCGGCCTACTCTCTGCCCGAGCTCTTATTAAGCAAGGCCATTCTGTGGTCCTGCACGCACGGAATGAGCAACGTGCTCGAGCCGCGCGAGCTGCATGCGTTGACGCAGAGGCATGCCTCATAGCTGACCTCACCGACATCTCTCAGACCAGGAAACTGGCTGACCAGGCCAACGCCCTGGGAAGCTTCGATGCCGTCATCCACAATGCTGGAATGTACACCGGCCCGTATCGAAAGACAAACGAAGGCTGGCCCAGCATCGTCGCCGTCAATACCATCAGTCCTTACGTACTCACCGGCCTCCTGAAGCCTCGGCCCAAGCGATTCGTCTTTGTTTCGTCGGGTCTACACAATGGTGGAGATTCAACTTGCGAAGATATCACCTGGGCCAAGCGCGGCGAAGCGGGCTTCAAAGACCATCAAGCCTACGCAGACACGAAGCTGCACAATGTCCTACTAGCAGCCGCTCTGGCACGCAAATGGCCCAGCGTCCAGACCAACTCGTTGGACCCGGGCTGGGTGCCCACCAAGATGGGCGGGCATTCTGCCAACGGAGATATCGATGCGGCAATCGACACATATGTCATGCTGGCTACTGGTGGAGGCGCGGCGAAAGGTGTCACTGGGAAATATTGGTTCAAGTGCAAGCCGAATTCGCCCATGAAGCCAGCCGAGGACGAGGCGGTGCAGCAGAAGTTACTCGATGAGCTGGAGGCTGTCACTGGGCTCAAGTTGCCTAGTGAATGAGGCAGACGAGACAGAGACATGATCGGGCAGTAATGTGCCTCCAGCGTCTTTGATGGCGATTATGAATTCCTTAGGATGTGGCTGGTGCTCAGTAGTGCTTACTAGACGAGCGATGACAAAGCAACTATCAAGACACACTGTCACTGTGCTTCATTAGGTAGAACCATGGGTGGTTCGAAGGCTGATCTCTATCCCAGGAATATTGAGGAGCCACATGTGCCCTGTACCTTGGCCCTAGGTGGAAACAAAGGAGCAGGGCCAGGGCCAGGGCCAGCGACCATCAAGGCCTGCCAGCCTACGGAGTACGGAGTACCATGTCGTGAAATATTGAAATCCAGATGCAAACCCTTTCTGCTCCTTCAGGAGCGGTCAGCACTGTAATTTCACACGCGCACCTTGCGTGTCTTCTCCCCATTATTGTTCCTTGCCTTGGCGGTACAGGGCGCCTGAAACGGTCCCTGAATACGCTGTGGAATTTTACATGTACCTATCTTGGGCACTTACGAGGACAAGTCACAACTTGCTCCTGTGACGCCTCACAACGGTCAAAATGTTATGGCTGAGCACCGTGGTTGCTTTATGCGTCGCATACATAGCGTGGTCGATCGTTCGGTTCCAAGCCAACTATGCTGAAGCAAAAAAGATAGGCCTTCCCATCCTCTCTTCTCCGGTCAATCCCGCCGGCGCCCTATGGATGTCAACCAAAGGCTTTCTGATCCCCATACTCTCCAAACTCCCCTTTGGTCTAGGAGAATGGACCCTTCGCGCGGACGTCGGTTGGACTTATTATCCGAAATTTCAGGTCCATGCCAAATATGGCGAAGCATTTATCATTGTCTCGCCGGGAGGCAACGAGATCATACTTGCTGAACCCAGTGCAGCGGACGATGTCACGCGGAGGCGTACCGATTTCATCAAGGATCCTCTGATGTACGGAATGCTGGACATTTATGGGCCGAACCTCGACACCGTCAATGGCAAAGTCTGGGACCGCCATCGTAAGACAACCGTCCCTCCGTTCAGTGAACAAAACAGCGCCTTGGTTTGGCGAGAGGCGGGAGAGCAGGCTGAACAGCTACTCAATCATTGGTGCAGCAAAGATCAAGTTAGAAGCACGCAGCTTGATGTTTACGCCGTCGCTCTGAACGTCCTGTGTGAAGCGGGTTTCGGTGTACACTCCAAGTTTGTGGACGAAAAACACGCATCTGACGGCGCAGAGGCCGCCCGACATCTGGGATACCGCGAGTGCTTGCGCTTACTACTCGCCAATGTTGTTCAGCTTGTTATCCTCAGCGCCATCCAGAGGTCGGGTTTGCCCAAGTGCTTGTTTTGGGGCAAGATGCGTGAAATCGGCAAGGCGCGTGATGAGTTCAAAGGCTACATGGGCAAGCTCCTGGCCAAAGAACAGGAAGCATTTGACCAGGGAGATTTGGACCGGCACAATCTGATGAGTGCGCTGGTCAGGGCTCAGGCAGAATCTCAGCAGGTGGCGTCAATCAACAACAAGTCTTCGAGTCTTGCCTCGGCAGGGTTGACCGAGGACGAAGTCTATGGCAATCTGTTCATCTACAGCCTAGCTGGTCATGACACGACTGCGGGAGCGCTACACTTTGCTATAGTTCTATTGGCAGTAAACCCAGAGTGGCAGGACTGGATTGGCGAGGAGATCGATGCAGTTCGCAAGGCTGACCCATCCGGGCTATGCTTTTACGAAGAGGTCTTTCCAAAACTCCAAAGATGTTTGGCATTAATAGTGAGCGCCACCTACGAGGTCCTTGAAAGGACCCCAGCTAACTAGCTGACAGTATGAGACCGTCCGACTCCACGGTCCTGTGGTGATGATGCCCCGGATCGTAGGCGAAGGCCCACAAAGAATCAGCCTGAGTGATCGAGAGCGCGTCCTTCCACCACACACTTCGGTGACCCTCAATTTTGCAGCCTTGCACACCAATCCAAAATACTGGAGCCCTGATCCCCTCCAATTCCGCCCCAGCAGGTGGATTATACCAGATGAGAGCGAGGGGAAAGGCACACGATTCTTCGAGCCGGCCACTGGCTCCTACATGCCCTGGAACTCTGGGCCGAGAGTTTGTCCCGGCCGAAAATTCTCGCAGGTCGAATTTGTACGAGTGGTCTACGGACTCTTCGCTGGTGGCACCCGAGTCCATTTGGTTCAGGAACCCCGCGAGAGCTTGGAGGGCGCCAGAGAGCGCGCTATGAAAATGGTCAATGATGCGAAGGTCGAGGTCACGCTGAAGATGGCGGATGTGATTGGGCTTAGGTGGGAAAGAGGTCAATGAGCGCCTGTCCATTGACTATCTGATGTGAATCTGATACTTTCATATAAAGGCAAAGGGAGCCCACCTAGAGGAAGGTTATTCTAGAGCGCAGTGCGACGCATCAGAAATGGAGTCCTCGGTATACTCCGTCCTCTCATGAGACACGGACACCTTGTGCGGGAGCGGACGAAAGCGGACTTTCGCCCGCTCGGACTCCGCGTCTTATGGAGTTACATAGTCAATCTGTCACACCATCGCCATCGCCATCGCCAACTCTTCTGCCTCTACGACATGTCCACTACCGAGTACGTACTCTGAACACACATACATCACAGAGCTTCCCTCTCTTTGGTTTTGTCGCCACCTTTATTATGCCATCTCGTGAGAAGGCTCCACAGGCCTGCCGACCCTGCAGGTATTATCCCCGCCCTGGTCAGCATTTTGATAGATTAACATGGCCACTTACATGGTGCACATACAGGCGCCTTAAAAGAAGATGCACTCGTGAACTGCCAGCATGCTCTTTGGTAGGTTGGCTCCCAGCCTTCCGTCTTTCAGGCCGGATGTTAACTCATCTGAACACCCTAGTGTGTCCGGCTAGGCAAAGCATGTGGATATCCCCTGAAGGCTCAAGGCGACCAGTCCAACGACCCGAACTTCCTTCTTCAAAAGATCCAACAGCTAGAGTATGAACGGGACCATCGACTCTCACCTCAAACAGATCGTTCGACCGGTCTTGCAAGTCCTCTCACCGGTGTACCCTTGACAGAAGGGATCTTCCCCAGCCCACCAACAGTCGAACGGGTTCAGATATTCGCGGAGCTGTTTCTCGATGCCGAGACCTTCAAGTCTCCATCTCCCAGTGTCCTGGACCCTGGAATGCCCATTCCCAAGCCGATCCTGGAGATGCTCGAGGAACCCCACGAAAGGGAGTACATTCGCGATCGGTACTTCAACACCGTCCACCAGTGGCTCCCTATGATCAGCCGGAAACGGCTGGCACAACGCGTGCCGAACCTCTACCAGAAGCCGGACATTACTCTAGCGCTGCTACTGAGCTGCATGAAGCTGGTCACCTACCCGCTCGTGTATGACCTGCGCCACACGCCACTGTACTACACGGCGAAGCAGTTCTTCCATGTCGTCCAGGACTCATGCTTGATGTCGATTCACCTGCTGCAAGCCGCGGTTCTCATTGCGCTCTACGAGATCGCCCATGGCGCCTACCCTATCGGATACCTCAGTGTGTGCCATGCGGTGAGGCTGGGCATGATGATGGGCCTGCATGATAGGAAGCATGCCGCGCAGCTGTACGGTCCTTCTGATACGTGGACGCTACGTGAGGAAGAACGTCGCACGTGGTGGGCTGTCGTGGTCCTTGACCGGTAAGTAAAAACATGGCCATCCGTGCCTAAACATTCATGCTTTCTGCGTGGTAAAGGATTGACCAAATGATATTCCTGTTTTAGCTACGTCCATTCAGGCACAACTGGCCTCCCCCTAGCCGCGCCTGAACCCCCTCAAATCGACCTCCTCCCATGCGACGATTCTAGCTGGGACGCAGGCGACATTGGCGCCAACGAGCCCGTCTTCGCGCTGAACACGACAGCCAACTCCAAATACAGCAAATTCGCCAGCACCTGTCGCGCCTCACACATCCTCGGGCGCGTGCTCCGCCACCGCGACGAATGTGACCGGGGCCGAGGACTGGATTTATCCTTCCAGCTGTCCGAAGCGGTGCAGCTCCATCGGGCACTGCTTGCGCTCGAAGCTTCGTTCGACCAAGCAGTGAATCGAGATTTGTCGATCGTGCCGCGCGCGCTGCTCTACACAGCGCGTATGGTGCTATATACGCTCTACGCGTGCAACGATGCTTACAATTCCCGATACCTCGATGTTGGTATTAGGCTGGGAGAGGAGACGGACATGCAGCGTATCTCTCAAGATGGATTAAGAGAGGTCACGGGCTCGGTGCACAGATTAGCGCTCGAGCTGCAGCGCGCGATCGCGAGGGATATTGATGCCGTCAGCCCCATGGTCGCGCATTGCATTTTCATAGCGCTTGGTGAGGCTGCGTGGCATGTTCGCGAAGGAGCAGGCGCAGGTGGCGACGAGAGCATGTCGATGGCATTGGACACGATGCTGGATGTATTGGAGACTTTGAATAAGCGGTGGAAGATTTGCGGTCAGTCTTCGTCTTTCTACATCAAAGCGAGAGATTCCCAGGTGCTAATGTTCCCATTTCCACCTATAGCCAGGTATCTTAAGATCCTTGAGAAAGAGGAAGGCATAGTTCCAAAGAACATGCCCAGCCAACGAGGCTCACTTGGTCCGAACTGCGACAGGGAGGACATCACCCGGCTAGGATCTTAGTCCAGTCTTGCTTCGTGATCCATTCCTCGACAGTAGCCAGCTGTGGTGGAGTATCCAACTGGGTGAAACCATGTCGTTAGCACAACAAGAACGAGTTTTCGACGCATGCGGAAAAGGGAAACCTTCAACTTACGTCTTTGGGATGGATTAGCGAAGGGTCGTCCCTCGCTTCGTACCCGAATTCCTCACACCACGCAGCCATTTGCGCCATCTCGTCGTCGAGCTCTTGAGAGATGCCCTCGAGTGCGAGGTCATAAGGCAACTTGACCGCCTTGGCCTTTATGTTCAGGATTCGACTCCAAATCACCACAAACTCGTCGATCGTTAGCCACGCCCGATATGCGATCACATTCTTGCCCGGAGGTGATTCCAGGAGTGCTTTCGTGAAGGGTCCGCTGTCTTCGTCGTGCGCAATGTGCGGAAGCTTCACGTGCTGGTCGAGTTTGGTCGCGATCACATACGTCCCATCCGCATCCTAGCGTTCGATAACAGTCAGCACACTCGCGAATTTTCTCCAAGTCAGGCCGTGTCAGGAATTTGGGAGTGGCGGTGGGAACATGGGAGCAGAGGGCCGAACCTTTCTCGGGATCAAGAGCGGCGAGGTCAAGAAGTTCGACAGGAAGAAGCCCAACTGCAACACGCTGGTCTTCTTCCAGAGATCGGGATACGTCGCCTTGGCGTACTCGGTTGCATGCGCCTTGCTGTCGAAATGGTACACATGCTTGTACTTGCCGTTGGACCATTTGGTGGCATCGGCCAGGCTGGAGAAAACCAGCCTCTCGAGCCCCTCGGTCTGGCTGGCCGCGTCAAAAACGTTCTTCCCGTGCTGCAGCTCGTCCTCGTACGTCCTCTCGTTCTGCGCCTGGCCCGGCCTTGCCGTTTTTTGCAGCTCTGGGTCCGCGTACAACGCCCAGAAGTCGGTCACGCTGAAGATGGCGGTCGCGCCCTTGAACGCCGCGACGAGGCTGGCGGTGTCGCTGAGATTGGCCGCGACCACTTCCACGCCCTTCTCTTTCAACTTCTGCGACGCGGCGCTCGATGGGTTCCTGCTGATACCTCGCACCCTCCAGCCCGGCTCGTCCAGGAACGTCGACACGACCGAACCGCCTTGGTTGCCTGTGGCTCCTAATACGACGATGAGCTTGGATGACATGCTGTATGCAACGAAGTGGTACGGGTAATTGTGATTGCTATAATAGTTTTGTTGCGTCTTGTTAGTTTTGTGCGGACTTTTTGCTGCTCCCTTCAGGAAATTTATATGTCCTACATTCCCAGTGGAGCCTCCAACCAGATATCTCGTATGGTTTTGTGTCCAGCAAGCCCGTAGTGGGCAGTGCCAATCATCATCATCGTCATGATACTGTGGACCCCGTGGTTGCCCATAGATGCACGTGAATATCATAATTTACGTGCCAGCGTTCCCCGTCAATTGCTCGGAGTCGGCGCAACTCCGGCTCCCGCCTGGGAGACAAACCATCCGTGTTGGTTTGTGTTGTGTCTGCGCTACTGTGATATGCCAACAACATGTCGTCTGCTCAGAAGCCTCGTAGCCTTAATTAGACGAGGGGTCGGATAACACTTCGCTGGTTGGTTGATTTGTTGATGTAGCCTGGGTAGTCTGTTTTGCTTCGCAGATCTTCCCAAAATCATATCGCCCCCGTTTTCTGCGGCTCTGTGTCGACTGGATTAGGGCCGACGGCATTGATGATGTACATAGTATCTACGGAGCAGATTCGTCCTCTTGAGACTACTTTCACGACTTTTTGGGTGACACGTTCCTGGACGACTTCGGCCGAACAACGGAGTAGCCTTGGGGTCCGTGGCCACATGCCAAGAGCCGACAGGAGAGGTGCCCTGGAACGTCCTGACCCGCTCTCAAGCAGATAGCTCGGAGTACGAGTAGGTGTAGGTGGATCGGATTGTGGGCGGTGATAGATGTTGAGAATGTATGGTCCTGTGGTATTAGGGGGCTTCACCGAGAAAGACTGTGAATTCCGGCACGGGCATAGAGGCAAGGCTACGCGATATGCCCCTATTCGAGTACCCAAGCAAGCGACCGATTCATGGAGAAGTACTTGCAGCAAGAAAATCAGGTCCTAGCCTATGACAGCCCAGCTTCCATGCTGTCCGCTAGCAGTCTTGCTTCCTCCCAGCTCTCCTGCATCCCTCTCAGATAAATGCGGTCGAGGTAGAAGTACGAGAGTAAACGAGATCGGACATCGGGCCACTCTGTCAACCTCAAAGCTCGTGCAGCTCGTGCTAGGTTCAAGACAAACCAAGGCCGTTCGCGCTGACCAGCTGAGATGAATGCTCCCAAAAGAAGGATCCACGTCAAAAGGTCCAAGTGCGGTGCCCAGAGCCTTTTGAGGTCCGATGCTTCAAGAGCCGACTTGAGCTGCATTGTAAGTGCGCGGTTCAACGCTGAATCAGGCTGTGCAATCTGATAGTTGCAGAACCAGAAAATGAGAAGTGCCAGGCGGCCAGCCTCTTCCTTGTCGCTTGTGGGAAGCCTCGGCTCGAATGGCACGGAGAGAATGGCGTATCGAAATTGATAGCTTTTTGTGTTTATATATTCGAGCTCTGCTGGAGGGGGCTGGATCTGCCTCTCGTGATAGTATTCGCGGTATTGTACCACATCCACCATGTCTCGATATGCCTGCAATATTCGCCAGTCCAGAACGCTGTCCATATCTGAGTTCAGGATGCCTTGGCCCATCTGTTTCAAGTCTTCCGCGATGTCCTCTCGTATCGCAGCGACAAGTGACTGTGGGAGGTTCGGCAGCGAGGAGGTGGGAGGGGCGGAAGGTAACGTCCTCGTCATCGCGGCACACATGTACGAAGACCTGCCATACTGCAGTTAGTCGACGGAGGGAAACAGACCCCCTCCGGGGGGGCAAAGGGCTTACGATAATATGAGTTCTGTGACGTGGTGGGGCAGGCCATGATAGCCGCCTCTCCAGGCGATCAGCTTTTGCAGGCCACTGATATGTGCAAAAACCTCCTGGTGGTTTCCCGTAATGACCTGCTGTAATTTCAGTAATTGGCGTCTCCTTGGTTGGGGAAACCGACCTCGATGGAAAGGAGGCACATGAGCGCAAATATCGTCGAAACCTTCACAGCCTTTTCCATCGACTTCATGCTTTCGTTGGCGTATTTGATCGCTTTCAATTTGTACGGTACAAAATCCGGTACTCTGCGACTTTCGAGATCTTCCTCGGTATAAGTGGTCTCTAGTGAGCCTCCGCGTAGCTCCCCGAGCCTTGCGGTCCGTTCGGCTGCCGAGATTGCCAGAATGGCATATAAGACGACAGGCTCTTCGGCAGCGATCTGGAAAGCCCAGCGCATTTGATTCTCGGCTTGTTGACGCGTTGGAAAAACAGAAGGCAACATGACATCGGAAACTTGTTCAACGGAAGTCAGGCTTCTCATCTCAATGGACCAGAATGGAAATCGGTGGAACGTAGATCCCGCTCAAGGGCAGTATTTAAGAATGAACTGGGACTTACAATGCCGCAAGACGGAGTCCATGCCAGGAGTGATCTGCACAGAACTAATGCCAAACGGGTCCAGAACGGTGTTATTCAACGTATTCCCTGTTCTGCCCTGAATTGCATGTCCTAGACTGCCAGCGTCCAGACGCTGTAAAATCTGGGTCAAGAGTGATTTGACAGAGGATGATTCCGCGGAAACATCGTCGTCCCCTGGTCGCTGAACCATCCCCAGCTCTCCTCGCTCATCGTCGACCTCCTGGTCATCAAAGGCCTGCTGCACTTCTGGTCCACGAACTGCACCATAGTGCCTCAATCGGACCAATTGCTGGTGCAGATCGTCAGGGTCGTGCTCGGGACCTATGCTCGAGGATGGTGTCGCAGAATAGCTTTGCTGGTCGAGACTTATACTGGAAGCTCGAGTTGCTGGGAGATTCTGAGGTGTAAGTGGTCGCTGTGCAGGGCTTTGTGAGTCGGTTGGACGTGGTTGCAATTGTACCTCGCGTCGATATCGGCCTATATTTGCTGTTCCTCGAAGTCGCTCAACTGCAGCCTGGCGTCGGTTTCTGTGTGCAGTTTGCTGGATGTGCGCGTTGATGGCGCGTTGATCCGATCTTGGCCGCTGAGAGCTCGAAGAATCGACGAACAGGAAACGGCTGCTGGATCCTGAGCTTGTTGGAGTCCTCGAGCCATCCGAATCTAGCCTACGGTATTTGGCTGAGTTCTGGTCCTGAGGTCCATCATTGTCGCCTCGATGGGCTGCCGTTGGTGCAGAAGAGCGCAAAGCAACATCATGAGCAGCATGATCAGGACGAACCGAGGAACGATGTTCTTCTTCAGCCGGCGTCTCCATTCTTTTGTCTAACTAGAAGGGACACGTGTTATTCACGTTTCACATGGAGGTTGAGTCATGTCATGGAAAGGAAAACAGGACCGGCCAGCGAGAACGGCATCCGTCTGCACTTGCGACCTTGAACCGCATGGACAATATTGGCAACAGAAGCACGGAGAAATCCCGTGGCCAACATAGCCAAGCTGATCGAAGAATTCGGTGAACGAGTCTCTCACCCTTCACCCTTCTCGGATATTGCTCTCCTCCAACGACATGCCAGTATTTCCGACGGAGGAGTCAAATCCTTCCGCTATCCCCGTTCAGGGCCAGGGTGGTCTCACCCTTGCAATTGCTGTTTGGGGAAGTTGGTCAGCACCAAAAGCTGCAGCTCGCAACCAGCTAGACTCTTGGGTGCCGTGTTATCCAAGCACTCCGAACTGTGGATTTGTGAGAGGAACGCCCACCGCTAAACTCTTATGGGTGCGAAGGGTATCAATTTTCATTCGTTGAAACCAAAGACCGCATTAGGCTGCAGCACCAACGACGCGGCTGAGTAGCATCCGGAAGAGGCGTGAAGGTCCCCTCGTCCTTCTCTCCCCGACTGACCTAACTAGCCCTACAGGCCTGACAATTAATATTGTTGGATATCAAGTCCCAGTGACTCCACAGTTGGTTCAGATCATGCAACGCTCATAGCATTGTAGCGAATGGAAGATTACCTGAAGGATGACAAGGGGGCGTTCGATCGGGGTGTGAACAGTCTAGTGCTCCTAGTCCTCGATGGCTTGCCGCCCCATCATGGGTGTCTCGTGTCTGGTAGGGGCAATATGAATACTCTTCTTGCATCTTTTCGAGTGTGTTCTTCCTCATGAAACGCTTGGACTGTTGCTCTCCCTTATCGATTTTGTTGGATTTCCAGAACGATGAGTCTCCTGCTCGCTCAACCAGCAGAACAGGAATACGTACCAAAGTATTTGTTCCTCAGTGCTGACGGAACACGCGAAACATGCAAGAGTCGTCACGTTATGAAAGAGTGTAAGCATGCAAAGGATCTTTATCCCAGTTAGCAATCTCTGATGCATTGTTGTCCTCCAGTCTTGCGAAAGCGCGATTCTATACGACGTCAGAAGCAGTCGGCAGCAAGAGCACAAAGCCGTGTACTCCCCTGGCTACGGCGAGAGGATATGCATCAACCGCTCGATGTTGGTGGAGATACTTGTTTGGAGACCATGGCCACCTCTCCCTCGTCGCCGTCCTACGAAGCAAGCTCGAGAGCAACCACACCTCAACAGTCTCAATGGACAAGCGATGGCAGCACCGCTGATCCGCACGAGTGCTCCTCATCCAGCTCCTCGACCTTGAATCCTTACTACGCAACACAAAATATGCCCCAAGGTTCACATCGGGGCTTGATAGACTACAGTAAGGCAATCATTTGGAACAGGATCTGGTTCTTGAGCATTAATCGCCACGATAGTGTATCGTGTTCTGATCTGTCGATTAAACGAAACAAGCCTAGAGAACAACCATTCGTCGCCAACATCACTATTGAACAATTACGTGCTAAGTCGAGCCTTACCTGCGCAGTTTCTCTATGCTACCATTAGCTTAAGCAGAGACAATCAATCTGTCGCTGCCAAGCCGTCTCCAGAGACCATCTCATTGCTCCTTGACGGGCTCGGGTTTCTAAAGGAGCAAATTCAAAGACCAAGCGGCATTTCCGATGATAGTATACTAGCCGTGATCAACTTATGGATGTATGAAGCAACATTACTTATGGATGTACCTCCCGTACAAACCGCCAGAAGGGCAATGAAATCCCCCCCGTTCCTTTCGGCTGCAGATCAAAGGAAAATTGAGGCACATATCGACGGCCTTCAAAGATCGATAGCATGTTATGGTGGTCTTCAGGCACTTTCAGCCGAGTGTCTGTATGCGCTTGCTTGGTAAGGAGCAATTGTTCCTCAATACTGGATATAGCTGATGAAGCATAGGTGCGTATCAAGCATGCCAGGATACTTTCCCCTCTCAAAATTGGCCAGCCCGCCTTCAAATAGCACTTGCTCTTTCCCGGCCGCCGATATTGCACGAGCTCCCCTCGCTGGACTATTTGAGAAACTCGCAAAAATCCAGGCGATGATGGTGTCCGTTGGGTTTCGATGCGCTGTCCTCCACCGCACGGAGTTTCTGCCCTTAAGGACTGTACTATATCGCTTAGGAACCATGCTCCATTCGCGCAAATGCCAGAAGACAGGCCTACAGAAACTTACAAGATCAACTTCTACGGTGTCCATTATGCTCTTCATTGTCAATATCATTTTTGGTAGCCTTGAGCATCCTGAGCTGACTCCCTTGTCGCGGAACGACGAACTGCTCAAGATGCAACAACGCTTGATTTCTCAAAGACTTGATCAGGAAGGTTCCTTTGAGAAGGTGTGGCAGGTTTTGATGATGGGAGACGATTCAATGTCATTACAGCTCCACCCACGGGCTTGGTCAATCGCGGAAACGACTAACATTCTCAAGCGCTTAAATCTCACCACACTTGACTCACTCTCCAAGATGTTGATGGGCTTTCTGATACCCGGCGTCTGCGGCGAGATTGGGGAGTATGGCTTCGAAAAGCTTGTGCTACAGATACACTCCGAACTAGATGGACTTCCAGGCTTATCATAGACCCGAGTCAAGCAACGACGCTAGCAGGTCGGGTTGGTGTTGTACGGAGCACCCATAGATCGAGCCTTCTATTGGATTCATGAAAGAAGAGAAGGGATGGGTTGGATGAGGATCAGAAGTACTGTACAATATGCATATGGTGTTTCACGATCATGACAATACGAGACAATGAGGGGGAACTGTTCTAGAACATTAACGAGAGCATCTGAGAATCATATTCAAATAAAGTCCTCAGGTCTCAAATCCTGTCAGGGGCGCACAGGATATGGCAGTGCATGCATTTCTAAGAATAATAACAATCGTCTCCTCCTCCTTCTTCCCCCCTCTGCTCTTCATGCCGCTCCGCCAATTTCTAAGTGTTTACTTAATGCTTGGCTTCGTGCCACCTGGTTTCTTGGCCGATTCCCGCCTCGGCGTTGAATCCTGATCCTTCGGGAAATCCCGATCACGAACCATGTTTCTCTTTTCCCGATTCAATTTCAGCCACACCCAACGCCATGCCTGTTCCCGACTCAATTGAAACAGACTCAACACTTTTGCCTCTCCACGGGTCAGCCACAAAGATCAATGGATTCTCCGGCAGACCTCGATGATGAGGAGGACTTTGTAGTTGTGCCAGACTGCCAGACACAGAGTCAGGGGGATATTCCCGATGCCTTTCATCTGCCAGCGTTTCGTGGCATTGACCTTTTCGAGATCTCGATTGATGAACTTGAGCGCCACTTCTCCTCCGGCTCCTTGACATCCTGGAAATACACGCGAATTTGTCTAGGGCGAATTCAGAAGGTGAGAAGCAGACTCGTCAGCAGTCTGTCAACCCCTGCTAATGTGCTCCAAGATCAATCCATACCTCGAATGCGTGATTGAGACAAGCCCCGATGCACTTGAGCATGCACGGATGCTCGATGAGCAGCGTGTCAAGGCTCACGTCGAAGGCCCTTTGCATGGTGTACCCGTTCTCGTGAAAGATGTAGGTTATGCCATTGTCCTCTCGCCGTTGTATCGGCCAAAATCCCCAGCTTGAGTGACTGAAGGGGGGGTCCACCAGTACCGATTCCCCATTCCCCCGAGGCGGATATACCCCCAGCATACCGCCCAGGACCAACAAAATCTCAGCTGTGGATATACCATAGCTAGCTTGACCAACACCCTAGAACATGGCAACGGCGGACAAGATGCAGACGACCGCCGGGTCGTGGGCTCTCGGCTGTATCGTTCCGAAGGATGCTCACACTGTCAAGCTACTCCGGAAAGCAGGAGCTGTCATTCTTGGAAAATCGAATCTCGACGAATAGGCTGGGATAAGAGGTAGTGTCTACTCTTTGGGCTATTCCGCTCGCGGCGGAGAATGTCGCAATCCGTATTTCCTCAACAGGTCTCCCAGTAGGTGTCTTTGAGCCCGACTCTGACCTGGCTACTCCTGCATGAATTAGATGGTAGCAGCTCTAGAAGCGCTGTAGCAGTCTCTGCAAACATCGTACCCATCTCTTTGGGACCGAAACGGACTGCAGTGTTATCAGTCCAGGAGTGGTCAACAGGGTGGTAGCTATCAAGCCAACAGTTGGACTTGCCTCACGATCTGGCGTCATCCCAATCTCCGAAACTCAGGATTCTGTTGGCGTCTATGTTCTCTCTGTCGCAGATGCTGCCAGAGTTTTAGATGCCGTGGCAGGTGATGACCATGAGGATAAATTCTCGATCCAGCCAGGTCGACGACAACCGAAAAGCTATTATGGCTGTCTGGCGGATAAGACCACTCTCAAAGGCACAAGGTTTGGACTGTCAATGACGAGGCTCTGGGATGTGGCTCCTGCTCGTCAATGAGAAGTAGCAGAAAAAGCTCATGGAAGATGCTGGGGCAACGATCATCCCAGTTGATATGCCAAGTGCCGAGTGAAGGTTGAGGGCAGATCGCGTCTGGGATTGATAAGTTATTATCCCATGTCAAAATTTGGTTTAGGACATATTCTTCCTGACGATGAGCACTACTAGGGAAATATATGGCGAGACTCGCCCAGAGATCTCAGAGATAACTGTTAGCAAAGTGCAGACCTACTATTTGACGGACGATTATCTTAGCAAGCCGAGGAACACTCCTATGAAAACGCTAGAAGACAGTGTTCGCTTTAGCGATGAGAATCGTGGGTCCGAAGGTGGCAGCGCTGGTGACCTACCTGCATGGCCTGATGGACAGCGATTATTTCGCAAATGTGGTGAGACAAAAGGCATTAAGGATCGAACATACTACGAGGCATTGCACCATATTCAAAGGCAGCGTCGAGAAAATGGAGTTGACGGCGCTCTCCAGGACCATTCACCTCGGACGCGTTCCATGGGGGATCATCTGGATGATCAACAACAACTCTTAGATGCTTTGCTGTTTTGCGATGTGAAAGCAGGTGGTACCCAGATTGCGGCACAGGCGGGTTACCCAGTACTCTCAATTCCAATCGGCCTAGATCCGGAGGGCATGCCAGTACCTCTCACGTTGCAGCACTCCGCGTGGCAAGGAGTCAAATTGATCAAATCGGCCAGTGCAATCGAGGACCTCATCAAGGTGCATAAAGAGCAGAATTCGGCACTGGCAACTTCGAGGCTTGGTAGAACGGCCCCAGGTTATCAGAATCATCCGAGAAAGAATATACCTGTGGAGCCTGAATACAACTGGCCAGGTCGACATTGACTGAGGATGCCCCATCATGCTGTCACGGGGCAAGAGCCCATCATGCGTATGGAGGGACTTTCAAGGACAGAGGCACTCCGCCTGGGAAACTTGCGTTATCCTGCTCTGTTGGTTACCTCAACGCCCTGATTTGCTGGCCTTCGTCAATCATGCTCCACGGACATGTATCCGAGGTTGCGGGAGATTGAACGGAGATCGTCGTGGCAGCCAGGACGGTAGAATCCCATTTGAAGAGCTGTGGACCGGCTGACAATTCAAGCATTACTCTCCGCTTCCCCCGTATCGACTATTCAGTAAGAATCGTTGGCCGTCGTGGAGCCTGGAGCCCCCAATTTGCAGTCTCTGGAGCACAGGCTATGACTCTTCGGATCACATGCGTCGCGTTGTTCTACGACAGGCTGTCACTTGCACAATGGATATTTTAGTAACTACACCGACAAAGCGTTCCCCTCTCAAGCGACATCCTCACCAGACCTGAATACATAACTCTCCAAACTGGCTTCACCAATCAATGCGATGCAAATGGATTATCAACCCCAACATTTGTTGTGGCCCCCCACAGATTAACCCCAAGTCTCCGCATATCGTATGGGTACTTTCCGAGATTTATACTAGATTTTGCGGAGCTCTCCATCAGAGATCTCGCAGTCTGGTTCTAAAAGCAGTATGGTTGGAATACGTGGCTCTGTGAGTGTTCATGTTGTCGATCACGGCAGTTGATCAAATCTATATGCCGTCTACACGTTCAGGACCGCCCCGTCGTGATTCTTGTTCTCAACAAGCATAAAGCAACGAGGCTTGTGAAGAAGAGCCACTTGCTCTCTTGTCAGTAAAGAGGAGCACGCCCAGAATCGTTGATGTTTCACATGATCCCTGACAAACATGGCATTAGATCCCATCACGACCACGTCGGCCTTAGAAGATGCCGAAAAACAAATTCAAGGGTCGGTCGTCCAACTTGAAGACGCTCTTTCAACTCTCAATATTGACCCAAAAGATGCGGACGAAGCCTTCGAGTTTCTGAAAGACCACCCAGACGCCCATGATGTGACTCGCCAGGCATTGGCTATTCTAGCAGATGAAACTTCAAGAAAGCAGCTCTTGAGGAAGATTGACTGGGCGATCCTTCCTTGCATGATCGTCACCTATTTTCTTCAGTTCCTGTAAATCTTCTTGGCTGACGCTTCCGTGGTTGGAACTGACTTGTCAACAGTGACAAGACAACAATCGGATACACTGCTGTTATGGGGTTAAGACAAGATACACATCTGGTGGGGCAGCAGTATTCGAACGTCGCCATGATCTTCTACATTGGATATCTGGCTGCTGAATTTCCAACACAATACCTCTCCCAACGCATCTCGAGACTGGGAAAGTACCTGGGAGCAAATATCGTGTTGTGGGGCGCAGCACTGGCAGCTCACGCTGCTTGTCGGAACTATGCCAACCTCATGGTGTGTCGCGCGATCCTCGGCGTTTTCGAATCATGCGTTACTCCAACTCTCGTCTTGGTCGTCGCCATGTGGTATAAGAAATCCGAGCAAGGACGGAGAATCTCTTACGTCTACGTCTGCAATAGGTACTCCTAGCACCCCGTCTGGACTGAAGCTTTGAGTTAACATGCATCTAGCTTGACCTCCATTTTCGCCGGCTTGGTCTCATATGGAATTTCTTTCTCCAAGAACGAGAGCTTCGCCAGCTGGCGAATCTTCCTCCTCACAATAGGACTATTCACCGTCGCGGCAGGTGTCGTGGTATTCCTATATCTTCCAGACTCACCGGTTAAGGCAAAGCGATTTACCGATGCCGAAAAGGTCGCGGTATTACTGCGCGTCGCAGACAACCAATCCGGGACTCAAAATAAGAAAATCAAAACCGAGCAACTTCGCGTCGTGTTCAAGGACCCCGGCGTCTGGTTGATTATGATCACTGTACTGATGCTGAGCGTCCCGACGTCAATCCCCAACTTCTCGAGCATCCTGTTGACGACTTTTGGTTACACACCTCAGCAAGCGGTAAGTTCCGAGCAGAAATATTGTTTCCTCCCCTTCTGAAGAGTCAAATCTAAGAACAAGACTAGTTGATCCTCAATATCCCCGGCGGGGTCGTCGGTGCATTCTCCATCATCCTCACAGGATATCTCAGCGACAAATGGAACGATCGCAGTCTCGTGATGATCATCAGCATCGTTCCCACCATCACCGCCTTCGCCATGATGATCGGGCTTGATCCCGGCGGCGTGCCAAAGAGCAAAGGCGCTCTCCTCTTCGCGCTCTACCTGTGCAATTCCTTCACGGCCGTAAGTTTCCTGTCCTCCCCAGTCTACCTCTCTATTCTCTTCCGCCCAAATCCCTAGCTAACCCCCCACACGCATATCAGGCCTTCATGCTCCTCCTCGTCTGGAATGCATCCAACCTGGGCGGGCACACCAAGAAAGTCACCGTCAACGCAGCCACGCTCGTGCTCTACTGCGCGGGCAACATCGCCGGGACCGAAGCATTCCAAGCCAAAGAGGCGCCCGGCTATATCAGCGGCAAAGCGGCGATCATGGCGACCCTGTCCTTCCAGGTCTTTGTGTGCCTGGCCCTGCGATGGCGGAATGACCGCCTGAACAGGAAAAACCGCGAGAAGCTGGCCGCCATGAGCGAGGACGAGAAGGAGACGCTCAGGAAGCAGCTTGCGTACGCCGATCGGACGGACCGTGAGAATCCGTTTTTCGTGTACACTCACTAAGTAGTCTCTGTTGCGTGGGGACTCGCAGTGTGGTTGGTTGTGGCGGCCAGAGGGTGTGCGAGCGAGCGATCTCAGCACAACGGCCTTGAGCCGTCGTGGGTATTCCGCACTGGTCTGAGCAATGCTTCCAAGAGAAAAAGGGGATGGAGGCATGTGCTTGTGAGGGAAATTGGAAATTGGCAATTGCACAGAGAGAGCAGACTTTCACGTTGGTGAATGAGTGATGAGGCGGGAACCGGTGGCCATGCATGTTAATATGGCACCTGCAATATATTACATTTCCGAAAGGTTATCTGTCAGCGTGGCCAAAGTATCCCCTTTCCCAGGAATTTCCCAGGAGCTGCTCCAGATGGCGTCATATGTAACATCGCCAGCACCCCATTTCATTTGCAGATTATATCTAAGACAGGGTTACAAGACGATTAAAAATACATACAATGATAAAACCTGCACACCACGCCGACCGAACCTTTCGATGGGAGAACAACTCCACTTAGCTTGCACACAGTCGAAATGGATTGCTCTGGAGACGGCGATTGATCCCTCCTCTTCTCTTCTCCTTCCTCCTGGATATGTACATGTACATGATCGAGAATCCCCAGCGACCGGCTAATTTTGAGCAAGAGGAGCAATGTGCACCCCGGCTTGGCGACTAAACACTGCCAAGGATCCGAGCCTCCTGACGCTATTCCAAGGTTCTCGCAAGGCTGACCAACCATGGCAGTGGTAAGAACCACGATCAATATGATTCATCGTCGTTATATCCCATGTGAGCCTGAAAGGTAAAGCTCATCCAAACACGTCCCTTGTTCAAGGCGTAATCCTGGTACACGCACGATTCGGCGAGTGGAGCATGGCTCGGTAACCCAATGAGCCGATTCAGGTAGCATGATGCACATGACACTTAGCTAGCAGCAGTAGAAGAGTCGTGATTCTTCGGGGAACTGAATGCGCTGATACGGCGTATGACTGCCAATACAACATATATATAATGTTTTCGTCTCGGAAGCCTTATAAAGACGACTCAATCTACGTGGAGCTTAATTTCGGCGTATTGGTGAGTGTGGTTGCTTCATGTCGTTTCTCAGTCACCGGTGGGCTATCGGAGGCAGCGGCCAAAGACCCTTTACTGCTCCTAGCAGAGCTGGGTAGTGTTGTTTCTGACTCTGAGGTGTGGACTTGAAGTGGCCCAACAGGGTCAGGGGTCTGCTTCTCTTCATCAGTCGAAGGAGCCGGTGGAGCCGATGGAGTGGGCGCAAATCGACTTCTTTTGCGGATGGGTTCCCCGTACTTGTAGAAGATGAATGGGATTGGCGCTAGGAGGAGTGCAACGCCACCGATCAAAGATCCCCCGCCACCAACTCCGAGAACGTCAAACATTCGCTGCGTAAATAGCGGAGCGGCGGCACCCGCTGCAGATCGGCAGATTGTGTTTGCGGCCATGGCGCTGGCCGTGTACATCAGATAAGTGTCGGTGAGATAATTCAGATAAGAAACAAAGATCAACATGATGGATGTGGAGAGCAGTGTGCCGGCGAGAGTTGGCACAAACCAATGCACGCTGTTGAAGTTGGCAGTCCATGCGAACCAAAACATGGTGATTGCGAAGAGCACGCCACCGACCATGGCAACTGTCAGGCGGTCCTCCGGTCGCCGAGGGACTCCTGCTTCCATCTTTTTCCTGTCTCGCGAGGACACATAGAAGATAAAGGCCCCCCCAATGCATGAACCGATGGCCGTACCGATCAGTGGAAGTTCTCCCACGCCAGAGTTCCAGCCACGCTTCTGTTGAAAGACGATCGGGTATATCGTGAAGAGCATGTACAAAAGTAGGTACACCACTGAAAGGTAGACAGCGACCAATAACGAGATCGTGTCGAAGAGAATTTGCCAAGGTCGGATCAAAGCGACTTTGAAGATATCTGCCAGTTTCCGGCCCTGGGCCTCAGCGGGAGCCTGGATATTTTGGTACTCTGGGATGCCGGTTGCACGCAGGCGCCGTGCTTTGTTCACCAAGACCGTGGAGGGGAACGTTTCCGGGATGGTAAACATGAGAAGCTCGGTGAATCCCCCGAGCCACAGCAGGACATAGAAACTCCACCTCCAATCCTTCTTGAGCTCAAGGAACCCTGAGATTACAGGGCCAACAGCCGGGCCCACGAAAGTCATCATCGAGAAGACCGCCATTGCATTTCCTCGCTCGACCGGCCCCCAAACATCGGCAAGCACACCAGGAGCGTTGGTCAGAGCGGCGCTTGAGAATGTCCCAGTGAGCAGGCGACCGACGAGGAGTGCACCGAAGTTGGGAGCAAAGGCGCAGAGGAAGTTGAAAGCCAAGTAACCAGTGAAGGAACCATAGAATACCCAACGTCGGCCATAAAATTCGGACAGCGGAGCGAATATTAAAGGACCCGCACAGTAGCCCAGAAGGAACAGGGTGATGACTAGCCCGGCTGCCACTCTTGACACCTGGAAGTGCTCAGCAATGCCAACGAGGCACCCAGAAGGACTCGAAGAAGCGAAGGTGGCGTTCACAACGAGGAGGACTGCGACAGTGGTGCAGTACCAGCGGCGACCAGTCGACCATTCTTTGGGGTTTTCCACGTCGCCGGGGGCGAAGTCGAGCAGTCCGTTTTCGTTCAGATAGGGTTTGGCACTCGGATCAATCTTTCCGGACCGGTACGGTTTGGCGACAGGGCGCGAGAGAATGCGTTCGAGAGCGCTCATCGTTGTAGGATGATGAAAACGACGACCTCTGGAGATAGAACACAGAAGGAGAAGTCACCGTTCAGTTGCTCTCATGTTTGATGTGTGTACGAGTAGGTTTTCTGGGCATTCAAACCGAGCTAAATCCAAAATAAAGCTTGTTCGATGTTGAATCATTATTGATGCACGGAGTACAGGGTCTGTTAGGGGTCTCGTACGGGTAACCGGCACTGGCCATCGCCACATTCGACCGCCAATGTGCGGTCCAGGACGAGAATTTAGCTCCGTTAACGCCGGTCTAAGGAGTATACTTGGTCCCACTGTCGTCCTGATCGTACGCACTTATGCGTGGGTTCGGATGGCCCATGGACTTCGGAGATAGATAGATAGATAGATAGGAGATGAGCCAGAGCCGCCATAGCCATTAAGGAGGCAGGACGAACCTGGGAACTGTAGAAAGGCGTGGGGGTGTTAATACTGATGTACGAGCAAGACAGACGGAAATGGCGGCATGATGTAAGGTCGTTGAAACTCGGCCTGATGTCGGGCCGGAGGGGCCGATGGGCTGTAATTATTGATGCTAAGCGATTGTAAAGACCGTGGTCTACAATATCGCTTCGCCGCATCCGAACTAGCTCCGAGAGCTATTCGAACGCTATCCGAAGCGAACCCGGAGCGCCTAGGCGCTAATCTAGTACGTACTTAGGATACTATATAGTCTAACGAGTCCCTCGTACCGTCTTAGGAAGAATTATATTCCCTTCCTATTATATCTAGTAGTAACGACCTACGATAGCCCTTAGGGAGACCTCTAGGCTAGGGCCTTTACGGGCTCCGAAGTATCTCTAGGTACGAGGAACTAGAGTTAGCTTTATCGAAGTATTATCGAAATCTTAAGAGACGCTAGAAGTATATCTCTTTATCGTTTTTTATCGATAGGAGAAAGAATTACTTACTATAACCTTATCTTCTACGAAGGACGATAATTCCTTAACCCTTTAGAGGTAAAAAGAAGTAAGAAACGCTTAATAAACGGCTTTAAGCGGAGTTTCTCTTTCCTAGTAGCTAGACTATAGTAATCCGACCGAAGGCTAGTCTCGACTATACCGCGGAATTCTTTTAGAACTATTACGTAGCCTTTACTACCTCCTCTATAAAGGTTTATATTAAACCTATAGGCTACTAGATTTAAGAACGACTATAATCTAGACCCTCTAGAGTATTATAATCCGAGCTATAAGTAGTTCTAACTAAGGTAGGGTTCCTTAATAGAGTAGGTACTAAAGTGCTAACTAAGATAATAAAGGAAATACTTATTCGTCGGACTATATCCTAAAACGTAGGTATAGGATTACTAACGAAGTTAACTACGAACTATTCTATCTAGGTAAGGGAGTATATATATATAATACTTAAAATATTACTTTAGTACATTAGTACATTATTCTAATACGGTAATATACTAATGCACCCCCTAGTTACGTAATGCAGCCTCGTTCTCCATCGGCTAACCTTCCTTAAACTATCCCTTAGAACGTAGGGCGCCTATCCTAGCGACCTTATCTATAACCTAGTCCGTAATACTATCTCCTCCTTCTATCTACGTTATCCTTAACGTACTTAAGGTAGTCCTTTCCCGTCCGTTACGGTTCCGTTCCTTCTTCCTTATAGCTAACTATATCGCCCTTAGGTATTAAGAAGAACCGTCGATCTTCTAAGCCTATTCGTAACTAGAACGTACGCCGCCTTAAAATTACGAACGCTATATCTTCCGATCCTAAGAACGCCGCTATAGTCGCCTATACCGAATACGTTAACTATAACGTTATCTATTTTTATAATCGAGAGTAGTCGATGAAATACTCTAAATATCTTCGGTACTAAAGAAATTATAATAGTACCTTTTCCGTAGAAGAGTTCCGAAAAGTTAGGGAATAAAAGAAATAGCTAGTCTCGAAGTTCCGCGCTAAACGACGCGAGATCGCTCGGCTCCGTAAGGTCCTAGCGGAGTTAGAAGAGCGCGACGCTAATATCTAGGACTCTCTAGCTAAGCTAGAAGACTAGTCTAATCGTATACTCCGTTAAGAAATAGAAGTATTAGGTATTTTCGAGTCTATAGAGGCGTCCGCTAGTATTAACTACGAGCTAGCCCTTACCGAGCCCGAGTTTATTTTTAATAATTAGTTCGTAACCGATTCGGTAGATTAGGAATAGGTCCTAGGTTCCCCTAATAATACCGGGCGACTAGTTTCGGGTTAAGGTTTATCTCTAGTTCCTAAGTATTTTCTTCTTCTAGGTATCCTAACTATTTAATTAGGTATTTTATTTAGTTGTCTTCTTATCTATACTAGAGTATAGTTTCTATATCGTAATAGGGTTCTTAGGTTTCCTTATTAATATATACTAGTCCTAGTCTAGCTCTATCTAGTACTTTCTCTAGTAGTAATTTATAGAATACTAGGTATATATTTAG